CAGGTGGATTTGGATCCCAAGGACAAGGAAAAGACCGCATTCTCAACTGGGAAGGGACTCTGGCAATTTAAGGTGATGCCATTCGGATTATGCAATGCACCGGCAACCTTTGAGCGTTTGATGGAACAGGTGCTGGCGGGACTACTGGGCGAAACCTGCCTAGTTTATCTCGATGACATCATCATTGTTGGACGGGATTTTGACGATCATATAAGGAAATTGGAAAAGGTACTCGACAAGCTGCGTGGAGCAAATTTAAAGTTGAGTCCAAAGAAATGCTCTTTCTTCAAGCGCGAAGTGAATTATCTAGGACATGTTATTTCTGAGAGAGGAATTGAGACTGATCCAGCCAAGACTGTCGCTGTTAAGGAATGGCCAACACCTAAAGACAAAACGCAAGTTCGGGCATTTCTTGGATTGTGCTCGTATTATCGGCGGTTTGTGAAAGGATTCTCGGACATTGCCAAGCCTTTGCATCGATTGACTGAGGAGAAACGTGCCTTTATCTGGGACGAGGATTGTGAGCAAGCCTTTCGAGAACTAAAAGAACGGCTTTGTAACACACCAATTCTCGGATACCCCAGCGCGAAAGGAATATTCGTAGTTGATACGGATGCCAGCAATATTGGAATAGGAGGCGTCCTTTCACAACGCGATGGTGAGCAGGAGAAGGTTATTGCTTACTTCAGCAAGTCACTATCCAAGCCGGAGAGGAATTATTGCGTGACCAGGAGGGAATTGCTGGCCGTAGTCAAAACTCTGCACCATTTCAAGAAGTATTTACTGGGACGGAAATTTTTGATCAGAACTGATCACGCTGCTTTGAAATGGCTGCTTCAGTTTAAGGATCCCGAAGGCCAAGTAGCCAGATGGTTGGAACAACTTCAGGAATTTGACTTTGAAATCGAACATCGCGGCGGAAGAATTCATGGCAACGCAGATGCATTATCGAGACGCCCATGCGTGGAAGATTGCAAGCATTGTGCCAAGAAGGAAACTGCTTTTCTTAAGGTGATAAGGACTGATACTGTTGACGAGGCATGGGGAGATGATGCGATGAAATTAGAACAGGAAAGAGATGCAGATATTAAACCAATACTGGAGTGGCTACGAAGTGGTAACAAGCCAAGTTGGAGTGACGTCGCCCAATATAGCGCGGTAACGAAAGGTTTATGGGCACAGTGGAAAAGCCTTACGCTGCATAACGGACTTCTGTGCAGGAAATGGGAATCAACAAACGGCAAGGACGAGCATTTGCAATTGGTGGTGCCTCGTTCAAAAATAAGGGATGTATTAAAAGCGTTCCATGATGGATCTTCTGGAGGACATTTGGGAATTAGGAGGACTTTGGTGAAGATCAAGGAGAGGTTTTATTGGTTGCATTGCAAATATGACGTCGAAGATTGGTGCCGGAAATGCACTAGTTGTGCAGCTGTCAAGGGTCCACAAACAAGAAGCAGGGGGGCGATGAAAATCTACAATGTTGGTATGCCTTGGGAGAGAATAGCCTTAGACATCGCTGGACCATTTCCAATCACTGATTTGGGCAATCGCTACGTTTTAGTGGTTATGGATTATTTTACAAAATGGCCGGAGGTCTTTGCCATACCGAATCAAGAGGCAGTAACTGTAGCCACGAAGTTGGTAAACGAGGTATTCACCCGATTCGGAGTGCCCTTGGAGATGCACAGTGATCAAGGACGGAACTTTGAATCCCAAGTTTTTCAGGAAACTTGTAAACTTTTGGGAATCCATAAGACTCGAACGACCCCTTATCATCCACAGTCAGATGGAATGGTCGAACGCTTCAACCAAACATTGGAGCGACACTTAGCAAAGGTGGTTGACAGCCATCAGAGAGATTGGGACACTTACATACCTCTCTTCTTGCTTGCCTATCGGACTGCTGTACATGAAAGTACCGCAAAGACGCCTGCATTTGCAAATTTTGGAAGGGAATTGAGATTACCGGCAGATCTTGTATCGGGCTGTCCACCTGGCGACTCTCGCACCGAGTTTAGCGATTACATAAGCGAGTTAAGGGCAAGAATGTTGGACATTTATGAGCAGATCAGGGAGGCCGGTCTTCAAGCTAGTGATCGCGCAAAGACGCGCTATGATCGACGAGCCAATTCTGTTGGGTTTGAAGAGGGGTCATTGGTCTGGCTTCATAATCCAGTCAGAAGGAAGGGAAAATCTCCGAAGCTGCAACCGAGTTGGGAAGGTCCTTATGAGATAGTCACGAAGATCAATGACATTACTTACAGAATTCGGAAGACTTCAAGGAGCCCTTTGAAAGTTGTCCATATAGACAGGTTGGCGAGGTATTACGGCAGCAACGATGCTCGGGACGAGCGAATCTAAGAGGGGGGCAGTGTGACGGAAAAGTGGTTCAAACTCTTTGACATCATGACGTCAATGGATGGTTGTCAAACGTTGCCTAGAGATTGTAAATTTCGTCGTGAATTGTCAACACGAATTGGTGTAATCGGTAAGGCATGTGGATTACACCACAGAGACCCCGAGTTCGAGTCCCGCCGTAAACATGAAGTTTTTTTAGTTGATAGAAGTTTTGTCGAACTTTCTGGAATTATTTGTGTGAAAGAGATGAAAAATTAAAGAGCGAGAAGGAGAATAAATAAAAATGAATAACGAAATTATTGGAAGGTTCTGGAGGCATGACGATCAAAAAGAATAACGAAATTGAATGTTCCAGAACCTGACCGGGGGTATATAAGCGGAACTGCGGCTCACCGCTGGCAGTTGAGTTCTAAGTCCAAAGCGATTCGGAAGAAAAGAGAAGAAGTGAAAAAGAAGAAAAGTGAGTGAAATAGTGCAGTGCAGTGAAATAGTGAAGTGCAGTGAGTTAAGTGAAAGTCAGCGTGAACAGTGAGCGGCAAACGGAAGTTTGTGTCAGTCGCCCGGACTCTGCTGGAGAGGAACGCCGATAACTTAACTCCGAGGGCGCTGTCATCTAAGTGCAATAGAAAGTCTAAAACCGGTATTAGTGTTTTATTTCATCCAATCCCGTAACCCAAGCCCGCATAGTCAGAAACGTGACGTCAGGCTCGTAACATTATGTTTGGTTGCATGAATTCGACAATAACGCATCCAGACATAAGTTTTTTTTAAATTACCTGGAAACTCTGAAAGGTAAGACTATAAAATAATTTTACTTACTAGTAGCCTAGGTAGGTACATAATGTGTGTCTTTATGGATCATTATTTCCAGTTATCTCACGAAAACAGATGTTTGAATTTATAAATAATATGAATAAAGTTATTGAGACGAGTGAAATAGGTAGTTATAGGCGGTTCTGGTTCAGAATGAATCATGATACGTTAGGTACCTACCTACTTACGCTTGTGTTAAAACGGTTCATGTATGTTTTGTTATAGAAAATATTTAATAACAACAATAAAACAGCTAGACTCATGTAATATTTTGATGTTTGACGGTTGTGATTTTAGAACATTCGTAGTCAGCTGTTCAGTTCGGCATTAGTGGCCAAAGAAATTTTGTTTGTTTATTTTTAAAGCACTTTATTTGTTTATATAAAAAAAGGATATTTACAATCACAAAACTAAATGGAAACAGAAAGTAGACAAAGGTAATTAAAATACTGGAGACGAGCAGCCCTAACGCATGTTTACGTACCGCGCGGCTGTAGGTATTTATTTCTTTCAAGCGGCCGAGTTAAAATACTGTATGATATTTATACTGTGACAACACTACTTATAACAAAACTTTTAAGCCGAATGCGCGAGCGTAACATCGCAGCAAGGCACAATGGCGACTGCATGTGATGAGACACACACAAACATAAATCTGTTGTTGCCAATTACACGAAAATTAGGTACAAAATTTCGGGGTAAAAAATAAAAAAATATGCATGGTCGTAATTTATCATTCTGTTATTTTTTGTAGAGAAATGAATTGATTAAATCAAGTTAATTCTAATTTCATTGTCTAGTTAATTTAGAATAATAAAAGTGCAGTGTGATAGAAAGCTGTGCTTCCATTCCAGGGAGATTGTGTTTAATTTCTGGCTCGACTATGAATTCATGGCTATTGTGAAGCCATGTAAATCTGTAAGTAGTTTAAAAACTAGCCAATATCGCTTGAAAAGAACAATCAATTAATAAATTAGGTAGTATTTGTAAATGCTTTAAAATTAAAACTAGACTAATCTTTATTTATTTTTATTCAATTTATGTGCGCGACAAGATTTTCATTAATTGATTAATGAAAATCTCATCAATGTGATTATGAATGCAAAGGAGTTCTCAAGTTTTAGATAAATTTCGGTAGTTCTAACATTTTCCTTTACAAAGGTAGAAAGAGAGAAAGGTAGAAGAGGTAACAAAAGTTAAAAGTTGGCAACACTGGTTCAATCGACAGAAAGGGACGCAGCTATTCTGTACGTTGGACGGGATCGTAGGTATACCTACGGCGGCGCGGCGATCGGCGCGGTGGGGCGCCGAGCCGCTGCGCCGTGACCGCGGTGCGGTGAGTTCAAACGACTCGCGCTAGGTAGAAATTGAACAGCTGATTTCATGCGTAGTTCTTTAGAGAATTCACACAACCATTGCGTATTTTTTTGTTTTAGCTGTGTTATTTACATTAATGTTATTCTTCATACATAGAATGTAATTATACATTGAAATAGAGGTGTAGGAACTGAAAAATCGAAAAAAAAATTGAAAATTTTCCTGAAAGAATTTTCACTGGAATATGATTCAGAATAAGGAGCTGAATGCACCCTGTTAATTTGTGGAGGGCTGTCCCTTACACCCTGTATACCTATAAAATTCTCGTGTCACAGTTTTCGTTGCCATTTTCCTTCGAAACGGCTAGACTGATTTTGTTGAATTTTTTTTGTCCATATCCGGTATCTATGAGAATCGGCCAACATCACATTAGGTTGGTAGGAAATTATTTATATGGCAAAACAACGTTTGCCGGGTCAGCTAAATACACAATAATATAACATTTCCAGGAATTGAACCGTGAATTGCAACGCGCAGTAAAGCGATGCGAGCAGTTGGAAGCGAAACTTCCGCAGCAGTTGGCGCCTAATACAAGGACAGGTAAATATTTCTGTATTAAAGGTTACAATATAATCTTTACATATGTACACCCAATGCAATTTATATTTGAGAATAAATGAACATTAAATAAAACAAAGCTATATAGAGTGGAGTAAATAATATGTGCCCAGCATTTGAGGAGGTGGCAACACATTCGTATCGGGCATGTCTGCTAAGTAGCATGTTTTATGATTATTATTATTAGCCAGGTTTTACCATGCATTATTCAGCCGGGGTTGCGGGGTAAGCGCAATGAGGCACCGCGACCTCGGCCCAGAGCAGGAGAAGGAACAGGGGGGTTGTTAGTCAGTAACCCCCTTATTACAAAACAAGGTTTATCTTTAGTGTAGGTTTAAACCATTGAGTCGGGTTTTGAATTTTGAATCTTATTGTCATCTACCTTTAATTCGAAATACAAAAACTGGCTCAATGGTTTAGTCCTAGACTAAAGTAAAACCTTGTTTTGTAATAAGGCCGTAAGAGTCTCGACATTCCCTCCCGCCCGGCCCTGGGCGGGAGAAGTCATTTGATGATTTACCCCTCCCAAAAAAAAACAATCATGCATTATTAGTTTGCATATTTTTTTTTCGTTACCTGGCTTTCATGCCTGATGACAATGATATTATAAGTAAAAATGTGTAGATAGGTTACAAGCGCTCAGCAAGTGATACATTAAAATGTGGCTAACTAGCCACACTTTTTCATATTTGTCTCTTTCTCACTCGCGATTATTGAATCATGCCATCCCACTTTAACGTGTATCATACGATTTATTCATGTGTGCATAAGTGTGCCGTTTTTGAAAATCGAATGTTGTTTATGAAATATGTAATAAACTGCCAGCAGATTTAAAAGATTTATTGCAATTGCTCTTTTAAAGCAAAGTTAAAAGAATTTCTGTTAGCGAGAAACTTGTACACATTAGATGAATTATAATTTAATTATTTCCAATTTTTATATTTTTGTAAATGCAATTTTATTTAATTTCTATGTTATTTTTGTATTATTTTATTGTTTTATTTTTCAGGGATTTTTATTACATTGCAAGCAAATTTAATAAATTTAATTTACAAATACATAACTTAGAAATTTTTCATGATTAAAAAAATATGTAACCTATCTATACCATTTTACTTATAATATCATTGCCCGATGCCGAATAAATGCATTTTTCTTTCTTTCTCGCAATAACGTACCGCGGCCTCGGCCTAAAGCAAGAGAAAGAACGGAGGGGATTTTAGTCAGTAAAAGTCTGACACTCCCTCTCGCCTCACCCTGGGCGGGAGAAGTCATTTGAAGGATTAGTTGACTGTTACTAGTTATTTTTGACTCTGATCGTTTTCTATAGGTTCCATATCGTCGCTAAGTAGTGGGGAGAGCGCCCCCCACGAGGAGAGACTCCAAAATGGACATAGCGATACGTTGCCGGATATACAGGTAAATAATACTACTAATATTATAAGTATGGATAGATGGATGTTTGTTACTTTTTCACGTAAACACTATTCAACAGATTTTTATGAAATTTGGCTAAAGATATGTTATAGTCTAGAATAATATATTTTACCCTAGTCATCATCATCACCATCCTTTAAGTGCCCACTGCTGAGCAAAGGCCTCTCCTCACACGGAGAAGGTTTGAGCATTATTCACCAGGCTTGCTCAAGGCGGATTGGTGATTTCGAACCTGTAACTAGAAATTATAAGTCCATGTTTCTTCACCGTATGTCAGTGGTGACTAAGTAATCATAGAAAGTACATGTAATTCGGATAAGGTCACATTACTACTCGCCAGGTTTCAAACCCTCATGCATGAGGAGCGGTCTTATACTCTGGGCCGTGCAAAGTGACGCGGTTCGATTCCGGCACGGAACAACTCCTTGTGTGACCCACAAATTGTTGTTCCGGGTGAAATTGTATGTTTGTAAAAGCACCCACGACACAAGATAAATTTCTAGTGTGGGGCAACGTTTTTACTTAAAAGAAAGATCTAATTATTATATTTATTTTCACGCTAAATCAAGGAACAAATGAATCCGGTAAGTTTAAGTTGCATAAAAAGTCCTAGTTTGGGCTTAAGATATAAATAATCGAAGCAGTCGTTCCGGAGTTTATGCGGCACAAACAAATTAAGGTTTATTTGGGGAATAGGGGCGTCCCCCTAAATCCACTAACCCTCACCCAATGACTTCTCTACTTTTACTGACTAAAAACCCCCGGTCTTCCTCCTCCTGCTCTAGGCCGAGGTCGCGGTGCCTCATTGCGCTTACCCCGCAACCCCGGCTGAACATCAGCCCTATAGGGCCCCGTCTGTGGTGGTCTATTGGCTCTTTGAGGCGCGCGCGGAACGCTACGCGCTACACGCTCTAACCCTCACTCATAATAGGCTAAGGGTGCAGTACCATTGAGGCGGAGCGGAGCAGAGCGGAGAAGAACTGTGCCGCGATTTACCAATCACATGGCTTGAAATCCACATTCGAGATGGATCCACATTAGAGATGTGGATTTCAAGCCATGTGATTGGTGAATCGCTCCGCCTCAATGGAACTGCACCCTAACAAAGGACTAAAAACTCCTCTTGTATTGCGAGTGTCAATGGACGGCGCCAATCGGGTAGTTTCGTAGGTCAAAAATAAATTAATTCGCCGTTTGAATATAATAAAATATTGAAAAAAAACTATACTTTTATTCATCGATCTGTCAACACACTAAATTTTAGATATTTTTAAGCTAATTTTAAAGAAATAAGTAAGCTATTTGACGTAAAAATACTATGACGTCATAACTTTCTTTTTCATAGAAAAGTATCGTTTTTGACATTTGCATAAAAGTAATGAATTTGACTAGTTGGAAACTACCGTATTGCTTACCATCAGGGGATTCGTCTTCTTATTTGCCAAGTTATCTCATCTCCGGAACTACTGGTACGATTTGGACAATCCTTTTTGTGTTGATAGTCCATTTTTTTATTAATTTACATGATTTTGGTAGATCTTTTCTCTGCTAATAATACTATTCGAGTAAGTCGTTATCTTTATGTGTTAGTAAGCGCATAACTCAAAAACGCCTGGACCAATTTACGTCGATTCCTTTTTTGTTATATTTTTTATTGTCAGGAGAAGGTTTTTATTAGAGAAAATAATAGGAAAGTACAGAGGTATACCTTGGGAAAAGTGACTCATTCATTGGCGAGATAGTTGGACTCGTGCGAAGTCGCTAGGTTTCTATAAATCACGCGCCACGACCAACAGAAGCGTGGAAATCGACCAAGAATAGCTTTTTTATTAGTATATATTTTTTTTATTTCACAGATAAAATACCCATGCATCTTCAATAAACTGTTTCTTAAGGTTAGAGTAATAAGATTCATTTTTCAATAGAATTTTTGTAGTAAAATTTTTTCTCAATATCAGTACTTATTGGTCGGGAGATATTAAATGTATCTGTATGGGTTTTTTTTTAATATATTTAGTACTTGTATATAGACACAATGTATCGAATAATTTTGAATTTAGAATATATGTATGAACTATCTGGGATTTATAAGAAGTTGGTTAAACAGACTCTTACACCCGGTTTCCGAAAGGCCGATCAATGTTAAAATCAATTTAATCTCTTGCCAAGTCTGATTGGTTGACCGAATTCATCATCATCATCATCGTCAGCCTATAAGTGCCCACTGCTGAGCAAAGGCCTCTTCTCACACGGAGAAGGTTAGAGCATTAATCACCACGCTTGCTCAATGCGGGTTGGCGATTTCAAACCTATCACTAGAAATTTATAAGTCCAGGTTTCCTTACGATGTTTACCTTCACCGTTTATCAGTGGTGTCTAAATAATCATAGAAAGTACATATAACTTGGAAAAAGTCACATTGGTTTCGAACCCACACCTTCATGCAAGAGAAGCGGGCGTATTAACCTCTGGACCACCACCACATTGATGACTCACATGATCAACAACCAATCAGATGACTTGACAAGAGATTTGACACCTAGTTAGTTGATTTTAACATTGATCGGGCTTTCGGTAACCGGCCATTAGAATGTAGATAATGGATTGGTACGCCGTATATAGGGTGACTAGTAATTAGTGACCTATATGTAAACACGAATTGTACTTATAATAACAAACAACTTACCCAAAGAAACTTTTTTTCTATAATTAGTTTTTTTTTCTTTATTACAAAATTACTTGCGGGTTCGGGCCCATCTTGAACTTTTAATTATTAAAAAGGATTCGCTATGGCGTCAACTATGATAGTAACTTAAATTTCAGTACAGGCGACCCGTGAATAATTTGCAATTTGGATTCAAATAATTCTTCAACTTAATCTGGGTTTTTTTCATAAAAACTCAAAAACTACTGAACTTCGGTAGAACATTTCGTGGCTTAATTTGTTGCATTTTAACCCAACTATGATGTCCTGCAAGGAATACGTCGAGTTACCAGTAACCCTGTCTAGAAACAGTTTCGTTCCTCTCAAGTCTCAAGTTATTTTTTATAAATTCTAGGTGCGTGAACCTGATCGCCAAACTTTAATAGAGCGCATAGTCTCACTACAACGCGCGGCCGCCCGTCGCGCAGAGCGCTGTGACTTCCTAGAAGAACATTCTCGACAGCTAACAGCGGAACTGAGAACCAAAGCTCGGTTGCTGAGACATCTTCTGTGTGAACTCCCTGCCGGGGCCGTCGGGTCCAGTCGCCGTGATGATAATAAGGTAAATATTTTTTTTTGGGATTTCGGACCAGCTGCTACCCCTGGAAGCCAGGATCTATAGTAGATCCAACCATGAAAACACCGAAACACTCATAACGTAGAAAGTAAGCTTGGGAGACCCGAGTGATACCACGGCCTCACAGCAAAACCGCCGTGAAACAACTACAGCGTTGGGTTTTACCGTGTAAGTGAGGTTACCGAGGCCCAAGTTTCCCCACCGCCAACCTCTCTAAACCCCAAAAGGTTGGCAACGCACTCGTTACTCCTTTGTTGTTGCGGGTGTCCAGGGGCGGCTCTGATCGCTTACCTCATATGAAGGCTTTGATAGTTTGCCCCTTATTCAATTAAATCAGTTTTGTGACTAGATGGCGCTTGTAAAGCCTTAAGTCCTGTTTTTTTTAAAAAAGTCGTTATATTACATCGTTTTGCTGTTTATTTCTTATTTTTATTTATTTATTTATTTACATCCCACTTCATACACTACACGCAAACACATTATCTTAGTACGCCTATTTATCACACTTACAGTTCTCTAATCAACATTCTATTATGATGTTAATTTTTAATATATTTCAGTAGGTACGTATCACTATATATCACACTACAAAAAACTGTTCTTTGCGTCCGTCACGTCACAACCTCAGGTTCAGTTGAAAACCAGCGTCAGGCACTAGTTGTCTGGCATACATGCTGAACTGAACCTTTTTTGGCACAGCTGTGAGGCACACCACACTTTATTTTTTATTAATTTTTGGTTATTTTAGGTACCTTTTTGTTTCTTTTTATTCTATTTTTAATTTGTTTTTTTTATTTTTTGAATCTTCTATTTTTTGCTTTATGTTTGTGATTTTCGTGTGCCCCACACTGTGGCAGAATAAATTTATTTTCTTTCTTCTTCTTTCTTTCTTTCTATAATAAATTCATTAAACATGCACTTTACTCAATTCAGTCACGCATTCTTCTCACAAAACTTCAAACGCTCTGACAGTATCGTCGTCGTTTATGTATAATTTGGCAGTGTATGTGCCTATGTCTTGAGCGTGGTTCGATTACTGCTCTGTTTGTGATCCACAAAATTTGTGAAATTGGTTAAAGAAAATCCTAATTTGTTATTTTTTAATAAAGTATTTTTAGTGGCTGTGTGTCTTTATGTAATATTGTTTACCTGTCCATGCTGCTATCTTAGGCTAAGCGGAAGCTAACCAAGGTAAATTGCTATTTTTGTATCAGTTCCTACAAAAACGAATATAGATTATACTTTTAACCTTAAAATATAGTATAAATAGGTAGTAAATAGCGTGAGACATACTAAATATAATGAAACTAACGACTTACTATGTTATACTTGAATTGACTGAGTAAACCTCTACTAGTTTTAAGCCACAACGGGACTCTTATTCATGAGCAGAATTTCTCAATTCATTGATTTGAGTAAATCGTTGTTTTCAATTAATTTGGTAAAATATGGTTTAACAAAATAATATTAAAACACAGTTCCCCTTATTACAATACAAGATTTATCTTTAGTCCAGGTTTAAACTATTGAGTCGGGTTTTGAATTTTGAATCTTATTGTCATCTACCTTCAATTCGAAATACGAAAACTGGCTCAATGGTTTAGTCCTAGACTAAAGTAAAACCTTGTTTTGTAATAAGGCCGAGTATGTTTTGCTGTAAGTATTTTAATAGATTTATTTTTTAATTTTGCGTTGCATAAAGAGTTTAACAATGTTTTCAAAGTTATTTTTATGGCCATTATTGAGTTTTAAGCATGACTAAAAGGTATATAGGTATCTATAAAGTAAAATAATTGAAAAATACAAAATTTTATAAATTAGGTATTCATAAAATTTTGTATTTTTCTATTGAAGGTAGATGACGGCTACAAAAAATGCCAGCTGATTCGCCGAACTATGTACCGCTTCAAAAATAACAGTTTCGTTCTTTGTCAAATATGTAGTGGCACTCATAGAGCAGTATGTATGGGAAAAGAATATTTCCTTCTTGGTATTTCGTCAGTCATCGTTAAAACTTTTCTCTGGACTTTTTCAAGACCACAATTAACTATCTGGGTCTTTGGCGTTTCAGAGTTTCACTGCAATTTATCACTACATGGTATAAAGACTTTTTATCCGTATATAAGTATCAGTATAGCACCCGTGCGAAGCCGAAACGGGTCGCTAGTGTACATACATATACAGAGTAACATTTTGAACGAGAAATATACTGAATTGAACTGAAGCGGATTTTGGTGCTCAATAACAATAACTTTTCCATGGGACCAATATTCAAATCTCAAAAATACAGTGTCGGCGTTAGGCGGGGGGGGGGGGGGGGGGGCGTGATGGGGCGATGACCCAGGACGACAAATTCTGAGGGGCGCCAAGGTCTGAAGTTAGAGTCTCTTGCCTCTCCTAGTGCAAAAACCTCAGAACTGTGCTCTACGCTCTGTGCATATGCATATTTTTATTTGGGATCAGATGAAAAATTTAACATTTGATATTGCTTCCCTCAAGTGGGCGCCACAATATTTTCGCTCGGGGTATCAGTGGCAATAACTGATTGATCATTTCGTATGAATAACGAAAAACTTTTTTTACCTTCCCATATTGGTCTTATTAAAAAAGTTGTTTTATTTGGGCACCAGAATATGTCTTCTTACTCCTCGATTCTTGAATATGTCTCTCATTCAAACCTGTCATGTCACCCTATATTAGAGATTCCTACTAGAAGAATTCCTACTAGAACTAATTTAATATGATTCATAAAATTAGAATTCAAAAACTCAAAATCAATGTTTCTTACACTATAGTCAGAATTTTAATTAGATTCCTGATTTGACATGACCTACTAACATTTTGTGAAATAATGATACCACATATAACAGTGTAGTGATGAACACAAAAATCGATAAACAATCAGTAAATCAGTTTCAGGAAGGCATTCAAAAAATTACGGCTACCGAATGGTCTAAATGCGTATCCCATGTTGTCAAAGAAGAGGAAAAAATGAGTAAGCTAGATATGTTAATTGACAATAAATATCACAGACACAATTCATAATAAGTCTGTTTTATTTGTCATGTTCCTTCATGATCACATTTTTTATTAATTTCATACATAATTACAAAAGAAAAGTCTGAGATCGTTAAATAAGTGTCTAAATAAATTATTGGTTCAGAAATGTATTATTTCCTGATAAACTTAGTTTACGAGAGGAATCGATTCAGAAATATTCGATTTCCATATCGAATAATTTCGCAACGTCACTATTTAGTACGTGTCATAACGTTGCAACAATGAAATTGTCAAATCTGGAATGGAATTAAAATTCCGAGTATACATCTAAATCATTATCTCTGTCTAACATATATGATATTGTATAAAACAGAAAGAGATAGCGCGACTCGGCGGCGGTGCAATGGCGGCCGTATGGGGCGGGGATCCAGGCGGTATAACAGCAGAACTGTCGTTGGAGATGAACAGACGTCTCCAAGCGGTGCTCGAAGACACTTTGCTGAAGAATATCACGCTAAAGGTATGTACAGTCGGATGGCAGTAAGAGTCAAGATATTTTTTTATAGTATTGGTCGGCAAACGAGCAGACGGATTACCTGATGGCAAGCAATCAACGCCGCCCATGGACAAGCGCAACACCAAAGGAGTTACGAGTTGCCGGCTTTTAAGGGATAAAGGTATCGGATATTTTAGGATTGGGAAGGGATGGGATGTCGTGGTGGCGCGGAGGTTAAGGCGCCCGCTTCTCATGCATGAGGGTGCGGGTTCGAAACCTGGCAAGTACCAATGTGACTTTTTCCGAGTTATATGTACTTTCTATGATTATTTAGTCACCACTGACATACGGTGAAGGTAAACATCGTGAGGAAACCTGGACTTTAATTTCTAATTATAAGTTTGAAATCGCCAACCCGCATTGAGCAAGCGTGGTGATTAATGCTCTAACCTTCTCCGTATGAGAAGAAGCCTTTGCTCAGCAGTGGGCATTTATAGGCTGATGATGATGATGAAGGGATGGGGGGGAAAAGGAGGCATTAGGCATAAGCCTCCGGTTACCTCGCTTGGAAGCTTGGCCGAAGCTTGGGTCTCCCATACTTGGATTAATTTTTATAAGCGTCTACTAGGGTTCTCATATGAAGACGTATGCGTAAGTGTGGGCCAAGCTTCGGCACGAATGGGTCGGCTCAACTGGAGTGATATCACGGCCTAACAGAAAACCGTCGTGAAACATTACACAACAACCACAGAGTGAGGTTACCGGAGGCCCATTGCTTCCCCTCCCCCATTCCCAAAACTTCAAATCCCTAATCCCCAAATGGTCGGCCACGCACTCGTAACTTTTCCGTTGTTGCGGGTAAGGCCTCTGCCACGAATCTCGCGGGCAACGGGGCGGCGGCGGCAGCGGAGCGGGAGCGGCAGGATCTTACGTGTATTATCAAATGAATCGGCCCTCGAATACAGCGGCGCGGCAGCGGATCGGGAGCGGGCAACAAGCGGTGTACTCTATTCGAGCGGTGACCGCCCGCGTCCACAATAAATCGAGCGTTAGGAATAAATTTGAATCAAAAAGATGTTGCCGCCATTGTTCCGACATTTCGTTCGCTAATAAAAGCAAATATGTCGACGACACAATAATGAACACAACACTAAGCGGTTACAATGACGCGCGATCCGCTTGCTAGTTTCGAGAACGGGTCTGCGATGCCCGCTCCGCTTCCGCTCCGCCGCCGCTGCCGCCCCGCTGCCCGCAAGATTCGAGGCAGCGGCCTGAGAGTAAGTGTCTATGGACGGCGCTGATTGCTTACCATCAGGGAATCCGTCGGCTTGTTTTCCAACCTAAACCATAAGAAATTTTAATCGTAAGTCCCAATTGTAACCAACTGTTTATGTATGTATGTGCATAAAACCTCATGAGCTGTTTTATTATGGAGTTAATGAATTTTTTTCAGGAAAACATGGACACCCTAGGCGGTGAAATATCGCGACTAAAAGAGCAATTGAAAACTCAGGAAAATAAATGAAATTAATCTAAAAAATTACTATTTAGATGTAAATGTAACAAATTTAAGTTTTAATTCCTTTTTTTTTTTTGAAGGTTGTTGTCCGAAAATTTTTGGGATATAAAACATTATTGGGGCTATAACTTTTTTCTCACTAGATGGCACCACTGTAGATCTATCGTCTCGAACTACTTTCGTACAGAGTGCACATAATCAGAAGTAATATAATGAAACTATAAATATCTCAGAGCGAGACAATTTATTCAATATATTGAACACACACACACACACACACACACACACACACACACACACACACACACACACACACACACACACACACACACATCTATTCAAATTTTGGTAACGAAAACATATCGCGATGTAATTCGACGCTAACGCCATCTAGGGAATTCAAGTGTAAACTTGGGTACAACATGGAATTTAATAGTTAGCTTCGAAACAATAATGAACACGTCTGTTTGTCCAATACAGTCAATTTTTTTATTACAATGATTGAACAAACTGTTATAATATATTAAAATATTGATTACCGCCATCTAGTGAACAACTTCGTCAAACAATAGTGTAGCCGCGATTGTTTGAGGTAACTCGACGTGTTTCGAACTACGCCTGAGGCCCATAGTTTTGAGTATTTTCGATGGCAAACTATTTCTTTTTATATTTTGACTTCCAATTTTAAGAAATTTATTAGTCGAAATATTATATTATATATACGGTATATATGAGATTCTATTAAGTAATGTTTTGTTATACAAAGTTTTCGCATAACAACCTCAAAACAAAAAAAAATATTCCATTTAGCAATATTTTCTATATTGTATCCTTATGGAACATTCCAGAATAATGCCAATGAATAAAAATTAAGCCATAATTCTATTTGTTTAAGGTCGCTTTTCGAAAAACTTGTCTCATTCCGACCTCTAAAATATTTAGCTGGTCCATGTAATATGATTTAGTTTGACATTTAAGTAAGTATTTAATTACGACAACGCATTTGTGACTCCTTCGGTGTTGTGGGTGTCTATGAGCGGCGCTGATTGCTTACCATCAGGTAATCCGGCATCTCAATTTGTGACCCTATTTTAAATTTTCATCTTTTACAATACGCTTGCTCCATGTAACTGGTGGAAATTCGGTGCTTGTATACCTATGTAGATCTCTGTCTCCCCCCTTCGGGGACAAAAAGGCAACACTATAAAGTGACTGGTATTTAGTGACATATATTTAAATATGTGATTGTACTCATGATACGAAAAGCTTTCCCAAAGAAACTGCTTTTCTATACTATTATCATTTCCCCGTCAGCTGTTAGCAGCGAGGCCCCGCGCGACCTCGTTTGAACTTTGCACAGTATAGTTATAAAAATAAAACTAATCAGTATAGAAAACTAAATTAACTAAAAATCGCGGGTTACTCACATGTGTATATTGAGAAAAGGTCTACTAGTTTCGAACCACAGAGGGGTTCTTCCTCATGAGCAGCGTGCGCGGACAACCCCTCTGTGGTTCGAAACTAGTAGAGCTTTTCTCAATATTTACACGTGAGTAACCCGCGATTTTTAGTTAATTTAGTATGTCTCACGATAGTTATTATAAAAAAAGTATAGAAAACTACTTTGACTGCACGGTTGGTGCGGTGGCTGGGCAACTGGCTGCCGTGCAACGTATCGTGGATTGGATTCGGAATAACACTTTGTGTGATCCACAAATTGTTGTTTCGGATCTGGGTGTCATGTGTATGTTCAATTGTATGTCTGTAACCGCACCCATCGGTATCGTTAGGAGTAAGTTCAGGAGAAAATTTTAGTGTAAGGGAACGTTTTTTTTGAAAAACAAAAACCAAAAGTTTCTTTATGAAAGTGGTTATTATAATTACAATCACGTGTTTAAATAGTGGTCACTTATTACTAGTCACCCTTTATCATTTATTTACCGTACTCAGAGCCATTTAATGTTAAATCAACCCAGTCATAAGCATAGGTACTTGACTGAGAGCTGATTTTTCAATGGTTAGATAAAAGTTACTCTTATATATTCTTGATTTATTTGTGAAAACTATTTTTTTTCGACCAGTTTAGATGTGATAATATTATGTTTAGCACACACAATTGAAAATACCCAGTAAAACAAAGCTGTTGTCAAATGATAGTGACAACTTTTATTCTATTATTTCGCTCGCCAGATGGCGTTAGTGTAGCTTTAAGTCTTGTGCGCGTCGCTATTTATCTAAACGGCCTAAATTCATTGCGGGCTGATTCTTCAGTGGTTTAAATAATAAAGTTACCTGGGGAATAATTATGATGCTGTCGCGTCACAATGTTTGTGTAAGACAGTGACAGCAACAATTTTATTCCTCAGATAATATTTATCTGACTATTGAAAAATCCAGCCCCTAGTCAAATATAAATGACTCAGTAATGTTCTCCATTCGATTATAGCGTGATGTTTTATAGCCTATAACCTTCCTCGACGAAATCGATACTAATATTATAAAGCTGTAGAGTCAGTTTGTTTGTTTGTTTGAATTCGCTAATCTCCAAAACTACTGGTTCGGATTGAAAAATATTGTTTGATTATTTTTATCGAGGAAGGCTATTATAGGCTATAAGACATCACGCTACGATCTATAGGAGCTGAGTAGGAGGAAACCGCGTGAGGATAGCTAGTTATAATATAAAATTGAATATCACTGCGACAGCTACTTTTAATGTGTACGTGATGGTTGAGTCGAGAGTGTCTGTTTGTGTGGGAGAGCCATGCTTCGGCACTAATGGGTCGGCTCGACCGGAGTGATACCACTACCTCACAGAAAACAAGCGTGAAACAACCACAGCGTTATGTTTCGCTGTGTGAGTGAGGTTACATGAGGCGCAATGCTTCCCCTCCCCTAATCCCTAAATCTCCAAGTCCCTAATCCCAAAAAGGTCGGCTACGCACTCTAAATTCCTCCGTTGTTGCGGGTGTCCATGGGCGCCGCTGATTGCTTACCATCAGGTAATCCGTCTGCTCTTGCCGAGAGTAAAAGAGCATAAGTATTATTTTATTTAGTTTGAGTATTATTTTGTCATGTTAATTGCACGTTCTGCCACATTTTTAGAAGCAGAGGGTGTTAATCTGTGCTTTATTTCTTTACTATTAAGGATTCTTATATTAATCGTGGTGGCCCGAAAGTTAAGACCCGCTTCTCATGCATGAGGGTTCGAATCTTGGCAAGTACCAATGTGATCTTATCCGAGTTATATGTACAGTCAGGGGTCGAAAATACAATTGCACTCTACCAATTTTTAAATGTCCAAAATATCTTGTAGAATAGAGTCAATGGTTGAGGACTGCTTTAATTTATAGCATAGAATCTAAATTATTGAATAAACTGGCTGTGAACTATTGAAATGTAACTAGAAAGAAATTTAGTCATTTTAAAATTGATAGAATGTAATTGTATTTTTGACCCCTGACTATACTTTCTATGATTATTTAGACACCACTGACATACGGCGAAGGTAAACATCGTGAGGAAACCTGGACTTATAATTTATAATTATGTTTGTATCGCCAATCGCCGCTGGAACGAATGTCGTGGTGGCCTGGAGGTTAAGGAGCCCGCTTCTCATGCATGAGGGTGTGGGTTCAAAACCTGGCAAGTACCAATGTGACTTTTTCCAAGTTACCTATATGTACTTTCTATGATTATTTAGACACCACTGACGTACGGTGAAGGTAAACATCGTGAGGAAACCTGGATTTGTAATTTGTAATTATAAGTTTGGAGTCGCCAACCTGCATTGAGCAAGCGTAGTGATTAATGCTCAAACCTTCTCCGTGTGAAAAGAGGCTTTTGCTCAGCAGTGGGCACTTATGGGCTGATGATGTGATGGTATGAAGGTCTAACCGCATATAGTATTGATTTTGGCTAGTTGTCAAGTATCCTATTGTTTTCGGAACAAAATATTTTCTAAGGAAATAAGGAGGGTAGTTTCCTAGGTCAAAAATAAATTAATTCAACGTTTCAATGCAATAAAACATTGAAAAATTATTATACTTTTATTCATGGATCGATCAATACACTTAAAGTAAGCTATTTGATCCAAAAAAACGATGACTCAAAACTCAGTTTTTCATAACAAAATTCTGTAAACATATGGTTTTTGACATTTGGATACAAGTATTTAATTTGACTAGTTGGAAACTACCGTATTGCCTCTGAGTACGGTATTTAGAACTCTTTTTTTAACTTGTACATAGTTTTATGTTTATAATTGACTAAAATATTAATTGAAAAATGTTACTGTATTATATTTTATTACTTAATAAATTATTTCCAAATGTATTAAGTATTTAATAATTATTATTATTATACTTGAAATGTATTTTGTTTTAAGTTTTTTTTTCGTTTTGATTGACCGTGTTTTGTATATGACTAAGTATTAATTTGACTTCAGTCAGAAATCTTTAATCTCTACACTAATATTATAAACAGAATACAGGTGCTCTTGTGCGTATGTTTGTTTTAGGGCTGATTTTTCAATAGTCAAATAAATGTTATCTGAGGAATAAAATTGTTGCTGTCACTGTCTTACACAAACATTGTGACGCGACAGCATCATAATTGTTTCCCAGGTAACTTTTACTCCATTGAAAAATCTGTTCTTAGACAATTAAAGACTTACCCTTGGGCGGGAGAAGTCATTAGATGATTTTCCCCTGACAAAAAAAGACAGTCAAAGACACCTTGAACGATAAACGAAAACCAATTTGTGTTTCGCCGTGTCAGTGATGTTACCGGAGGTTCAAATCCCCCCCAATTCTCAATCCTCAAATCCCCTATTCTTAAATTCCTGATGACCCACAAGAGACCGACAACGCACTTGTAGTAACTTATTTAGTACTACGAGTGTCCATGGGCGGCTTTGATTGCTTACCATCAGGTAATCCGTCTGCTCGATTTGCTGAGCTATGAAGTAAAAAAAAACTATGACACGTGCTCCAGCACCACCCAACTCAATCTTATTATATGAGATAACGATCCAGTGTCTGTTTGTAATATTAGTATATAGATTACAGATAATAAAATACTTTATATCGGCCAGTCATTTTAAATAAACCGCCTATTTTATTGTCTATTGCATTCACTCTATATTGTCAATGATTCTTCGTTCATTAACTTATAGTTCAAATGCTGTGTCATACTTATTTTCGTTGTAATAAGTAAATTATTTTGAAAAAATATTTACAAATATATTTTTATTAACGACCTGCCCCAGCTTCGCACGAGTGTATGTATTATAAATAAAAACCTCCCTTTTTAATAACTCTGTCTATTTAAACTACTGCATCAAAATCCGTCGTGTAGTTTTAAAGATGTAAGCATACATAGGGATATAGGGACAGAGAAAGTGACTTTGTCTTGTACTATGTAGTGATAATGTCTTTTGCAAAATTTAATTTTGTTTTCCCGGTGATGTCCGAATAATTATTTATTTATTTATTAGTAGGATTTGATAGAAATTATGACTTTACTACTCGTAATTATTATAATTTTAGTCTTACTCTTTTTCACACGAAACAAGCTGACGTTCTTGGACATTAAAGCTCAGGTTCTTTACATTTTTAAAAGTTTTTTTTTTTAATTTTCTCTACTTACAAGTATTTTCTGGACTTCCACAAATAATTCAATGCCAAAATTAACCAAATCGGTAAAGGCATTGTTGAGTTATAACATTACAACGAACAGTGGTATTGATTTTTATATAATAAATCAAATTCTTTAGACGATATATTGATTTAAAATATTATCTAATGTCATGTCGCCATACATATTTTTTAAACGGAGTGGTGAGGTAGCGATCGTCTCCTCCTGGACTTGAAGAAGGAACGGGGAGCTCATTGTCAGTAAGCTAATCTGACACTCCCTCTAGCCATATCCTGGACGAGCGAAGTCATTAATTTGATGATTTTTCAAAAAAAGTCTTATTAAAGTATTATTTTCTTGTACGACAATATCAAATGTAACGTGTGTTATATAGTTATGTAACCGACGGACGGAATAAATTTTTGATTTTCACACTCTTCTTTTTTATATTTGTAAATATTTTTTCAAAATCGTTATTTTTAATGTAAATTGATTGTATTTGTAAAATTATGACATTGAAATTTATCATTTATTTGAATAGGTTTAGCATCAAAATCGGACCAGCCGTTCTCGAGTTATGGATTATGTACCTATGTATATTTTTTTGTTATAATTATACCTCTTATCTTATATCTAAGGTGGCTTCTATTATGTTGTATTGTGGGATGTGGTATGCCTTCGAAATCTACAAGCTTGCCAGGTTTTGATATAGATATTCTGCCGGGGTCGTTTGCCATAATACCGCGGCCAATGCTCGGAGTTAGGAAAGGGGGTTGTATTCAGACTGTAAGACCTCGTTTACAGCTTCAGGAAGTCAATTGTACATTGTTCATAGGCCTCTTTTTGCGCCAATCTTTGGCGCTGGTCTCCGTATACGAGGCCAAAGAGTCTACATCAGGAGTTTTTTGGACCCGTTTTACCCAGCTGTTGTTTGATAGTCACAAAAAACGGTGCTAGAGAAATGTATACTAAATAGTGATTGGATGCGGTGTCACCTATGTCAGAAGAAGTCATTTGATGTCTTTTCACCTTCAAGAAAAATAGTGCTTGGAATATGGCCATAATATCACAATACAATATTTTGGAAAGCCACGTAATGGTACCTATTGTCTGGTGTCTATTCGTTAGTAAACACGAGCTCTCGATCAAATATCATGTATTATAACCTTCTTTAGTATTATGATAACATTAGTTATACGTACTGAATATTTGTCAACTGTTTTGTCGTGTGAGTGATATTACTGGAGGACCAATCCTACCCTAAACCTCTCTTACCCCCATCCCCAATCTTACCCCTACTCCATCCCCAATCTTACCCCTACTCCATCCCCAATGCTGTCCTACCCCAAACCTCACTCTACCCGTATCCCCAATCCTACCTCCGCCCTGCCCCTACCACAATCCCAATCCTCCCCCTACCCCATCCTTAATCCTCCCGTTACCCCATCCCTAACCATACCTTCTATCCCATCCCCAAAATATTAGTCAAATCCTCTGGTGTTGTTTTTCATAGGCGACGCTGGATTATGAATGGTGATTTACCACCTTCGACTGAAGTGAAGAAGTATTTCGATATTTTTTCTTTATATTTTCAGTACATATAAATAATGTGGTTTCGTTGTAATGTACTTGTAATATAAATAAATGGCTATATCATATTATTATATAGATAATGTAATATTGTTGTCAAGTGTGAAGTTTACGCGACCCGCGACCGTTGTGTTGTATGAAATATATTTTCAGCATTCATCCCTTGTTTTATTTTTTAACTGACAACCCTGACACACAGACTGTTTAGCTGTTCGAGAGACGATCTGCGGCCACCGTAACCGAGGGTCTGCGGACGACGAGTAAGGGTAGCTCGCCGCTCGACCAGAACCAAACCCGAGAACCCGAGAGTTCGGACGGCGCGTAGCGTTCCGCACGCGCCTCAAAGAGCCCATAGACCACGACAGACGGGGCCCTACAGAGCTGATATTTAGCCGGGGTTGCGGGGTAGGCGCAATAAGGCACCGAGGCCTCCGCCTAAAGCAGAAGAAGGAACGGCGGGGTTTTAGTCGGCTGAAATTTGTAGAGCGTATTTGGAATTTTGGACTTAACTCACACTTTACTTACTATAATCTTTGCAAAGTTCAAGCTAAGCATAAGTTTTCAAATGGTATTTATAGTTACCGAATGCTGACCTTACGCATGAGTTTGACACTCTCTCGCCTTACAGAAAAGTCACAGACAAAATAAAGCTGTGGGTGCTGTTGTGTGGTGAGTCTGCAGATTTCGCATAATATGAACCTACACATAAGGTTTTGTTTATAACTTTGTTTTTATCCACTGTTAGAAGTGGCAGTCCTCGTAGGTTAAGGCGACCGCTCATCGGTTCTCATGCATGTGGAAATCATGGTCGGGTTTGAAACCTGGCAATAGGTTTAAAACCTGGTATAAATGTTACTTTTGCTGAGTTATATAATACCGTAACACGGGGTGAATAGATACACGAAACTTAAAATAAGTTTGTCTGAGGATTTTTTCTTAGGAACTTTTGCAAACCGCGTGGTGAATCCATCTAGCCACACCAATGCAGTAGTTCACGCGCCTCTAAGTCGCATTGTGATTATTTTTTTAATTTATTCTCCATTGGATAATAATGAAAATAAAATAGCAACCACAAAGCCACTAAACAACTCGCCAATCCGCCTTAAGCAAGCGTGGTGATTAATGTGTATCCCTTCTTCATATGAGAAGAAAATTTGTTCAGAATAAGGAACTATGCTGATGATGTGTAAAAAGGTAAAAAGAGAATAGCACGGCTTTAGCAGATATGGAGTTTTTAGACATCGGTAGGTACTTTTATATGTTAGACATTATTTTTGTGGAGGGAAAAACATGAAATTAATTCTCACGCCCAGGGTGATGCGAGAAGGACTGTCAGACGCTTACTGACTAAAACTCCCCCCGTTCCTTTGTTATGTAATAGGTCGGCAAATGAGCAGACAGATGACCTGATGGTAAGCAATCACCATGGACACCCGCAACTGAGGAGTTACGATTGCGCTGCTGGATTAGGGATTTGGAGATTTAGGGATTAGAAAACACACATTTATGAAAATACAACAATTTTACTCCATAAGGTCACAGATTCACAATCACAGTACATTATTATAATACAAACATTACAAGGATTCTCGACGGTAGAGGCGCTAGTGTAGCGTTAAGTCTCACGACCAAAAAAATATAACACCCAGTTGTCAGAAAAAAAATCATATCTCTAATGTCTATCTATCTATTCTATTTTAAAAAACGTTGCCCCCACGTAGGATTTTCTCCTGTGTTGTGGATGCGGTTACAATCATACAATTTCACATACACATCACACCCAGACCCGGAACAACAATTTGTGGGTCACACAAAGAGTTGTTCCGTGCGGGAATCGAAACCGCGACACGTTGAACGGCAGCCAGTTGCCCAGCCACCGCGCCAACCGTGTAGTCTATGGATTAAGAGTTTCCGTCAAAAACAGAGATTTTCTATTAATGTTTTAATTTTTCTTCCTCCGTGGTTCATCAAAACCTCTGAACACCTACAGATTGGAACCGTAAAGAAGTTAATAGTACTCAGATCAAATCTTACAAAGACTGATTACTGACACATAGTAACACCTTAGCCACAGCTCTAAAAGAACCAGTAACAGGAAAAAGGCTAAAATTCTACCAAATTTGGGACTTTGCAAAATAAATCAAAGTAAAAAAAACATTCAGAAGGCAGAAACTTCACTGGAAGAATCTAGCAATTCTTACAAGCAATCTGCTAATGGTTCTTCGACCCGGTTGGAAGACAATGTTATGTGTATTAGGATTGTAATAATTTAGAAATCTTCAGCTAAGATTAGCATACCTCTGTCTTTATTTTAAGTCTGATTTTTCAACAGTTAGATAAATGTTATCTGAGGAATAAAATTGTTGCTGTCACTGTCTTATACAAACATTGTGACGCGACAGCATCATAATTATTCCCCAGGCAACTTTTATCTAACCATTGAAAAATCAGAACTGACTTTGGCCGTTAGTTATATAGCGACGCGCACGAGACTTAAAGCTACACTAACGCCATCTGGCGAGCGAAATAATAGAATAAAAGTCGTCACTATCATTTGGCAACAGCTTTGCTTTACTGGGTTAATTCAATTGTGTGTGCTAAACATAATATTATCACAACTAAACTGGTCGAAAAAAATAGTTTTCACAAATAAATCAAGAATATACAGGGTGTAAAAGACACTTAACGAAGTCGTTAACTACGCATACTGCAGTTCTAACTAAATAGCTTTACGCTAAAATTATCACTGGGAAACGACTTTTATTTTTAGGTATCAATCAAAATAATAATTTTATTGCGCGCAATGTAAAGCAAACGGGCTTCGTGTCATTGTGAGCGTAGGTTCACAGCTTAGCATTAAAACGCTGTGATAAGTACGTAGGTCGACGTTTTACTTCGCAACAACAAAACAATTCTGTAAAATAATAATCCTACTGAGTTATTTATTATGTATCGTTATTTATTACGTACATTACTGTTCGTAATTTAGAAAAATCGAAAATTCAGGTAATGTTTGTTTGGAAAAAAGTTTTGTAATAATATTTAGAATTCGATTGCGCAAAAAAAAAATGCATCATTGACCTTCAATATCTCGAGAACCAGTGGAGTCCCAGCTATGGTCTTAAAGAAAAAAATGATCCAAATAATGGGTAGAATACGTGGCTTTCGGCTTTGTTAAGTGTTTTTTACACCCTGTATAAGAATAACAATTTTGAATGATTGTTTGATTACAATACAAATATCATTTTTTGTATCGAAATATTTTTAATCGAATCAGAATCACTCGCTATACAAACGCCATTTCAAAAGGCATTATTGGTTACTGGAACGAAGGGAAAAATCATTTCAGAATTAAATGTATCTGAGAACATGTAATAATAATAATATTTGTGACATATAAAATACATAATCAACATTTTAGTATACAATCAACAATTATTTTCCATAAAACTAATTATTTCTTCAACACCATCAATGGCTCGTGTATATCAAATGCAGAGACCAGGTCCTGGAATTGAAAAGATTACGATATTATATTATTAAACATTTCTTAAAAATAAAAAACATTTAGAAATATAAAAAATAGTGTCCCACCGGTATCGGGAACAGGGTCCAAGCTACCGGCGGTCAGGGCTCCAGAGAAAGAAACCTCCTGACAATACGAGCCGTGTCCAGGAGTACCACTTTCTGGATCAAGCCCTTGATCCAGCCACCTAACGAGAGCCTCTTAAGGTGTTGGTCGAGGCTCTTAGCTATTAAGCTATTATTAATATTTTTTCTCTTCCTCAGGCCAGGCCAGGCCAAATCTGCTCCCACAATACCTGTCCAATTCAAAATTTTCCAAATCCCTAATCCCCAAAATGTCGGCAACGCACGCGGAATTTCTCTGTTGTTGCGGGTGTGGGCGGCGCTGATTGCTTACCATCAGGCTCAAAAAGGCTCCGCATGCATGGGTTCAAACCCATGCATGCGGAGCCTTTCGGCAAGTACCAATGTGAATTTTTCCGAGTTATATGCACTTTCTATGATTATTTAGACACCAGTAACATATGGTGAAGGTAAACATCGTGAGGAAACTTTGACTAATAATTTCTAATTATAAGTTTGATATTGCCAATCCGCCTTGAGCGAGCGTGGTGATTAATGGTCATTCTCCGTGTGAGAAGAGGCCTTTGCTCAGCAGTGGGTAGGCTGATGAGTGATGATGTGATGAAAGTTATTTACAAATTTGTCTGAGGACACAATTTTTTTTCCTCTACATATAAATAAAATTTCTTTCAAAAAAATTAAAGGTGTCTGGACATCTATGACCGAAAGAACATGGAAGAGCCAAGCTTCGGCACGAAAGTCTAACGGAATGATAATATCTCGACCTCGCAGAAACCCGGCGTGAAACAACTACAGCGTTGTGTTTCGCCATGTTAGTGAGGTTACCGGGGGCCCAATCTTTCCCCTCCCCCAATCCCTAAATCTGCAAAACCCTAATCCCTAAAAGGCCGGCAATGGACTTGTTACTATTCTGGTGTTTTTTTTTTATGGAATAGGAGGCAATCGAGCAGACGGATTACCTGATGGTAAGCGATCGGCGCCGCCCATGGACACCAGAGGAGTCACAGGTGCGTTGCCGGCCTTTTAAGAAGGAGTACGCTCGTTTCTTAAAGGTTTGAAGGTCGTATCGGTTCGGGAATACCGTCTCCGGGAGATAATTCAAAAGTTTTGCTGTGCGGGGCAGAAAGTGTTTTGCTTCGTCATTTATACCGCGTACATCGAGGGATTGGAACAGTTTGCCGGCTGCAGTCTTTCCGTCCGAATACAATTTAGGTGTCCTCAAGGCTAGAGTGAATAGGCTCTTAATAAACTAGTGCGCCTTACCATCAACGATTGCATCACTGCTTACCATCAGGTGGGATCGCAGTCAAGCACTAGTTTATTGCAATTAAAAAAAAAAGTTTCGCGTGCTTACCATCAGGTAATCCGTATGCTCGTTTGCCGTAATATCACACAAAAGATAGTAAGTAATGTATGTACCTGCCACCTCCGCATATCAATGGATACTATGAACTGTTTCTCCCCAGATTTATCCGACTCCTGCTGGCTCGGCGTCAATGGAGTTATGAATGGCAGACCGTTTTCGTTATCTGTAGAAAAAATTACGATATTTCATTATTTTTATTGGTCTGGACACTTTGGTAATGTTGGGACTTCTGGATACCACGGCTTCACAGAAAAGGGGCGTGATACAACCACAGCGTTGTTTTCCTAAGTCAATTCCAAACCCAACCCTCAAACTCTAGAGCTGATGTTTAGCCGGGGTTGCGGGTGGGGAGGGGGTTTAGCCAGTATGTCTGACTCTCTCTCTCTCTCTCTCTCTCTCTCTCTCTCTCTCTCTCTCTCTCTCTCTCTCTCTCTCTCTCTCTCTCTCTCTCTCTCTCTCTCTCTCCTCTCTCTCCTCTCTCTCTCTCTCTCTCTCTCTCTCTCTCTCTCGTTCACTCTCTCTCTCTCTCTCTCTCTCTTTCACTCTCTCTCTCTCTCTTTCACTCTCTCTCTCTCTCTCTTTCACTCTCTCTCTCTCTCTTTCACTCTCTCTCTCTCTCTTTCACACTCTCTCTCTCTCTCTTTCACACTCTCTCTCTCTCTCTCTCTCTTTCACACTCTCTCTCTCTCTCTTTCACACTCTCTCTCTCTCTCTCTTTCACACTCTCTCTCTCTCTCTCTCTCTCTCTCTCACACACACTCTTACTTACCCTGGGCGGAAGAAAAAATTTGATACTTTTACCCTGACAAATAAAACCGTGCAGTCAATAATAATTAAGAGAAGAACTCACCAAGTGTAATGGAGACCTTCCCGTCCCTAACTAGGAAGGATACATGGTAAATGTTCTCCACGCTCCGGCTGAAGCTGGTCGGATCGAGCACGGCGTGGAAATAGCTGAGGGGGCGGTTATTCTGCTTGTACCACTTGTTGATGAAGCGGTTCACTCGAGTCACCATTGCTGAGCCTTCCTCTTGTTTTTCTAACCTGGTCATTTGAGAGAATAATTTGTAATGCCGGCTGGACTGGAGTGGCTGTGCCAAAGCTTTTTAGCATGCCGTGGTATTTCAAGAGGGCGAGAAAGGGCAGCTCAACGCCCGACCAGAATCAGATCCGCTTAAAAGAGCCATCAAGTCACCACAGGTGAGGCACACAAAGGCTGAGATCCAGCATGCAACTTCAAATAAATGCTTGTCTTCTTATATATAAAAATGGATCGCAAAATGTATTGGTAAGCGCATAACTCAACAACGCTCGGACCAATTTCGCTAATTCTTTTTTTGTTGTGTTTGCTATTGTCAGGAGAAGGTTCTTATGAAAGAAAATATTAGAAAAGTAAAGGGGAAGATTAGGAAAAAGTTACCCTTTGATAGCGAGATAATTGGACCCGTGCGAAGCGGGGGGCGAGCCGTTAGTTTAGAATAAAAATTGAAGTCACAATAAATCTTTACTAATTTCTACAATCTACAATTTTTAATTTCTATTTTTTTATGATACAACATACAAAAAATACATACAATCCTCAATTTTTACCCTTCTACGATCAACCCTTATTTTTTAATAGCCAAAAACGGGTCAGCTAGTTAAAATACACAGAACAGAAAATTAAGTAGAAGTGCCCCTACACTCTTTCAAAAGGAAAACCAGTGTCGCCAAAATCACACATTCGCAAATCAAATTGTCCATTACACACATAAAAAACAGCTATATAATTGGGTAAAAAGTTGAAACGCAACTTTAGCAAATCATATTCTAAATGTTGTTAAAAATTGAGTCTTTTAGCAATGAGCGAAAGTTGTTATCATTTCACATGTCACAATCAATAAAGGCGTCTATCGTGTAAAAAATTAAATAAAACAATTTACAAACGGATCCAGCCACTCAACGCTAGATGGCGCTGTAACAAATTCATTCTATTCAAAACGCTAACTTCTTTGAAATAGATGTCATATTTGTATGCACTTGTACCAATAGACATTTACTTTTTTGCTACTCAGATAGGGCAGGGTATCCCAATATATCGATGTTTTTGTATTCGTGTGAGCAATATAATTTATCGACACGATACAAATGATCAGTAATGAAAAAGCTTCTAATAGAAAAAAAGAAAAATATTAACATTTTTTTTGAAGATCTAATGTTTTTTGGAGATGTTCAAGTTATTATTAAAGATTTCGATTTTAACATATAAAAGCACTACGCGCTCCTACAAGTTTTATCTCCTTTCCAACTAAAATAGAATCATTAAAATCGGTTCATAAATAACGGAGACGAAAAAACAAAAAAAAAATGTTACAGTCGAATTGAGAGTCACTCTCCTTTTTGGAACTCTGATAAAAATCATGTACAACATCTATACTTATAATAAATCTGTAGAGGGGTCAATTCTGTACATTAAATATATTTTCAAAATAACTACCAGGGGGTGATTAGTGATCGATACTGATGCCAAAAATGCAATCAGTAAAAATTTTGTCTGTCTGTCTGTCTGTCTGTATGTTCTTTATAGAAACAAAAACTACTCGACGGATTTTAACAAAACTTGGTACAATTATTCTTTATACTCCTGGGCAGGTTATAGGATACTTTTCATCACGCTACAAATAATAGGAGCAGAGCAGTGAAGGAAAATGTTGGGAAAACGGGAGAAGTTACTCCCTTTTGTAAGTTTCAGTCGCGTGTGTAACCTTAATGGTTAAACTTACATAGAAATTATGTATGACGGAAATATTTTAAATAAAATTGCTAGCAATTCTTAATTTCTAAATAGCTTAGCAATTCGGATAATAAGACATAGCGCCGTCGCAAGTGAACACTGAATCATGGTATAAGAATTATTTTTGTGTAGCGGTTGCCGTGCTCGACACGATGCGGTATAAAATATAATATAATATAGGTTTTATCAAATATTTGTAACTCTTACCTATTAGTTAGATCCGTACCTTTCTATCTATGGACGGACGGACTGCGGAGACTTAGTAAGTAATAGGGTATTTACCCATTGGAAATGTACCCATAAAAATGAGACGATAAATACCAAATTTTATGTATACTTAGATTTTGTTCTATTGCTATTTACTGCTTTTTATCAACACAGCACGCGGGCGAAGCCGCTGGCGAAAAAAAGTTATAAAATAAAAATGGTGATTAACCACCCGCACCTGCCACAGACGGATGCACGCTGTGTGTGGTTAAAACGTTGATGTGTCTATGCAATCTTAGCTAAACATTTATGAATTATACACAAAAATTGTCAAAAATCAATTTTCTGAACGATGATGATGAAAAATTATCGATATGAACCTATTTTACGAATATGTCGCATCCCTAAATGAGTAGCGTCGAAACTACTAGAATGTATTGTATATAACGTCACATAACGAACAAGTAGATTTAAACTTAATTGTAATGAAAATAAGGCCCTTTATAGTTTGCATTGAAGTAATGAAATGTGATATTTACATTAAAATCAAATATATTTAAAATTAACAAAGGTTAATACTCAAAGATGATACGATACACCACCACAAGACTCATCTTTTTTTCTGCTTACTTTTTTGCAGTTGAAAACCGCACAACAAGGCATAATTTCTGATATATTTCGTGTTTCTTAGAGACTACCATGACAACCAATCATGACAACGGATCGAACGATTCTGACAACAAATGTGCCAAAATGTTGTATATCTAGTCATCATGTTGGTTAGCGCGCGATGTCTGAGCGGCACAATCAAATCAAATCAAATCAATCAAATCAAATTCTTTATTTCAAATAGACCAAAAAAGGCACTTTTGAACGTCAAGCAAAAAAGATATCATAAGGTTTAACTTTATGTGTCAGTCTGTCCGTCTGTCCTCTAGTGAAGCTATTTGCTCGTTCCAAAGTGTAGATTCCTATGGAGAAGAACGAGCAAGAAACTCCATGGTTACTCTTTTTCAATCACTTTTTACAATACATTGTTACATAATTTAGATAGCTCCATTATGTGAGAACAGTGTAACACTAGTGTTTAACCAAAGTATCCGAAAAAGAAATAACCCTCAGGGACAGCAACTTTAGACAGTCTCGAGTTGACCAGTCCCAATAGGCGGCGTCCGTTCACGAACATGACACGTACACCAGCACCGCCCAACTCAACCATATTATAGGGAACCGAGCGGTCCAGTGCCCGTGCCACCGCCAATGAGACTCCTGAGTGAGCATGACAACTCCCAACTGACACAAGTACCAATATACTATAAGTCTATAAGTCTAACTCAATTATAATAAGTTACAGGGCTCTCACATTTACAAAAATCCAGTTTATCAACAATCAACAACATGGTGAATAATTTAATAATTGAGATCAAAATTCCTCTTAACCTTAACAATTTTTATCCTGTGCAGTCAAACCAGCCACCCTCCAAGCATTTTTATCTTCTATATAATCATTTAGTTTATAGTATGCTTTCCTACATAATACTTTCTTTATACATAATTTAAATTTACTTTCATTAAGATTTTGTATTTCAGTTGGGATTTTATTATAACATTTAACACATAATCCCATGAACGACTTATGCACTTTTGCTAATCTAAATAAAGGCTGACTTAATCTATTTCTATGTCTAGTAAGATAGTCATGCTTGTCAGATACTTTTACAAATAGCTGTAGGTTTTTCCTAACATACATAATGTTTTCATAAATATATTGACATGGTACGGTCATAATGTTGATCTCCTTAAACTTTTCTCTGAGAGATTCGCGACGACCTAAGTTATAGATAGCTCTGACTGCACGCTTTTGTAAGATAAAGATAGACTCAACGTCGGATGCCTGTCCCCACAACAGAATTCCATACGACATGATGCTGTGAAAGTAGCTAAAGTACACTAGTCGTGCCGTGCCTACGTCGGTTAGCTGACGGATCTTCCAGACAGCATAAGCTGCCGAGCTCAACCGCCCTGCTAGAGATCTAATGTGGGGCCCCCATTGCAGCTTGTCGTCTACAGTAATCCCCAAGAATGTGGTCTCCTTTACAAATTCCAGTTTCTGACCATTTAATAATATATCATCGCATACGTTACTTTTAACATTTGGCAAAATAAATCTAATGCATTTCGTCTTTTTATCATTAAGTACTAAGTTGTTTTTGTGAACCAATTATGAACTTTCGTTAAGGCATTATTCACTTAGTCATAGTTATTTGATCGTCTATTTAATTTAAAAATCAAGGATGTGTCATCAGCGAATAATACCATATGCGGTTCACTTTGGAATAAATGGGGCAGGTCATTGACATAAACCAAAAATAGGAATGGACCCAATATTGAGCCCTGCGGTACGCCCATAGATACGCTAGCACCCTGGGAGTTTACTCTGTTTACTTGTACTGTAAGAAGTCTTTCTAGAAGGTATGATTTTAATAAATTTAGGGATACCCCCCGAATGCCGTAGTGTTGCAGCTTCAGTAATAGCGTTTCGTGCTCAACACAGTCAAAAGCCTTCGAAAGATCGCAAAATATTCCGATGGCATTCTGTGCTTTTTCCCACGATTTGAAAACTTGTTTTATAAGCGATACTCCTGCGTCCGTAGTGCAACGTCCCTTAGTGAACCCGTATTGTTGGTCATGGAAAATAGAATTCGCGTTAAAGTGACGCAGTATTTGAGTAAGTATCAACTTTTCAAACACTTTACTGAGCACTGGCAAAATAGAGACCGGCCTACAGTTATTGCGTTCTGTGCTATCACCTGATTTAAGTAATGGAACTACTTTACTATGTTTCATTAAATCCGGGAAAACCCCTTGATCTACACTTCTTTTATTAAAAATTAAAGTTAAGTAAGGCGCTATAGTCTCTATAAAAGACCTGCACACTCTAACAGACATTCCCCAGAGATCTTCACTGGACTTTACTTTGATATCTTTAAACGCCTTTATTACTTCCTGGGGGTTTGTATGTTTAAACCTAAAGTCCGCAGGACATTCTTTGACGTTACTTCTGAGAAGCTCGACCGCAAGTGCTGGAGATGATTGCAACGTTTCCGTAGTTTTGATGGGAATATTTTTAAAGAAATTTTCGAATTCCTGGGCAACTAATGAATTTGTACTAGTAAATCCCTTTTCGGTTTTTAAATTAAATTCTGTCTTATTAGATTTGTTTCTACCTGTTTCATTACTAATTATACTCCAGGTAGCTTTTATTTTATTTTTCGCGGTCCGGATTTTACTGCTAATATAGAGTGATTTAGCATGCTTACAAACTAATTTAAATATTTTTGAATATTTGGAGACATGCCTACGAAAAGCCTCACTTTTATTAAATGGTTTCATGCCATATAGCTCAAATAACTTTTCTCTACTTATACGAATGCCTGGTGTAGCCCAGTCACAGAATAAAAATTTACACTGGATATTTTTACGTTTTAAAGGGAACATTTTGTCGAACTGTATTTTTATGATGGATAATAAGTTAGCATAGATATCACTCGGGCATTCATTGTCTTGTAATGGGCTGCATAATTTATGTTTTAAATTTTTATTTAATGACTCAATTTTTTTGTTTGTTATCTGTCTGAATATAATTTCCGTAGTTGCCACAGTTTTAAAAGTATTAAAGTTGACTGTTAGCCCACTGTGATCAGATGGTAATCTGTTTACAATTTCATTATGTAAATAATCACAGTTACAAAAAATATTATCTATACAAGTTGCCGAGGTGGATGTTACTCGGGTAGGCTCAAGGAATATATTAGACAGATCAAAAGATTTAAAAAGACCTAATAAGTTTGTACAATAAGAGTTGTTTTCTAAGAGATCAACATTAAAATCGCCACATACTATTGTATACTTATTACTAGAACACGTTTTCTGTAATACATCTTCCATTACTGAGCAAAATATATTTAAATTCTGTATGTTAGGAGGCCTATAAACACATACTACAATATGCCTATCCAGTTCAACACAGGACAACTCTATTGAGTGCTCAATTGATAGCAGTGCAATGTCTTGCCTTTCTTTATATTTTATTGAATTCTTTACTAAAATCAAGCTACCACCATGTATCATTTCTTTGCGGCTATAATAGTTGCCAACACAATAATTATTGAAGTTAATTGATTCTACTTGATAATCTTTTAACCAATGTTCAGTTATACAAATAATGTCATATTGGAACTTTTTTAAAAACAATTCAATTTGTAGGATTTTTGATGCTAAGCCCTGAACATTTTGACTATACAATGACAACAGGTTATCTGTTTTATTTTTCAATTTAAGTTTATGCTTAACAATATTGCCAGAAGAAACCTTTTTAATGATTGGGGTTTGAAGTGGAGTGATTGGGGCACTTCCACTGTATTTTCTATTCCGTGTTAAAATATATGTCGGAGAAGCATTGTCATTGTTGACATTGTCATTAGTGGTTGCAGGTTTAGTGGGCGTCATGAGGGTAGAATGCGAGCACAAAACATAATAATCACAATTAACACTATTTTAATTTAGATGGTAACAATAGTTTTGTCTATTTCATAATAACACAAAAGAAAGTCGATAATTAGAACTGAGCAGCGGGTTCAGGGCACCAATCTTACAGTTATTACATAAACGATCCAACTCGACCGTGCTCTGCTCTCATTGGTCATTACATTACATAGGAAGTCAAATTCCAGTTTTAAAATAATAATAAAAAAAAGAACAAAAATTAAATTAAGACTATGAAATGTAACAAATTCATCTAAATTAATTTAAGCATTTTAAAAAGTGAATATAACACAAACAAAAATTAATGTGCGTAACAATCAACTCCCAGCTTCCTCCGACATATATATTTTATATAACAGAAACATTGACTCACCTGTCTACTTTCTCCGGTTCTTTGAGCTGTACAGCCTGTTGCCTCTCCACCTGTCGGCGGGGGGCGCGGGGTCTCTGTTCAGGCGGCGTGGGGGCGAACGTCCCGAACAGGTGCCCCACCACCGGCACCTCTAGGGGGAACGTGAACTGCCAGAACTGGGGATTTTCTTGCTGAAATCGAGACATTCTTATAACCATATATTTAAAGATGGGCTTTGAAAGTTACAACTTTTCTTATATGTGATAGGACGGCAAATGGGTACACGGATTACCTGATGGTAAGCAATGAGCGCCTCCCATTGATACCAGCAAAAAAAGAAGGCGTCGCCGATTTTTGGGCATTTAGGGATTGGGGAAGGGGAAGGATTGTGCCTCCAGTAACCTCACTCAAACGGCGAAACACGACGCTGTGGTTATTTCACGCCGGTTTTATGTGAGGCCGTGGTATCACTCCGGTGGAGCCGACTCATTCGTAAATTAATTTGACTCACAATATGTTTGGCGAGCTCGTGCCGGTCGTAAGTGTTCACGTTGCAGCTGACGGCCACGGAGCAACGCACCGTGATGTCACTGGCAGCGCGCATCACGCGTGAGTCCAGGTATTCCTCACCTGAAAACATATATTAATTACTAGCTACTCCCGCGCGGTTTCACCCGCTGCTCGGCTACATTTGTACGTAGCGTGATGTTTTATAGCCTATAGCACTCAGGAACATTGTAGCTATCTATCAGTGAAAGAATTTTGTCAATGCGACCAGCGGTTCCAAAGATTACCCCCTACATACAAACTTACAATACTTTTTTATAATATTATTAGTATAGATAATCATACTCATTCAAATATTTATGTATGAAAGTCAATGCTACTTTTCGTTGTAATGTTATAACTCAACAATGAGTGCCAGACTCTTACTGACAGAAACCTCGCCTGTTTTTTTAATACCGCGAATTTTATCGCCTTTGCTTATACTTCCCATAAACCCTTATAAACTCGCAATAAGATAGATATCAGGCGACACAGTAAATGAGTCCAAGACAAGAGTTACAGGCTTACTACACTAATATAATGAAGCTAAAGAGTGTGTTTGCTTGTACACACTCAACTCCGAAACTGCTGGTTAGAATTGGGCAACTATTTTTATGTTTAAATTCTCCGCTACTAATAAGCAAAGCCAAGCAGGTCGTGAAACTATTACAGTGTATCGAGAAATCCACTAATATTATGCCCAGTTGAATGTGCGATATGTACTCAAGTACAATAGTACAAGTATAAGAGTACTGCTCGTAAATGACAGTCCGGTTATAACATGAAAAAAGTAGAGATCTCTAAATTGATTCATGTGGGTAAGTCATTATAATTATTTTAAATAAAAATAATTTCTTAGCTTACAAACCTGGATCCTTCATTTTTTCCTCAAGTGTAGATTCTGCGTATAGATCTTTTGCCTCCTTGACCATTTTTTTGGTCTTGTCCATGCAGTCCACATTGTTGTCCGCCTCATTTTCTGCAATATAACATAGCTTTTTTAAGTGAATAAGCAGCAAACAAGAAAACCTTCTGATGGTAAGCAATAACAATAAGAGGAGGTAATAAGGTAGAAAGTAAGTGTGGGAGTGCCATGCTTCGGCACAAATGGGTCAGGGTGACCGTAGTGAGACCACTGCCTTCAGCATTATTTTTCACCGTGTGTATGAGGTTACCCGAGGCCCAATCATTTCTCTCCCCAAATCCCTAAATCTCCAAATCCCTAATCCCAAAAAGGTCGGCAACACACTTGTAAGTCCTTTGTTGTTGCGGGTGTCCATGGGGGATGCTGATTGCTTACAATCAGGTAATCTGTCTGATCTTTTGCCAATCTACTACATATTAAAAAAAGGTACTTATACATGATTTGAGATAAGAGGAAGATTGGGTCTCCATTTTCCTCTCAGCTGCAAAAGAAGATAGAAGTTTTTTCTTGACTGGTTTTTTAGCCAGCTAAGTCACTTTTGATAGACATAATATGTAAAAGAAAGTTTTGAAGGTAAAAAATTATAGTCTGTTGGTTAGTCCCCAAATAGAACTGTTTACAAGTTCCAAAGGGTAGGTTAAGGAGGAAAATGAGCAAGAAACTCCATGGTTACTACACTTTTCAGACTATTTTGTTCCATTATGAGAGAACAATGTTGTAACAATATTTAGCCAAAGAAACAGAAATAGAAAAAAAGGGGTAGGAAGGCTGGGTTCTGAAATTAAAAAAAAAATTCTTCTATGATAGACATTCAGATCTGTTTTGAGGCTTTTAGCAAGAGATAGTCATAATTTTAAATATGATTAAGTAATTTTTAAGATATTAAAACAGAGCTTCCTCTCTCCTGTTTGCCCTATTTTGTTAATTGCTAATAGACTGCACGGTTGGTGCGGTGGCTGGGCAACTGGCTGCCGTGCAACGTGTCGCGGGTTCAATTCCCGCACGGACCAACTCTTTGTGTTATACACTGGATGTCATGTGTATATGAAATTGTATGTTTGTAACCGCACCTACGACACAGGAGAAAATCCTAACGTTTTTTTTTAAAAAATAAGAAAACAAATTGTTACCACCATTAAAATATGTACTTATGGAAAAGCAATAAAGATATTGAGTATTGAGGAAGTACCTATCCATATACTGTAATCACTTACCTACATGTATATTTGTACTTGGTTTTTTTTATAGATAAAGAGAACGGGAGTCGGGACAACCAAAAAGTCAATAAATAAATTAGTCATACATACCTAAATTCGTTAGATATTCCAAAATCTGTCTGTATCGAAGTTTCCTTTCAAAACTTTCGCCGGTACTCGTTCTTGATACTTGAGAAGACATTATTAATTACTTTTATAACTTTAACAGGTATTACAAATGCCTATGTACCATAATGGAACAACAAGCAAAACAACAACGGTCAACAACCATTCAACAGTCAACAACAGTGTTGTTTGACATTGCAAGAAAACCGCGCTGATATAAAAAAAATCCGTTCGGAAGTCCAAACTCAATGTAGAGCTAAATCCAGCCATAATTGAATAATTTAGAGGTGATATGTATTTTATATCTTCTTTGATTTACTAAAATGGATAATTTTAAAAACTTCAAAGTATATTTGACATAATTGTTATGTTTTAATTATTTGGAGCTAAAGGATTTTTATACTATACTATTTTTGAACGAACCAACACTCCAGTGTTGCCAGATTCAACTTATCTAATTTGGTAGATTGTTTAAATAGAATATGATTTTATTCTTTTAATATGAAATTTTAAATTACATTTTAAGTAACGCGACCAATTACTGTATTTTTTAATTACTTATACTTAGTCATAAACATAAATGTAGTTCAATTTCAGATTGTCCAACTGTCTTACAGCCCTGATTAGTGTAAGTATATTATATAAGTGAATAGTGGAATGCGTTGCGTGGAAGGGTGGTCTGGTGATCTGTTATTTTTTATGTATATAATAGGTCGGTAAATGAGCAGACAAATTACCTGATGGTAAGTGTAGCGGCACTATCACGTCGCTACATTACTTAGATACGATAGAGATAAGACATACATGTTAATTGTTGCACGTTTGTTAGGATAGCTAAATCTGAAAATCTCACGCATCTTCTTAGTATATAAGCACCAGCAATTAAAGTAATAAACAGACCTTAACCATCTACAGTCTCATTATTTACCTTGCCACGAAGTCTGGCAAATTGGTGACCCGACGAAGAACAATCAACATGACTCATTCACCCTGCAAATCAAGCAGCAGCCAACAAGAAGCCTTGGAGATATCAGCCGGAACCGCCATTTTATCCCGTATTCCGGAATTTTGGAGGGACCAACCCAGATTATGGTTTAAGCAACTAGAAGCCATAGTAGCACCACAGAAGCAAGGAGACGATTACAAGTACTATACGGTCATTGCAAAACTGCCAAAAGAAGAAATAATACAGGTTAGTGACCTCATTACTTGCCCACCGCCAATAGAAAAGTACAAGGCTATCAAAGAACGCCTAATCAGTTGCTATGAGGAATCAGACCAACGTCAGCTCCAAAAATTATTGTCTGAAATGGATCTCGGCGACCAGAAACCATCACATCTTCTGCGCAAGATGCGGACCCTGAGTAACGGAAATATCAGCGACGAAACCATCAAACTTCTATGGTTGAGGCTTCTGCCACCATCAGTGACTTCGGTTCTAGCAGTCACAGAAGAATGTCATGCATACTAGCACAGTTAGCAGAAATGCAATTGGAACTAAATGCAATTCAGCAAGGTCAAAAAAACTATCGACGCAGCACTCAAAGTTATTCCAATCGTCGGCATTTCCTACCACAGTCGAGTTCAAGAGAAAGAAGGCACTTTTGTTTTTACCATGGAAGATTTAAAAAATATGCACAAAAGTGTGTTCAACCTTGTGATTGGAAACAGGATCTCAACTCAAGGAAACAGGGAAACTAATTGAAGCACGGACAACGGCGGAACTCTGTGCTATTCACCCGTCCAACCGCCTCACTATTACCGACCGAAAAAGTGGTATGAGATTTTTGATTGACACGGGAGCAAATATTTCAGTTATTAGCAAGCCACAGAGACATTCACTAATACAAGATGAACAATGTATACTTTATGCCGCCAATGGTACAAAAATTAAGACATATGGTGAAAAAACACTCTCTTTAAACTTCGGGCTACGAAGAAACTTTGTATGGAACTTTGTCATCGCCGATGTAACACAACCGATTATTGGAGCAGATTTTTTAGAGCATTATAAGCTATTAGTCGATATAGCTGGTCGAAAACTCATAGATAGGGTAACTGAGCTGACAACGCCCGCAACCCTGATCAAATCGACGCAGCAAACAATCCGCACTATTAACATTGAGACGAATCCACGCATTACTCAACTATTAAATGAATACGAGGATATTACGAAACCAGCCTCCTTCCACACTACTCCAAAACACAAGATTAAGCATCATATTATCACTAAAGGACCACCGGTATCAGCACGTGCAAGACCATTACCTCCTGATAAATATCATATAGCAAAGAAAGAATTTCAGACTATGATGGAGCTTGGCATTTGTCGCCCTTCGGACAGCCCATGGGCTAGTCCTTTGCACATGGTTAAGAAAAAGAACGGTGAATGGAGACCATGTGGAGATTATAGAATGCTCAATAGCGTGACTGTACCGGACAAATATCCACTTCCACGGCTAACTGATTTCACTTACATACTAGAAGGGAAGCAAATCTTTTCCAAAATTGATATTCGAAAGGCGTACCACTGCATTCCTGTAGAAAATGTGGAAAAAACTGCTATTATCACTCCTTTTGGACTTTTCGAATTTCCAAAAATGCCTTTCGGTTTACGTAATGCGGCGCAAACATTCCAACGATTCATGGACTCGCTATTCAGGGATTTGGATTTCGTATTCATATTCGTCGACGATTGTCTTATAGCATCTGAAAACGAGGCTCTACATTATCAACATTTGGATACGGTTTTCAAACGTTTACATGAAAATGGATTAACAATTAATCTCGAAAAATGTGACTTTCTTAAGAGTGAAATAGATTTTCTGGGTTATCATACAACACGTCGAGGAATACGACCAACGGAGGAAAAGTACAAAGCAATTATGGAATTTCCTAAACCTACGACAATCAAGGAGCTAAGAAGATTTTTAGGAATGATCAACTTTTACAGAAACAATCTCCCTCATGCCGCTGAATATCAAACTATCTTAAACAACTACCTGCACGACTCTAAAAAGAATGATAATTCTCCAATTTCTTGGACAACAGAGGCCGAAAAAGCTTTTGATAAATGCAAGGAAAATATAATGAACGCAGTATTAACAGTTCACCCCTCTCGCACCGCCCCTTTGGCACTTATGACGGACGCCAGTTCGACCTGTGTTGGCGCAGTTCTGCAGCAGAAGTCAGGACGTAATTGGGAACCATTAGGATTCTTTTCAAAGAAATTAAGTGATACTCAACAAAAATACTCGACATTCGACAGAGAGTTGCTCGGAATATATATGGCAGTCAAACATTTTCAAAGGTTAGTCGAAGGAAGAGAATTTACTATCTTTACAGATCATCGACCTTTGACTTACGCATTTTCCCAAAAACCGTCATCTAATGATACGCCACGGCGAATACGACAACTGGATTTTATTTCACAATATTGTACCAACATTCAACATATAGAAGGACGTGACAATATTGTAGCAGACGCATTGTCACGGATAGAACAAATTGATGTGCCATCACCGATTAATTATGCTGATTTAGCAAGATGTCAGCATGATGACCAAGAATTATTACGACTTCGTAATAACAAGAATTTAAAATTTTCAAATATCAAGGTTCCGGGTTCTACTGAAGTCATCGCCTGTGACATATCTACAGGAAAAAATCGCCCCTATTTACCAGAAAAATTTCGGAGACAAATTTTTAATGTCATGCATGGACTGAGTCATCCTGGGAAGAGAGCTACTAGGAAAATGATAACTCAAAGATATTTATGGACAAGTATGAATAAAGATATAAATGAATGGTGTAAATCGTGCCTAGCTTGTCAAAAATCAAAAGTGCAACGCCACACTATATCACCTGTCGGGAACTTTATGCCATCTCAACGTTTTGAACATCTACACATCGATATTGTTGGACCGTTACCTGTTTCTCAAGGAAAGCGATATTTAATTACAATGATAGATCGTTGTACTTCTTGGCCGGAAGTATTTCCCGTTAAAGATATCACAGCCGAAACAGTAGCGCGCATACTGTATGAGGGATGGATAGCAAGATTCGGATGCCCATTACGCATTACTACGGATCAAGGTCGACAATTTGAATCAAGAATATTTGAATCACTTTCACAATTTTTAGGAGTACACAAAATTAGAACAACGCCTTATCACCCACAATCAAATGGAATGATAGAGAGATTTCATAGAACTTTAAAAGCGGCGCTAATATCAAGAGAATCTAATGCTAATTGGATGAACGAAATTGCTTCAGTTCTACTTGGATTACGAAGTTGTGTACGCGAGGACACAGGATATAGTGCAGCAGAGATGATATATGGCGCACCTATAAGGCTTCCCGGAGAATTTTTTGAATCGTCACAGCCTTCGACATACGAAGAATTTGTCTCAAATATACAAAAGGACATTTCTCGTATGACATCAACATCAAAACGCAAGAAAATTAAACAAACAGTTTTCATTCACCCCGAGCTCAACAAATGCTCACATGTATTCGTGCGCTGTGACAGAATAAGGAAAAGTTTAACACCACCATACGAAGGACCATTTCTAGTGACAAAGAGGATAGATAAGACGTTCATCATTAAAATTGGGGACAATGAAAAAGCAATATCTATAGACCGATTAAAACCTGCATTTGTCTTCAATAGTGGAACGAACGTGCCAAATTCAGAAAATAATCACAACGGGCGGAACACGTACATCACGAAGTCAGGACGGGCGGTTAAGCCGACAGTACGATTCGTCACTTGCTGACACAAGTAATCAGTCCATTTAAATACTCACCGTATTTTGAAAATACCATCATATACCGTCAGTATCTACGAGAGAACAATGGGCAACCAAAGCTCCAAAGATCAAATCGTATATAACTCCGACAGTTGCCTTAATCAAAATGAAGCCGACCATCTCAAAAGTCTTGTCCTGGAAGAGCTACGGTGGACGAGAAACATTGCAATTGGACAAATCCTCATCACAATTGGCATCCTTCTTCTCTACGGAATACTGAAGACCTTAGACAGAAGAGTGAAAACAATAGCAAGAAACAATCAGCACAAATGCAGTGGATAGTTCATCGACTGCCGCCGCCGTCACAACAAAGGCAGCAGTTTTTATTTCCTTCGAATTAGCAACAATGACATTACATTACGCATAGGATGTAATTTATCAGCAAGGTTAAGTTATTATATAATTAGGTACATACTAATTTTTTTCAATTTATATGTTAATTATTTTTAAAAGGGGGGAGTATATGTAGCGGCACTATCACGTCGCTACATTACTTAGATACGATAGAGATAAGACATACATGTTAATTGTTGCACGTTTGTTAGGATAGCTAAATCTGAAAATCTCACGCATCTTCTTAGTATATAAGCACCAGCAATTAAAGTAATAAACAGACCTTAACCATCTACAGTCTCATTATTTACCTTGCCGCAACCCACGCCTTCAGCCACGCATTCAGCGCCGCCCATGGACACCCACAACGGAGGGGTTACGAGTGCGTTTCCGACCTTTTACGGATTAAATTTTTGGAGATTTTGGGATTGAGGAGGGATCGGAGGAGGGGAAGGATTAGACCTCCGGTAAACTCACTCACACGGCGAACATAAAGCTATGGTTGTTTCATACCGGTTTTCTGTAAGGCCGTGGTTACACACCAATCGAGCTGACCGATTCGTTCCGAAGCCCGGCTCTCCCACACTTAACTGTTTTTTTTTTCAATTTTTTGATGTAAAAACATGCTTTAATGTATGTATGTTACCATTCATATGTATTTCATCATCATCTTCCTGCCCTTGTCCCATTTTATTTGGGGTCGGCGCAATATGTTTTTTCTTCCATTCTGTCCTGTCACCCGTCACGCTATCACTGACTCCTCTGTCTTCCATATCATTTCTCACACAATCCATCCATATTTTCTCTGGTCTCCCTCTCCCTCTCCATCCATCCACATTAATACTCATGGCTTTTTTGTAACATGAGTTTCATTTCATCCCTCCTTTTCACATGGCCATACCAAGACAAACGCTTCCCTTTCAACTTTTCTGTCACTGGCGCCACTTTAAAACTTCCTCTAATATACTCATTTATCACTTTATCCATTCTCGTCACACCACACATCCATCTCAACATTCTCATCTCTGCTATATGCAATCGCTTTACATCCGTCTTTTTCAGAGCCCAATATTCTGACCCATACAGTAGGACAGGCCTTATCACGGACTTGTAGATTTTACCTTTCAGCCTGAGGGGCGTCCGTGGGTTGCAAGTTGTTCTAGTGACCTATCGCCATTTCATCCATCCTGAGTTGATCCGATGTGCCACGTCTCGGTCTATCTCACCATTCCATTGGATAAGCGGCCCAAGGTACCGAAAATCGGAACAGGTTGGTATGGGCGTTCCGGCGAGAGCAATAGGCTCAGGACTAGAGAGACCGCCAAAATCGCAGAACAGGTACTCTGTTTTAGTTCTGCTCAATTTTAGGCCAACGCTCTCCAGTCTTTGCCACCACACCTCCAATCTGCTCTGGACCTCTAGGGCACTCTCGGCAACCAGCACAATATCATCGGCAAACAGCATGCACCTCTGATGTCTGAATGTCAGACATCAGAGCGTCCATTATATGTATTTAAAAAATATAAAAAGTGAGGTTCGAGCCACCGTGGTTAAGGTTCCGCGAAATCAAAATAATCTTCGGACTTAATACATTAATTTCAAGTTTCTGGTGAATTACAATTAAGTACACAATTACATTTTTAGTACCATGTTTTATAGACTATTAACAACTAAATACATAATTAAAACAGGATTACTTTATTTATCATCCACCTATAAGATTTTACACCATAAAGGTATGAACACAATCTTGACTTGGTAGCAAAATTTGGTAGAATTAGTAATTAATTTATATTTGCGGTGGTATCATTCACTAGCATAAAATTTGTTGTAGGAGTGCGCGGTTTAAAGACAAAACGTTGCATTTTAACGAATTTAATTGTAATATATTTAATATTTTTTATAATAAAATGTACAATAATCTATAGTATCTATAATATTAATGAAATTTCGGTATAGACAATAAGTATTGTCGTGTCGTTACGGAACGTTTGTGACAAAGTTGAAAATCAGTGAGGTTATAAATTACAAACATTTCATGAAATAAATGGATTCAGCGCCAGCACAAGAGGTAACTGAGCTGCTGAGACAATGGGAGGAGCAACATGCAACACCCAACTTCGACCCGATACCGACTTTGACGAGGTGCGTACTTTGTTTTGATAAGTTTTGCGAAAAAAAAAACGTAATAATTAGCACATTGATATGTCTCCCGTATGTCCACACATGTGGCTACGACGTACATATTTAAAAATAGACGTCTCGACCATGCTGTTTTGTTTAATTAAAACGATAAAGATAATTTTAACTTTTTAAAAGTTTCGTAGTATGTAAACAGGAAGTTAAGATTTTGTACGTAATTCGATGCATAGCCGAAGAATTTGGTTAATATCGATAACTATAGCCATTAAATATCATTTTACTATCGTTAACTGTTAATTATTGTTAAATAAGATTAGTTGAAACTTTGTTGACATTGCTACTTTTTTTTTCTTACCTCACTTTGGCAGCGGCCATAAGCTGTCAGCCAAGTTGTAATGAAACTTTTTTATGAGATTGAGCAGTGTTTATTTCATTCAGTAAAATAAATACTGCTAATCAGATAAATATAATAGGTGATGTAAATGTATTTTTAGTTGCAATATTGCATAATTTGTTTCCCGTGCTTATTTATCTATGTGCAATATTTTTTAATATAACCTGTTGTGATGTTTTATGTTCAACCAAATACAATATTGAAGTTTGAAAATGATCCTTTGTCTAATTTTTTCATATTAGAATCTTTTAGCTTAATACATACATTTTTCTTGCATGGAAAATGCAAATTTTCTTGTAACATAATTTATGTTTGCTTTCAAATAAGAAAAAAAGTGGTTAAAATAACAAAATCTTTTTTTGAAGTCTAGAATATTTATCATGACATGTTGATATGCATGTTTTGGTTGCATATAGACGGCCCACCATTGCTTTGCTTGCTTGGCAGTCATTTGTTTTGTTAGCGAATTGAAAGAGTTACATGTCTCACTAGACACATATGTATACTTCTCTTGTTACTTGTGTTTTAATCTGTGGCCCCAAAAATTTGCTCCTGTATTGTATGTGTACTAATACAATATACCCAGATACTAAAAGTATAAGTCTGTACTGGGCAGACAGTACAGCAGCTTCCCAGCCCCTGTGCAGTCAATAAAGTGCATAAAAAGAAATGTTATATGGATGTGTAGCCATGATTAAGTAATATTAGGATTAATTTTAATGTTAATATTTAATTGATTATAGCAAACAAGTAAAAGCACTATGCAACAGGTTGCCACATGTTGATTAAAATTATTTTGTAATATTGTGAAATAGTCCAACTTTTTATGAATACTAGTTTCTGCCCACGGCTTCGTCTGCATTGTATGTTGAAAAAAAACAGCCTATGTGTTAATCCAGGGTATACACTATACACCAACCTAACCTGTAATTATCAAATTTCAATCAAGTTGGTTCAGCAGTTTTTTGTGTGAAAGAGTACCAAACATCCATACATACAACTTTCACATTTATAATATTAGTTTGGATTAGTAGGACTAGTAGGATTGATGCCAAAGTTCCATTAATCCTGATGTTTTAATCATTCTAATGTAGAAGTACATACCTACAATATTTTATGTATTTCTATGAAAAAATATAATTATTTATTTATACTTCATGCACAATTTGTATGTACATGAGGCAGACTTAATGCATTGAGCATTCTCTACCAGTCGACCTTTGGGTGATGCAGAGAATCCAGTAGTAGATGCAAGAAGCAAGCGAAATAGAGTAGTATAACATAGGTTTATATAAACATACATAAAGTACATAGAACTATACTTATATACATATATTTATAAAACACATACTACTTAATATATTTACACATATAAATACATACATACATATATATTATACATATATGTAGTGATGATCACGATGACTCCCCAACCCTCCCCAGAAGAAGCTCCCGAACTCTCTGCTTGAATGTCAGCCATTTAGTCACAGTCCTGACATCGGGGGGTAGTAATTACTATGTAATAAACATATAAAGTTCTCGATGCACAGTTTTCGTAGCCATACTCCTCCAAAACGGCTTGACTGATTTTAATGAATTTTTTTGTGCTTATCCAGTATCTATGAGAATCAGTCAACATCTATTTTTCATCCCCCTAAATGTCAGGGGTAGTCCACCCCTAACTTTGTTTGTTATTTTTTGGCAATTATTTTAATTTCTATTTTTTTAAGATACATCATTCAAAAATGCATATAATCCTCAATTATATTTTATACCCGTGCGAATATATGTTTTCATATAAATTGGCCGGGCAACTGGCTGCCGTGCAACGTGTCGCGGGTTCGATTCCCGCACGGAACAACTCTTTGTGTGATCCACTAATTGTTGTGCCGGGTCTGGGTGTCATGTGTATGTGTCTTTGTACCGCACCCACGACACAGGAGAAAATCCTAATGTGGAGCAACGTTTTTTTAAAAAGAAAAGAAAGAAATCCGCTAATGTTGCGGGTCTCTGGTGTTGATTGCTTATCATCAGGTGAAACGCCAGGGTTTTTGACTGCGTAACTATAAAAAATTGAAGATCTGACAAATACTTATATTATGTATTATGTGCATTTGATTTGATTTTAATTTATTTATGTAAAGCAAATTAATCTTTATATACTTATTATTTTTTTGCTCTAACTGTAAATTAATTTAATACTTTCTTCTTACAGGATAGCAGAGATAATAGAAGCAGAAACAGAGAACTTTATGAAGAAAGATCCGGATCCATTCGATGAGAGGCACCCGTCGCGTACTGACCCCGAGTGCGCGCTTGGACACGCCCTCAAAGTTATGTTCAAGAAAGACAACTTTATGACTAAGGTAATAAGGTTTATTATTACTTAAGTTACCGCTTGTAGCTATGCCTGTATGTGAATTATGAAGATTTTTCTCATTCGTTGGATTACGGATATAAATAGCGCTATATTATTAGCTTTCCAACAGTGAAAGCAATCAATGTTTTTTTCTTTATTCTCATCATCAGCCCATAAGTGCCTACTGCTGAGCAAAGGCCCCTTCTCATACGGAGAAGGTTAGAGCATTAATCACCACGCTTGCTCAATGCGGGTTGGCGATTTCAAACTTATAATTAGAAATTATAAAGTCCAGGTTTCCTCACGATGTTTACCTTCACCGTTTTCATTGAAAGTACATATAGCTTAGGAGTAACTCGGAAAAAGTCAGTGGGTTCGAACCCACACCCTCATGCATGAGAAGCCCGGAGTGGCCCGGAGGTTAAGGAGCCCTTAACCTCCGGACCACCACGACATTATTGTTCTATTACTTTTTTATTCTATTAGTTTTAGTCGACTGCACTGTTGGTGCGGTGGCTGGGCAACTAGCTGCCGCGCAACGTGAGGCAGGTTCGATTCCCACACGGAACAACTCTTTGTGTGATCCAGAAGTCGTTGTTCCAGGTCTGGGTATGTGGAATTGTATGAAAAAATACCATCGGAATCTAAAGTATAAGTGTTTTTTGTTTCAACAGCTCGTGAACGACTATGTACGGGACACGTACTACTCACGGCAGAATATCACTGGCCGTGACGTGCACAAACTGAACGTGGCCGCCTGCAGACTGACGCTCGACCTCATGCCTGGACTCGAGATGAGCGTCGTCTTCCAGGTATGTTATCAAACTATTACCTTCCGCGTATTAAAGTACCTAATTTAACTAAAAATCGCGGGTTACTCACGTGTGTATATTGAGAAAAGCTCTACTAGTTTCTAGTAGCGCTATATATTAGTAGAGTATAGTAGTAGGCTGCGCGACGTCGCCGCGTCCGCGCACGCTGCTCATGAGGAAGAACCCCTCTGTGGTTCGAAACTAGTAGAGCTTTTCTCAATATACACACGTGAGTAACCCGCGATTTTTAGTTAATTTAGTATGTCTCACGATAGTTATTATAAAAACAAAGTACCTAATGTTTCCAGGGATTTTTAAAACAGTAGCGTTTAAAACGGTAGCTCGAGTAAAATACGCAAATCAAGTATCAATTTATATCCTACTAGCCACTCTCGCGCGATCTCACCCGCTGCTCGGCCCCATTTGATAGTAGCGCTATGTTTTACATAAAGATTAGTGTAGATTGCTAATTAGGACCCATGCTTCAAAGATTGGTTCTCCATGACGTCACTCACTCATTCACAACCGTGTAGTTGTTTCACGCCGGTTTTCTGCGAGGCCGTGGCATCACTACGGTCGAGTCGACCTATTCGTGCCGAAGCATGACTCTCCCACACTTTATTTCTAAGTACAGTTTATATTTATATAGGAATAAATAATCCTAGTAATATCCTACAAATATTACAAAATATGAATGTTTGTGAGAATGTATGAATGTATGTCTGTCAACTCTTTCACGAAAAACGCCTGAACCGATTTGGTTGAAATTTTGTTTTAATTGTGGCTCTCCCACACTATAAAAACTTGGTTTTTAATTATTTGTTTGTGGTTTTCCAGGACAACGAGGCTCTGATCCACCGGCTGGTGAACTGGGCGACTAACTCTGTGGAGCCGCTCCAGTGTTACGCCACCGGGCTACTCGCCGCCGCAATGGAGGTGCAGGAGATCGCCACGAACTTTAGGTCAGTTATTTATTTAAAATCCACAATGCACATCATCAAAATGCACAATGAAGTGGAAGTCGAGGCCCAATCTTTCCCCTCCCCCAATCCCTAAATCTCCAAATCTCTAGTCCCCAAAAGGTCGGCACCGCACTTATAACTCCTCTGTTGTTACATGTGTCCATGGGCGGGGATGATTGCTCACCATAAAAATAAAACAGGCCTATAACGACCTCTTCGCACACGAAGAACATTTGAGAATTAGTCACCACGCTTACTCAAGGATAATATGCACACAAGATTTTAGTATGGGATACTGTGGCAAATGAGCGGACGGTCCACCTGTTGATAAGCAATATAGGCCTCGCATGCATACCCAGAACACTAAAGGAGCTACACACACGTTGCCGGCCTTTTTAAGGAATAGGATTTCAAATATTTTTGTGATTAAGGAGGGGTGGAAAGCAGGTTGGTTATGAGTCATAACCAACCTGCTTTGGTCAGCAAACGAGCAAGGTCATAACTTATGAACTTGCTCGTTTGCCGACCTGTCACAAAAATAAAAAATTATAATACATAACAATCTATTTATATTTAATATGATGTTTATTTCAGGGATTTAAACGCAATGCTAGTACCGCTAATGCTTAGGAGGCTACACGCTTTAAGAGAGGACAAGGTTAGTCATATAAAAACTTTTTAAAAACATAATAATTAATTTAAATGAACGATATTTTGTATTTAATGGCTTACTCGTGTCACAGAAGTATGTACATACTACATAGTAGTAGACAGTGTATACAGGGTGTAAAAAGACACTTAACGAAGCCGTTAACTACGCATACTGCAGTTCTAACTAAGTAGCTTTACGCTAAAATTATCACTGGGAAACGACTTTTATTTTTAGGTATCAAAAAAATAATAATTTTATTGCGCGCAATGTAAAGCAAACGGGCTTCGTGTCATTGTGTGCTTAGGTTCACAGCTTAGCATTAAAACGCTGTGATAAGTACGTAGGTCGACGTTTTACTTTGCAACAACAAAACAATTCTGTAAAATAAAAATCCTACTGAGATGCACGATGTTTTTTGTGCGGGTCTGCATTTATTTATTGCGTTCGTACGAAAAATCGAAAATTCAGGTAATGTTTGTTTGGAAAAAAGTTTTTTAATAATACTTAGAATTCGATTGCGCAAATTAAAAATGCATCTTTGACCTTCAATATCTCGAAAACACGAGGAGTCCCAGCTATGGTCTTAAAGAAAAAATTGATCCAAATAATGGGTAGAATACGTGGCTTTCGGCTTCGTTAAGTGTCTTTTTACACCCTGTATAAATATAAGTAAAACTGGTGACCCACCCCTACTTCACACGGGTCCAACTATCTCGCTAACAGCAAAAGGGTCACTTCGCATTTTTGCTTTCTAATTTTATATTATTTTCTTTGATAAGACCCTTCTCCTTATAATAATAAATACAACAACAAAAAAAGGAATACGGTAGTTTCCAATTAGTCAAGTTCAATACTTATCCAAATGTCAAAAACGATACTTCTCTATGAAATTTGTATGAAAAACTGAGTTGTGACGTCATAGTTTTTTTGTGTCAAATAGCTTACTTTATTCTTAATAATTGGCTACAAAATATCTAAAACTTAGTGTATGTATCGATCGATGAATAATATTGAAACGTCCAATTAATTTATTTTTGACCCAATTGTCAAAATTGGTCCAGGCGTTGTTGAGTTATGCGCTTACCAACAGATTTTACGATTCAGTTGTATATATACGTGTCAACTATGACACGGCGAACTTCGGACCTCCGTGGCGTTGATTTGATGCACTACTATATTAATAAAAAGTAATAATTATGCATAAGCGGTTTACATAACCGCTTGTCACAAATTACCAAAGATTAGAAAATAAGTTAAAAAAGTTTATATATGCGTTCTGCTCTCTCTGGTATACATATTTTATTATTATTAAATACTTACTTATAAATATTTTTGTAACAAGTTTATTACTAACCTGCTTACTTTGTTACAGCAGAATAACCAGAATGCAGTGACGCCGCCGAATCAGACGCGACACTTCGCTCGCTTCGACAAGAAGAGAAATAGTGACATTAAATGCAACGGACCTAGTAAAGAAAAGAAAGGTATGTAATAATTGAACAATTTACCATTTTCGGGCATGTCCGATTACTTTCGAGCTCGATCGGGGTCCATAGTTAATGTACATTGCATTAAGGGATTATAAAATGGTTGTTGACTGGCTACTATGCACCCGCGGGTTTGATTCCAGTCAGCAATTGTTCTGTGTTTTTCACAAATTGTTAGTATGAAAAATGTCTTAATGTGACATTATTTTTTGTAAATATACTTACGGCACAGGAGAGTGTGCCAGTTTTTATCTCACAGTAGAAAACCTGCTTATGACATAGTCTATAAGCCCTTAGCTTGATTTGAAACTAGTCGAGCTCCTTAACAAATACATATTTACTTGAATAATATTTGTAGCATTACAAATAGTAAAGTTGCAACATAAAAATGCGCGGAAATAAGAAATTTATGTTCGACGCGACACCTCAAAAAGTCAAAATAATTTATTTCAATTAGACCCATACAGGCACTTTTGAACGTCAAACAAAATTTTAAAGATATAAAGTGTCAGTCTGTCGGTCAGTCCTCTTAGTGAAGCTATTCGCTCGTTCCAAAGTGTAGATTCCTATGGAGAAGAACGAGCAAGAAACTCCATGGTTACTCTTTTTAAATCAGTGTCACATAAAAAATCTAGCTTTTTTTTTGTGAGGGGAAAATCATCAAATGACTTCTCCTGCCCAGGGTAAGGCGAGAGAGAGTGTCAGACTCTTACTGACTAAACACCCCTGTTCCTTCTCCTGCTCTGGGCCGAGGTCGCGATGCCTCATTGCGCTTACCCCGCAACCCCGGCTGAACATCAGCTAAAAATTTAGCTTAATACTATAAATATGTAATTGTCCGTTTCAGATCGTGCCAAAGACGAGGGCGGTGGGGGAGATATGTTAGTGGACGAGTCGCCCCCGCAGGCCAGCAGAGACCCCGAGACCCCAGTCAAAAATTTCAGTAGTAAGTGTCAATACTATAGTCAGACTTTTAATTCGATTCCTGATTTGACATTGACCACTGTCATTTTGTGAAATAATGATACCACATATAACAGTGTAGTGATGGACACAAAAATCGATAAACAATCAGTGAATCAGTTTCAGGAAGGCATTCAAAAAATTACGGCTACCGAATGGTCTAAATGTGTATCCCATGTTTTCAAAGAAGAGGAAAAAATGAGTAAGCTAGATATGTTAATTGACAATAAATATCAAAGACACAATTCATAATAAATGTTACATAGAGTAACGGCGATAGCGATAGCGATGACGGCGACAATTTATAAAATGTCTGTTTTATTTGTCACGTTCCTTCATGATCACATTTTTTATTAATTTCACACAAAATTACAAAAGAAAGGTCTCAGATCGTTAATTAATTGTCAAAACTAAATTATCGGTTCAGAAATATTTTATTTCCTGATAAACTTAGCTTACGAGAGTAAATTTATAAACGAGAGAAATCGATTCAGAAATATTCGATTTCCATATCGAATAATTTCGCAACGTCACTATTTATTACGTGTCATAACGTTGCAACACTGAAATTGTCAAATCTGGAATGGAATTAAAATTCCGAGTATAAGTTTAAGTTTCTCGTTTTATATTTAAGACCAGAAAGACAGTCGGCTTGTGACCACGACCTGTACAACCTGGTCGAAACGTCCAGCCGGGGTTGTGGGGTAAGCGCAATGAGGCACAGCGACCTCGGCCCAGAGCAGGAGAAGGAACGGGGGGTTTTTTTTAGTCAGTAAGAGTGAGACTCTCTCTCGCCTTACCCTGTGCGGGAGAAGTCAATTGATGATATTCCTTTGACAAAATGGCTCTGACTGACATTGACGGTTCTAGTGTGACAATGATTAGTATGACTAATTAGGGATGATACAAAAAATTAATATTTGAAAGAAAGAAAGAAAACTGTTTTTATTCGGACTGAAACACGAAGGCCAAGAACAAACAAACAAAAAAAATTTTTTTTTTTTAATGTAATTGGTCGGCAAACGAGCAGACGGATTACCTGATGGTAAGCAATCAGCGCCGCCCATGGACACCCGCAACGGAGGAGTTACAAGTGCGTTGCCGACCTTTTAGGGATTAGGGATTTGGAGATTTAGGGATTGAGGGAGGGGAAGGATTGGGCCTCCGGTAACCTCACTCACACGGCGAAACACAACGCTGTGGTTGTTTCACGACGGTTTTCTGTGAGGCCGTGGTATCACTATATGGATGATGATGATGGTCTGGATGGTTGACGCAGTGATTTGAATTACATGTTATTATAGTTTTATGTGTAGGAGAGCCATGCAATGCCATCCAAGCATGCACAACGGGTCGCCTCTACCGGATCTGATCAGGGAACCTGAAGAACGAATCCTTCCCCCTCCCCTAGTTACATCAATCCTCAACTTTCGAACGAGTGGCTGTTGCGCAGTGTGTAAAAGTTGCTGGTTTGATTTCTTCACGAAACAACTTATCAAATTTACTTTTATTTAGGGCTTGTACACAAAACTGCGATGCGACGTCGCATCGCCAAAAACTACGAGCTCACTACGCATCGCAATAACTTGCGAATTGATTCGCATCGCGCATTCCACCGGGATTCATAATAGTAATTAATGGATGAAACCAAAATCTTCTTTGTTTTGCTTTTTGCTGGATCTCCTAAGCAATAATAAAAGTGCACATTTCTTTTTACGATCCATGTCACGACCTAGTTTTTAATTCAAAATACGTTTAGTACGGTTAACGGTCGTCGAAGGAATGGTCACCCTGGGAGATGCCTTGCCCCACAAAATCGCATCGTAGCAATTCGTGCACTCGTCGCACCACAGTTTTGTGTACAAACCCTTATGTATATATGTGATTGGAAGTGTGTGTGTTTATATGTTTGTCAGCTCACTCCCGACAAAAGAGAAAATCCTTTTCTAAGGCAACATTTCAATAACAAAACTAATGTTGATTCCCCTTTTCTGCTTGCGCAGGTCCAGCAAACGCATGCTCTCCCCCCTCGCAGTGGGGGATGATGTCTCCCCCCCCTCGGCCGCCGCCCCTACACCAACACGAAACATCATCCAACTCCAGCTGGGCGGAAATGGAAACATATGTTATAGGTAACATGCATTATCTTTAAACAGGGTGTCCGGTAAAGAATGGATAACCTTGCAAGAATGAATACCTTTAAGTATATATCTTATGGCAATTCAAAAAATATACAAAAAAAAAAAATACGAAAAAAAAAAATATTATAAAAAGCTTGCAAATTATTTTTTATAGACAAATCGTGCAAAATTTATTTTTAAACGTAATGAAACGTAAATGTTAAAGGATCATTTTGTATTACCTCTAGCCCTAGTTCTTTTACTTCAAGACATAATAATTTAGGTACTACCTATGATACTTTCCTTTTCGTTGTTTTTTCTGATTGACCAAAGGATATACTAAAAGGCATTTCAAGGTTATATATAATTCTGCTGTACGTGTATGTAATTGAACTCCTAAACGGCTCGACCGATTATGAATTTTTCTGAATGCGTTTGAATGGCGCCCTGGATGATTTAGATTCACAAATCCTCTAGGCAGATTGCTTGGATCTCGGAAATGGCCTTAATGATTTCGCCGAAATGGAATATGTGGGGGTTTTCGGAGAGGGTCCGCTAGTCTTAATATAAAACCAAGTCTTCCGCTAGGTAGTTTCCAACTAGTCAAATTCAATACTTTTATTGAATGTCAAAAACTATCACATATCATCAGCCTATAAGATCCCATTGTTGAGCAAAGGCCTCTTCTCACATAGAGAAGGTTTGAGCATTAATCACCACTCTTGCTTAAGGCGGATCGGCGATTTCAAACTACGTCTGTGGTGTCAAAATAAAATATTTCCGAATAAAATTAAATGGAATCGGTCGTGGTGGCCCGGAGGTTAAGGAGCCCGCTTCTCACGCATGAGGGTGTGGGTTCGAAACCTGGCAAGTTCCAATGTGACTTTTTCCGAGTTATATGTTCTTTCTATTATTATTTAGACACCACTGACAAACGGTGAAGGAAAACATCGTGAGGAAACCTGGACAATGTCTAATTATAAGTTTGAAATCGCCAACCCGCATTGAGCAAGCGTGGTGATTAATGCTCAAACCTTCTCCGTGTGAGAAGAGGCCTTTGAGGTCAGCAGTGGGCAATTATGGGCTGATGATGATGATTTCCGAATCTTATATACTATGATATGAAAATATATGGATTTGGAGATACCACGGATCTGCTAAAAAGACTATACTTTTCTATAAAACTTGTATGAAATCGTAACAGTTGACGACATTTTTGTATAAATTTATTTTAAACTACCTACTCTCGCGCCCTTTTATTCGCTATTCGGCTCCTACAAATCGCAGTGTGACTTTTTAAGTCACTTAGAAACGTTGTAGCTATCTATCCGTGAAAGAATTTTGGCAATCCGACCAGCGATTCCAAAGATTACCCCCTACATACAAACTTACAAGTTTTACCTATTTATAAACGTCTGTATTTCTGTGGATATGTTTCCAGGTAATATACAAATTCACCCTCCGACGGACGCCACCAAACAGATGCTTATACTCCGGTATCTCACACCCATGGGAGAATATCAAGAGGTAAGCACAATATAACGTTTTTTTTTTTTTTTTTTTTTGTGAGGGTAAAATCATCAAATGACTTCTCCCGCCCAGGGCCGGGCAGGAGGGAGTGTCAGACTCTTACTGACTAAAAACCCCCCTGTTCCTTCTCCTGCTCTGTGCCGAGGTCGCGGTGCCTCATTGCGCTTACCCCGCAACCCCGGCTGAACATCAGCCCTTTAGGGCCCCATCTGTGGTGGTCTAATGGCTCTTTGAGGCGCGCGCGCACAATATAACGTTAACTACTATATTTTGTTATGGGGAAATCATCATCTTCCTGCCCTTGTCCCGTTTTACTTGGGGTCGGCGCAATATGTTTTTTTCTTCCATTCTGTCCTGTCACTCGTCACGCTATCGCTAACTCCTCTGTCTTCCATATCACTTCTCACACAATCCATCCATATTTTCTTTGGTCTCCCCCCCCCCTCTCCATCCATCCACATTTATACTCATGCCTTTTTTTGTTACATGCTTTTCATCCCTCCTTTTCTCATGGCCATACCAAGACAAACGGTATTTATTTATTTATTATATATTTCATATTTTGTTATGGGGAAATGATGAAATAAATTTTCCAGCCCTGGGTATCAGGATTACTGACTAAAACCTACCCCGTTTTAACAACTGCTTCAAGCCGATTGAACTTTGCCCGCATTCCCGGCTGGAAATACGGTAGTTTCCAACTAGTCAAAATCAATACTTCCTTTTATCCAAATGTCAAAAACGATATCTTGCTATGAAATTTGTATGAAATTGCAAATTATGACGTCATAGTTTTTTTTAATGTGATATGTCGGCAAACGAGCCGACGGATTAACTGATGGTAAGCAATCACGCCGCCCATGGACACGCAGCGGAGGAGTTACGAGTGCGTTGCCGACTTTTTAGGTATTAGGGTTTTGGAGATTTAAGGATTGGGGGAGTGGAAGAATTGGGCCTCCGGTAACCTCACTCACACGGCGAAATACAAAGCTGTGGTTGTTTCACGCAGGTTTTCTGTGAGGCCGTGGCATCACTCCGGTCGAGAAGCATGGCTCTTCATGGCCCTTCTACATTTGTGCTAGATTTATAGGTGGTCCATCCGCTAGTTTGCCTCCTATTCCATAAAAAAATGAATGAGAGCCTGTTTTTTTTTCAAATCGAATTAAATCTGCGCAGATACATATGTAAACATACATACATACTCAGGTTCAAGTATGTAGGATAATCAAAAAAAAGTTGAACTTTATATCAAATCAAATCAAAATCCTTTATTTTATATTCCAACTAAACCATAAATAGGTACTTTTGAAACGTCAAAGTAGAATAGTATTCGGTCAGTCTGTTCGTCAGTGAAGCTAGGTATATATGTTTATCACTATCATGTAATGCAACTTTTAACTATAAATTGTAATATTTCAGTTCCTATCACACGTGTTCGAGCAGAACGCTCTAGGTTTGATCCTTGGCTACCTGAACGTGCGCGAGTCCAGGGACTCTCGGCTCGCGTTCGAAGCGCTCAAGTACCTCGCCGCTCTGCTTTGCCACAAGAAGTTTTCCATTGACTTCATTAACATGGGAGGGCTACAGGTAAATACTATGTTTGAATTAGTATTAGTATTTTTAACCAAAGGGCTATGCTTGGAGTCTCTCTGAAGGATCGTATTCGAAACGAGGTGATCCGACAGAGAACTAAAGTTATCGACATAGCCCATAAGTTAGCTCAAAGGATTAGCAAACTGAAGTGGCAGTGGGCAGGTCACATCTGTCGAAGAACCGATGACCGCTGAGGTAGAAGTGTTCTAGAGTGGAGACCACGTCTAGGCAAACGTAGTGTAGGGCGCCCTCCAGCTAGGTGGACTGACGACATCCGCAGGGTGGCTGGCAGTGGTTGGATGAGAAGAGCTGAACATCGAGCTCAGGGGCGTGCAATTGGGGAGGCCTATGTCCAGCAGTAGACGACAACAGGCTTATGATGATGATGATTTTTAACCTACTTCCAAAAAGCCCTCCTTTTTGGAAGTCTGTTTCCAATTCGTTTGTTCTCCGATATCTCCGTTATTTATAAACTGATTTTTTTGTTGTTGGGAGGGGGTTTTGTCTCGAGTAACCTCACTCACATGGTGAAACAACGCTGTGGTTGTTTCACGCCGGTTTTCTGTGAGGCCGTGGTATCACTCCGGTCGAGCCGAATCTTGGCTCTCCCACAAGTTAGTGGTTGAAAATGTTTTTTATTGTTTTTTGTTCAGAAATTCCTGGAAGTGCCTAGACCATCGGTGGCAGCGACGGGGGTCTCGATATGCCTATACTACCTCGCGTACTGCGAGGACGCCATGGAGCGAGTCTGCCTACTGCCGCGGAAGACCTTGGCTGATCTCGTCAGGTACCTATGTCATTCACTTATTATTGAGTAATAGACAACGAGTTTGCGCTACAGCAATAGCCATAAAAGAAGAAGTTATCGGTCAAATGTTATTTACATTGTTTAAAAAAAAACGTTACTCAATGCGCGGGCTTGTGGACGACGAGTAAGGGTAACTCGCAGCCCGACCAGAACCAGATCCGAGTGTACGGCACGTAGCGCTCGCGCGCGCTTCGAAGAACCATTAGACCACCACAGACGGGGTGCTACAGGGCTGATGTTCAGCCGGGGTTGCGGGGTAAGCGCAATGAGGTACCGCGACCTCGGCCCAGAGCAGGAGAAGGAAAGAGGGGGTTTTAAGTCAATAAGAGACTCCCTCTCGCTCGACTCTGGGCGGAAGAAGTCATTTGATGATTTTTCCTCTCACAAAAAAAACCCACGTTAGGATTTTCTTCTCTGTCGTCAATGCATTCACTATACCGCCAACGTATCTTGGCGAGTCTGAAGTTAGCCGATTAGCTGTGCAGAACACAATTTTGTTCCTAAAAGATCCATTGCGCAGACAAACGGCTAACTTCAGACTCGCCAAGATACGTCGGCCGTATTGCACAAACATACAATTTCACATACGCATTACACCTAGCCCACCGGATTAGCAAGCTGAAATGGCAGTGGGCTGGCCATATTAGCCGAAGAACCGATGACCGTTGGAGTAGACGAGTTCTTGAGTGGAGACCGCGTCTCGGCAAACGTAATGTAGGACGTCCTCAGGCAAGGTGGAGTGATGATTTGCGCAAGATGGCTGGCAGGAGCTGGATGCGAGTGGCCGAAGATCGATCCCAGTGGCGTGCAATAGGAGAGGCCTATGTCCAGCAGTGGACTGAAAAGGGCTGATGATGATTACACCTAGACCCGGAACAACTATTTGTGGATTAGACAAAAAGTTTTTCCGTCCGGTAATCGAACCCGCGACACGTTGCACAAAACCTAGTTGCCAACGGTTCCGTTAAAAATGTTTTTTTTTATTATTTATTTCTTTTAAAAGATCTAATTATCTTTAAGCTTCACTAAGAGTTCTACCCTACTCTACTCTGGGTAGGGTAGATAGAGTAGATACCCTACCTACCCTACCCTACCCTACCCTACCCTACCCTACCCTACCCTACCCTACCCTACCTACCCTACCCTACCTACTCTACCTACCGTACTCTACCCTACCCTACCCTACCCTACCCTACCCTACCCTACCCTACCCTACCCTACCTACCGTACTCTACCCTACCCTACCTAACCTACACTACCTATACTATCCTATGTCTTTCTCCCAGTTCTTAGCTACCTCCCTACGAATTTTCAGCCAAATAGGTTCAGCCGTTCTTGAGTTAAAGTGGAGTAACTAACGCGACTTTCTTTTATATATAACAATATATCTATATATAGACAATGTATGTATTGACAGGTACGCGCTCTGGCTTCTAGAATGTTCGCACGACTCGGGCCGCTGTCACGCCACCATGTTCTTCGGTCTCTCCTTCCAGTTCCGTGTCATACTCGAAGAGTTTGATCATCAGGTCAGTGCCCATACAGCGTACAGTTAATCATAAAACGGTAGTTTCCAACTAGTCAAATTCAATACTTTTATCCAAATGTCAAAAACGATACGTTTCTATGAGATTTGTATGAAAAACTGAGTTTGACGATATAAATTAGCTACAAAATATCTAAAACTTAGTGTATCTATCGATCGATGTATAAAAGTAGAGTTATTTTTATTTATTTATTCTTTATATACAATTGCATATCGGAGGACTTAATGCTAGAAGCATTTTCTGCCAGTCAACCTTTTGGTAGAGCACAGAAGTGTGGTAGGTGATATACAGCAATTTAGGAAGTTACGTGAAGTGGAGGTGTAAATCAATTTCTAAGTTACATACATAAAAATAATATATACATATATATAATACATACATATATAAACACTAATACACATAATATAAATAAATAATATAATATAAAAAAATATATAATGACGAAAATTTATAATCCAAGTGGGAAACTACCATCATCTTGCCTATGTACTCACGCACCCTAAGCTTGAAACACAACCGGCTGGTTGCAGCTCTGATATCCGAGGGAAGCTTATTCCACACATGACATGCAAAAGTCGACTGTGCGAAGAGCGCAGACTTCTAGTATGGTTGTCGCACACGTACTGGAAATTTTTAATATTATATTATATTTTTCAATATTTTATTGTATTGAAACGTCGAATTAATTTATTTTTGACTAACGAAACTACTCAATTGATATGATTTGCTTCTTAGGACGGGCTCCGTAAACTTTACAACGTGATATCGACGCTACCAATACTGAGCGCGGATGAGGACGAATCGCGAGTATCCGAGGACGAGACCTGCGCCGCGCGACAAATCGTACGACACGTCTGTGTCGCACTAAGAAGGTTAGTCGCAAAGTCTTTTATTATATTGGGTGAATGGTGTATCCTCCATCCTCAATATTAAGTGTGGGAGAGCAATGCTTCGGCACAAATGGGTCGGCTTGACCGGAATGATACCATGGCTTCACAGAAAACGGGCGTGAAACAACCACAGCGTTGTGTTTCGCCGTGTGACTGAGGTTACCTAAGGCCCAATCTTCCCCCAAAAAGTCAAAAGTCAAAAATCATTTATTTCAATTAGACCACAGTAGGCACTTTTGAACGTCAAGCAAGCAAAAAAGGAAAAAAAGTATATAACAAGAGCTTTAAAATTAAGCGTGTCAGTCTGTCCGTCTGTCCTCTAGTGAAGCTATTTGCTCGTTCCAAAGTGTAGATTCCTATGGAGAAGAACGAGCAAGAAACTCCATGGTTACTCTTTTTCAATCAGTTTTTTGTTACATCATTTAGTCGGTTCTGATATGTGAGAACAATGTAACACTAATGTTCAGGCAAAAAGTACGAAAAAGAAGTGAACCTCAAGGACAACATATTTAGACAGCCTGGAGCTGACCAGTCCCCAATAGGCGGCGCCCGTTCACGAACATGACACGTACACCAGCACCGCCCAACTCAACCATATTATAGGGAATTGGGCGATCCAGTGCCCGTGCCACCGCCAATGAGACCTCTGAGTGAGCATGACAGCTCCCAGCCGACACAAGTACCTATATTCTACAAGTCTTACTTAATTATAATAGGTTACAGGGCACTCACATTTACAAAAACTTAGAAGATCATCAACAATTAACAACATACGGTCTTACTAATAAAGTTCAGTTACACACTTGTTTAACACTTTGATAGCTATTCATTGAATAGGGAGTTAGCACTCCTTTATACAAGTCATTACCAATAAACAATGGTTATACCTTGAATAACTATTTATTCCTTATACTGCTGATTGCTAGCAACATTGATGAAAGCGTTCCGAAACTTTTGAACAGAAACACTTCTTGACAATATTCTTGTATTATTATAATTATTTTATTAGAATAATTAATAAAATACTTGATTTTTTAAAACAAAAAGCAGGTTTTAGGTATTTAATTTAGTTTTGAAATATTTATTTATCAATTATTTGCGAAACATTTTTGATAAAAATGTTGATATTTCGAATGTACCTAATCAATGCCAAATACATATTTGACACAAATTAGAGTCGTGGCATTAGAATTATACTTCGATAATCTAATTATGCACTGAAAATATTCGTAACAGCTTTTTATAATAGGTGTTATACCTATTACTGAATATCAGCCTAATATTAAGGCAGCTGATCTTATATTCCCTTACGTATAATTGATCTGAAATAATGTTATAAGTACTAAGACACATTATCACCACGTCAACCAATTTTAATACTTCACATTCAGCTTCAAAATTTCGGTTTATATCGCCATCATACCCCATCTTCTGGTTAGTCAACTGCCAGTCAGCTGGTTCTGACGAGTAGACATGTGAAATTAGTTTATCCAAATATATCAATGAACGTACAAATAAATAAGTATTACAAATATTGTATTCGTAATACGTATCTGTATCTACGAGTATTACAGATATTTCGTTACACTTCTATGCCACGTATTAATTTTTATCCTATGTTTGATGTTGTGAATATAAATATCATCATCATCATTAGCCTACAAGTGCTCACTGCAGAGCAAAGGCCTCTTTTCATACTGAGAAGGTTTGAGTATTAATCACCACGCTTGCTCAATGCGGGTTTGCGATTTCAAACTTATAATTGAAAGAATTTAAATATGTTCTAGTAAAAATAGAAAAGGTTATGTTTATTTGGAAACAGTAATGCGATTATTGTTTTGCCTTTTTAGGAATAACAACCTGGATATGCCTTATTCAAGCAATCACATTTCTAAAGTAACAAATTCTGCGATATACGACTCGACTTGCTAATACGATAGATAATCTGCGACACATATTTGTGATAGATAACTGACTCATTCCATGAATATCAGCTACATCGGCTTGATCTTTTTGTCGTGGAAAGGCATGGCTCTAGAGCTTTACAGACATGGATTTCTGCTGGGAGACCGTCACCCTTAGTCCTATGCTGTGCCTATATCATGACATAGCAGATCAACAACTTCCATAATATGTTTCTTTGAAATTTATATTTTCTTTATAAACTCTGCACCTTCTAATGAAAATATCATCGTTAGAATCATTGAATTAAATTTGACTCTTTTTTGTTGATTTTTCGGAAATCACGATCATCAAACACATTTTAGCAAAATAATGTAAAATCAATTTTATAAGTCTGACAGTTAAAACACGAAAATGATCGCTTATTCACACGTTATACTAGGTCCACGGGCTGAATAACTCTTGTCTAACATTTCATACAATTTTCACAATGGTTATAACAGCTGTATACGCGAGAAATGTCAAAAGTTGATTATTAGTAATGAGTCTGTTATACCTCTGTTATAAGGTGTGTGTAAATCTTTATTAGTAAGGGGGTTAGTGTACAAATTAATAATTAAAATCAAAAATTCCTCTAAACATCCTGTGGAGTAGGACCAGCTAGCCTCCAAGCATTTTTATCTTGTATATAATCATTTACTTTGTAGTATGCTAGTTTACATAAATGTTTCTTTATACATAATTTGAATTTGCTTTCATTTAGATTTTGAATTTCAACTGGGATTTTATTATAACATTTAACACAGAAACCCAGGAATGATTTATGCACTTTTGCCAATCTAAATAAAGGCTGACTCAATCTATTCCTATGTCTAGTATAATAATCATGTTTGTCAGATACCTTTACAAATAAGTGTAGGTTTTTCCTAACATTCCCCTCCCCCAATATCTCCTCATTCCCAAAATCTCCAAATCCCTAATCCCCAAAAGGTCGGCAACGCCGATAATTCCTCTGTCGTTGCGGGTGTCCATTGGCGGCGCTGATTGCTTACATCAATTCATCATTCAGTTTGCAATGGAAGACACTGAAAACGAGCCCTCATTCTCTCCTGCGCCATATACATATATATTGTTCACTGTTGATCGTGTGTCGAAAATTGACACGACTCGTATTGAACCCACGCTACTTACTTAGTCCTTATGGTTAACTTCATTTTTGCCTAAACATTAGTGTTACACTGTTCTCACATATCAGAACCGATTAAATGATGTAACAAAGAAATGTATTGTAAAACTGATTGAAAAAGAGTAACCATGGCGTTTCTTGCTCGTTCTTCTCCATGGGAATCTACGCTTTGGAACGAGCAAATAGCTTTACTAGAGGACAGACCGACAGACTGACACGCTTAATTTTAAAGCTCTTGAGACAGACTTTTTTCCTTTTTTGCTTGACGTTCAAAAGTACCTAATGTGGTCTAATTGAAATAAATGATTTTGACTTTTCTTTTTTTACAATAGTATATAATATGGTCTGTAACATAACGCGATGAATTTGTTTACAGGTATCTAGAAGCTCACCTGCGGCTTAGAGCGGCGCAGGTCGCGAGGCAACATGGCGACAATGTACCCGAGCCACCTCCTTATAAGGTAATACATTATGGTGCCTAATGATGGTGATTACCGCTGAGGCGCATTGAGGCACGAGTCGTTAGGCGAGGGTCTTAAGGAAGGGTAATCATCAATACAAACTTATTCCGAATAATTGTACTGAAATACAACTTATTAGCTTTTGACTGTAACTCCGTTCGCGTGGAATAGTGACTTCCTGCAGATTTTCCGTATAAAAACTATTATATGTCCTTTCTCGAGTTTCAAACTACGTCTGTACCAAATCGGTTCAGCAGTTTAGGCGTGAAGCTCAGAATACAGAACAAACCAGAAGCCGCGTTCACTCATAATTACATGTCGTCAAATGTGTCCAAAAACAATACGTCAATCCCCCCGCCAGCCGCACTTCCCACCCGCCTAGTGTTGCCGAAAGTGGAACAATTCCCTTGGTTTGGGGTAATTTTACAACAGGAGGGTAAGATATATTTTGTTGGGTAAACCCAACAAAAATAGGTAAACTTACTATAAATGTTAATGTTAATTTTAGTTACACCTACTATACACAACAAATAAAACAAAGCTTCAATAAGTAATAAGTTTATTGCGTTCCCTTTTACTGCTTTAGTTTTTTATAATATGTATTGCCTTTAGACTCGGAACTAAAGATTAGAAGTCTACTTACTTTACTTAGTTCCTGAGATTAGCGAATTCAAGCAAACAAACTCTTCAGCATTATAATTAGTATAGATATATCTCAGTAGGATATGCTGTTTTCAAACCTCCTTTGTCAGAAATACATATATCTCTTCAAAGTAAATTGAGCAAACTATGCTCTGGCTAGATGGTTTCCAAAATGAATCTAGCCGTGCCTTTTGTATGATTTTTAATTTTTTTGTTAGATAATGGACAGAAATATAACCCACAAAAAATAAATAAGTGGGTAAAATTTTCACCAAAAATGACAACATTCACAAAATGGCCGCATAATTTTCATAGAAAAATAAATCGATTAAAAAAATTAAATAATTAATTAAATATACTATTGCAGTCGATGCTTGCAGATGAAATGTAATCTTATCCACTTTTTTCGTATTTCCAGCCGCATTTTTACTCGTAGTAATAACACAAGACGGCATAATGAAATTAAAATTGATACTCGTAAATACGTCACGACATGCCACGTGCCAAAATTGACTAATCGTAGAAATTTCATACTACTATAGTAAAGAGTGGTTTTAGTTGCTTCTGTTTTAAGCGCGATAACGCCTTCTGGTTTGTTCTGTATTCTGAGGCGTGAAGAAAAGACAGAGTTAATTTGTTGATGAGTGCACGGTTAGCGCAGTGGCTGGGCAACTGTCTGCTGTGCAACAACACTGCTGAACAACACTTTGTGCGATCTACAAATCGTTGTTTCGGGTCTGGGTGTGTTGTGTATGTGAACTTGTATGTTTGTAAACGCACCCACCACAACACAGGAGAAAATCCTAGTTAGTCATCCTAGTAGGCCAACGTTTTTTTTTTAAAGAAAAAAAGGAAGAGGTACTTTCGCATTTATAATATTAGTTTGGATTAAATAATATCAAAAATAGTTATTATTAGGTGTTGGCCCTGAGGGTTCGAAATAATAAGTTTGAAATCGCCAATTCGCCATCAAGCGTGGTGTATAATGCTCAAACCTTTTCCGTGTGAGAAGAGGCCTTTTTTTTTTTTGAAAACGTTGCCCCACACTAGGATTTTCTCCTGTGTCGTGGGTGCGTTTACAAACATACAAATTCACATACACATGACACCCAGACCCGAAACAACAATTTGTGGATCACACAAAGTGTTGTTCCGTGCGGGAATCGAACCCGCGACACGTCGCACGGCAGCCAGTTGACCAGCCACCGTGCCAACCGTGCAGTCTTTTGCTCAGCAATGGGCACTTACTGGATGATAATGTAAGTAATGATGTGAATATATTCAGGCTTCAAAATCGTCTCCGGAGGAGATACAAGAACAGATAGAGTTACTGCAAAGCGTGGCGTGGTCCCGTTGGCCGGCGGTGGACGAGCTCCTGGAGCTGGGCGGAGTCTCCTTACTGCTGCAGGTCGTGGGATACGCGTACGAGTGGAACTTTAACGGCAGGTATAACGAATATACAATTATATTTTTTTTGGGACGGCCATCGAGAAGACGGATTACCTGATGGTAAGCAATCAGCGTCACCCATGGACAATAGTAACAATAGAGCCGTTACAAGTTGCACACACTTAAACATATACATGGTCATGTCTTTTATTTTAATCCATAATGTACAATAAATAGAAAAAGGTAAAATGCATAAAATTTTCGCGAGCATAGCAAGCTAATAATTGTGTAGTTTCCTAGGTAGGTCAAAAATAAATTAATTCGACGTTTCAATACAATAAAATATTGAAAAAGAACTATACTTTTATTCATCGATCGATCGATACACTAAGTTTTAGATATTTTGTAGCTAATTATTAAGAAATAAGTAAGTTATTTGATGCAAAAATGTTACCTTGTACTCAATAACTCACTGTTTCATACAAATTTCATAGAAAAGTATGGTTTTGACATTTGGATAAAAGTATTGAATTTGATTAGTTGGAAACTACCGTATTGTAAGGGAGCAATGCGTTATATTAATACGAGAGTAGATAGCGTACATACGATACACAATTTATTTTAAATTATTTAGTTATGGCTTATTTGTAGTTTGTATTATATTTTTATCTAGCTACCGTCCCGCGGTTTCACCCGCTGCTCGGCTCGATTTAATCGTAGCGTGATGTTTTATAGCCTGTAGCACTCAGGAACATTGTAGCTATTTATCAGTGAAAGAATTTTGGCAATCCGACCAGCGGTTTCAAAGATTACCCCCTACATACAAACTTACAAATTTTACCTCTTTATAATGTTAGTATAGATTAATTATTAATATTCTTCTATATAAAAAAGTTGAGTTGAGTGATGTAAACTTAATGATTATCACCAGGTAATCTTTCAGCTCATTTGCCATAAAAAAACCTTGAAGAAGTGTGAAAAAGAAATTACAAATTCTTTTCAACATTATTCCCAGATCGGAGACAGTCCGGTCGGCGCTGGACGTGATCTCAGTATGCTGCGTGGCGCCCCGGGTACAACTTCTGTTGACTGAAAAAATTGACATGAGGGATACAGAGATGACAACCGGAGTCAACATAGTTCTTGGTAAGTTGTTATTCATCGTTTTCATTTTCTTGAGTCTTGATGAGGTCTTCCGAGCCTTGAGTAGGCGTGGTTTTTTTGGTCGGTAAACGAGCCGACGGACAACCTGATGGTAAGCAATCAGCGCCGCTAATGAACACCTGCCACAAAAGAGGAGTTACGAGTGCGTTGCCAATCTTTTGGGGATTTAGGGATTGGAGGAGGGAAGCAACAACAGTAACATCTCTCACACGGCGAAACACAACGCTGTGGTTGTTTCACGCCGGTTTTCTGTGAAGCCGTAATTAATTCTCATTCCTCTTCCCTAAGAGAGGTCTTTGCTTCAGCTTAGGGCACTTATAGGCTGATAATGCTTGTTTTTCATTACGGGATAATCTTTCTAATGGTAAGCAAGAGATGATTCTGATAGTGGCCCGTAGGTTAAGACGATTTAGACATTATTGAGTAACGGTATAGGATAACATCGTGCGGAACTGGACCTGGACTTATTTTTATAAGTTTGAAATCGCCAATACGCCTTGAGCAAGTTTGGTAATTCAAATTCAAAGTCGTTTATTCCAACTAAACCACTAAATAGGTACTTTTGCAACGTCGAAATAGAATAGTCGTCTATCAGTCTGTTCGCCAATGAAGCTAGGGGCTCGTACGAATGGAGAAGAACGAGCAAGAAACTCCATCCTTAATTGTTCGAGAAGAGTTCTTTGCTTCAGAGTTAGGGCACTTATAGGCGGATAATGTTTGTTTTTCATTACGGGATATTTTTTCTGATGGTAAGCAATCGGCGATTCTGATGGTGGCCTTGAAGGTAGGACACCAACTTCTTATGCAACCCTCCAAGTACCATGTGACATTTTCCGACTCTATATACTTTATAATAGTGTGTTGGTGTTACTCTGGTCGAGCCGGCCCATTCGTGCCGAAGTATGACTCTCCAACAATATATAGATATTTTTAATAGGTCGGCAAACGAGCAGACGGATTACCTAATGGTAAGCGATCAGCGGCGCCCATAGATACTCGCAGCGGAGGAGTTACGAGTGCGTTGCCGACCTTTTAGGGATTAGGGTTTTGGAGATTAAGAAGGAGTGGGGAGTGATCGGGGGAGGGGAAAGATTGGGCCTCCGGTAACCTCACTCACACGGCGAAACACAACGCTGTGATTGTTACACGTTGGTTTTCTGTAAGGCCGTGGTATCACTCCGGTCGAGCTGACTCATCCGTGCCGTAGCGTGGCTCTCCAACAATCTATCATTATGTGTTCTATCATGATAATAATTCATTTGATGTAAGACCTACATCAAATGAATTTGATCTGACCATTTGATCTGATTCTAACACAGATGTATTGGCAGGCGCGGCGGACGGAGAGATAGTGCCCGAACCCGACGTACAGAAAGCCGCGCTCAACGTGCTCGTCAACTGTGTTTGTGCGCCCGTGCATAGAGTAAGTATCGAAAATAATTTACGGGTAATCTATCGGGTATTTTAAAACCGTACCGATTAAGGTTTGGATTAGAAATGGCGGCGCATCTATTCACTTCTCGCTCGCACATTATTTTCGTCTATACTCACACTCGTTGGCAGTACCAACGTTTTGTACGCTAACCACATTAGATTTTGTGATACCGCATAGAGCATATAACTAGCGGAACATTAAGACGTTTCTAATAATATGTCATTTGTCGAATTCTGATGAGAAGTTACGAGGGAACAGATGAACATACATACATACATACATAGCCTGTCAACATCATAACCCTCCTTTTGCTTTGCTGTAGTCGGGTAATAAAGAAAAATCTGACAAAAAAAGCATGACAGACAGACAGAGAGAGAGAGAGAGAGTTACTTACACATTTATAATATTAGTATGGATATTTGAGATTATTATTTTAAAGTTATGAAGCGAAAATAGTTTATATCCAACCTTACTTTCTCCGCGATTCAGGTAATGGTTTTGTTGACAATTTGTGTACCTATACTCGGAATTTTAATTCCATTCCAGATTTGACAATTTCAGTGTTGCAACGTTATGACACGCACTAAATAGTGACGTTACAAAATTATTCGATATGGAAATCGAATATTTCTGAATCGATTCCTCTCGTTTATAAATATCTTGTAAAGTAAGTTTATCAGGAAATAAAATATTTCTGAACCGATAGTTTAGTTTGGACAATTAATTAACGATCTGAGACTTTTCTTTTGTAATTGTGTCTTTAATTATTAAGAAATGTAATCATGAAGGAACATGACCATTTCATATTTTATTTTTATAAATTGTCGCCGTCATCGCTATCGCTATCGCTGTTACTTTCTGTAACATTTATGTTTTTTTGTAATTGTGTCTGTGATATATATTGTGTTATTCACTGTCTGTGATATATATTGTCTGTTTGTTTATCGATTTTTGTGTTCATCACTACACTGTTACATGTTATATCATTATTTCACAAAATGACAGTAGGTCATGTCAAATCAGGAATCAAATTAAAATTCTGACTATAGGTACATAGTAGTCTCAAAACGATCACGATATTAACTAACATAATCTTAATTTTAATTCATGAAATAACGAAACAATTTCAACGTTAACGATATTTTTTAACGTTAAACAGTTATTAGTTAAAGGACAATGCTCGCAATGTATGGGGAAAAACCCAGGCCCGGCGCTAATGAAATGTATCTCAGATTTTAAGTATTCATATGTGACATAATATCCAGAAGGGGGCATTACCAAAATATTTTTTTTAAATGTCATAAATTGCTAGTTGATTTATGTAAGGTGCTTTAAAAATGTGTTTTTTTTTTATTTCTTTATTCTATAAATGACATTTAGGCATCTATTTTGACAACGCCATCGTGTGTCATGCGTAGTATGTTAAAATAATAATATTAGGTATGTAAATACATATTTTTTTAAAATAATTCTATTAAAAAATTTCTTTTACGAAAAAGGATTAGCAAAATATTACGTTTAAAAACGAATTTTTGGCTATATTTTTTTTGTATGAAACTACTATTTTATAGTAAAAAATTGAGATATCTACCGTTTGCGCCGGGGCCTGGGTTTTTTTGAGCATTATTCTTTAATTTTATTTGCATTTTTATGCTGACGCTCCCAGCTCAATGAGCCACCATTTCTAATCCCATTCTTTACTGGCACCGGTAGTACTTTTTTATAAACCGGATTCCGGTAGCTTCCAACTAGTCAAGTTCGAAACTTTTATTGTAATTTCATAAATGATAATTTTCTATCAAGCTTGTGTGATATAGCAACATATGACGTTATATGTAATGTTTTTACGTCAAATAGGTATTTAACTTATTTATTGTCGAATCTGCTATAAACATCTAAATTACTTACATAAATTAATGAAAAAGACATGACATACTAATTCACATACACATTACAACCAGCAACAGAACAACATATTGTGGATCACACAAAGAGTTGTTCCGTGCGGGAATCGAACCCGCGGTATGATGTGTGTGTGACACTGTATGTTTGTAAACTTATCCACGACACCGGAGAAAATTATAGTGCGGGGCAACGCTTTTTGTTTTTTCAAAAATAAAAACAACTTGATGTTGAAATACTTGTTTTAGAATAGAATAGAATAACATTTATTTCAGACAAATGCTTATAGTTAGTAACAATATTAACTTACTATTCTAACTTTTAAACTTTCGCGTTCTATATAAACAACATTTATAATAGGTCTTTACCTATGAAATTGCCGTTTTGCATTAAAAAATTTAAACGATTTTTTTGATTTAAAATGCGATGAACTAATCAATAAACAAAAGACTACTTTTGGAAAAAGATTTCAATGTTTTTTTTTTTTTTAAATTAGCCTTAGCCTAACAAAAGCTATTTTGATTTGAAAGGGCCAGTACTGCAGAACGGCAATTTCATAGGTAAAGAGCTATTATTTGTTTGCGCGGGTATTAACGCGGACAAGTCAGTCTGCTTGTGACCACGACCTGTGCAACCGGGTCGAAACGTCAAGCCTACCGAGGTATTCAAATAATAATTGTCCGCGTTAATACCCGCGTATATAAATATAATTATGTTGTTAACTTACTATTTATGATAGTGATGTTAGTTTTAGTGTTTTATTTTTAGTTATAAATTAATTGCCATTTACTTCTGCCTGAGTTATCGCCGCGTTTTGTTAACGAAAAGTAGTATATTTGTTAGTCCAGACTATGATCACTATCTATGCCAATTTGTTTTCAGCATTTCTGACCTGATTGAGTTAAAACCACACTTAAAATATTTTATATTGAAAATAGATAAAAATCACTCAAGTTGACCAGTCTTAAGCCCGTTCACAAACACAACACACCAGATTTTTAAGTTACAATTTATTTAATAGTACTTCTTCTGTAATATAAACGAGGATGCTCGTCCAGTTTCAAGGCACATCGGGGCTTATAGTTAGATGTATAGATTTACATGATTAACATGAAATTGTTTTCAGGCTGGCACATCGACGACGCGGTTTTCAATAACCGGTTCGAGTAAAAAGAAAACCGCACTGAAATCGTACGAGGACCTCATACAGAAAGTTTGGGAGAGTGTGCGAACCAATAATGGGATTATGGTAAGTTGAAACGCCCTGACATCTAGGATTGTATGATTGATATGGTAGCTATGCAACCGCCTGTCTAGCATATTCAGGTATTGAGTGGTTTCAAATAATTTGAATAAGATTTCTTTCAACACTTTTATTACAATAGAAAAACAACAGCTAATACAAATCAAAAATGGAGGAACGAAAAGGAATGACAAAGACAACCAAAACGCCACATGTGGCCATATCTAGAAACTTAGCTTTATAAAGACACCTATAAATTTACCTCTTTTCAATATAGCAACGTGTCGCGAATTCGGTTCCTGCACGAAACAACTCTACGTAATCCTCTAATCTATATTAATATTATAGAGAGGTAAAATTTGTAAGTCTGTATGTAGGGGGTAATCTTTGCAACCGCTGGTCGGATTGCCAAAATTCTTTCACTGATAGATCTACTCCCTTGCTTTTTCAGTCGCTGCTCGGCACCTCGTAGCGTGATATTTTATAGCCTATAGCATTCGGGAACATTGTAGCTATCTATCAGTGAAGAATTTTGGAAATCTGACCAGCGTTTCCAAAGATTACCCCCTACATACAAACTTACAAATTTTACCTCTTTGTAATATTAGTATAGATAGATATATTATAAAGCTGTAGATTTTGTTTGAACGCCCTAATCTCCGGAACTACTGGTTCGAATTGAATAATTCTTTTTGTGTTTTAAAAATTCACGCTATAACCTGTAGGAGCTGAGCAGCAAGTAATACCGCGTGAGAGTATCTAGTATTACATACAATTCTTCGTCCTTCGTTGACCTACTAATAAAGATCTGCTTGTTTGTACCATAAAATAAAATCGTATTTCCTAAATAAAGTTTAGCTTGTGAACTGAGCTTTCTTATTTATATTTTACTAGCTTTTGCCCGCGACTCCGTTCGCGTGGAATAGTAACTTCCTGCAAATTTTTGGTATAAAAACTATCCTATGTCCTTTCTCGAGTTCCAAACTATATCTGTACTAAATTTCACAGAAATCGGTTGAGCAGTTTAGTCGTGAAGAAAAGACAGACAGACAGACAGAGTTACTTTCGCATTTATAATATTAGTTTGCATTGGCAGAATTTTATTGATATTTCTAAGATGTATGTTGTTCCACGTAGGTGCTCCTCTCGCTAATGATGGTGAAGTCCCCAATAACGGACGCGGACAGACTGCGCGGGCTGGCGTGCCGCGCGCTGGCCGGCCTGGCGCGCTGCCCCACCGTCCGACAGATCATATCCAAACTGCCACTCTTCACCACCTCGCAGATACAAGGTCAGTTACAGTCTCCGGCTACACCTTACAGCTTATATTACACAGGGTGTAAAAATACACTTAACGAAGCCGTTAACTACGCATACTGCAGTTCTAACTAAGTAGCTTTACGCTAAAATTATCACTGGGAAACGACTTTTATTTTTAGGTATCAAAAATAATAATAATTTTATTGCGCGCAATGTAAAGCAAACGGGATTCGTGTCATTGTGTGCGTAGGTTCACAGCTTAGCATTAAAACGCTGTGATAAGTACGTAGGTCGACGTTTTACTTCGCAACAACAAAACAATTCTGTAAAATAAAAATCCTACTGAGATGCACGATGTTTTTTGTGCGGGTCTGCATTTATTTATTACGTACATTACTGTTCGTAACTTCAAATGCGTAATTTATTTAGAAAAATCGAAAATTCAGGTAATGTTAGTTTGGAAAAAAGTTTTGTAATAATAATTAGAATTCGATTGCGAAAAAAAATATTTAAAAATGCATCTTTGACCTTCAATATCTCGCGAACCAGTGGAGTCCCAGCTATGGTCTTAAAGAAAAAAATGATCCAAATAATAGGTAGAATACGTGGCTTTCGGCTTCGTTACGTGTCTTTTTACACCCTGTATATAATTAATATCCGTAATCGTAATCGAATACGAAATAAAAGTTTCGGATAATATCGGATAGACCCGGAGCCTAATTGAGACACGTTATTTTTGTATTTTACTTTTGAAATTCCTTAAAATTTTAATATCCCTAACCGAAATTATCCGAAATAATTTCATATTATCTGTATCCGTTACCGTGTACAGTATAATGGTCATTCCTAATTTCCTATATCGATAACCTCCCTGATTTTGACTCAATAACCGACGACCGGCTCACAGAAGACCAGCGTAAAACTCACATGGCGAAACACAAACTGTGGTAGTTTTGTGTTTCGCCGTGTGAGTGAGGTTACCGGAGGCCCAATCCTTCATTTCCGATCTTCCCCTCCACATCCCCACCCTAGTCATCTTCCCCTAATCCCTTTATCCCCCAAAAACGCTAACACCATTGGCCTCACAGAAAATCGGCGTGAATCAACCACAGCGTTGTGCTTCGCGTGTGGGCAAGACTACAGGAGGCCCAATCTTTCAAATCCACCCATCTTTCCCTAATCCCTGTATCGCCAAAAAACGACAACTCACTTGTATCTCCTCTGGCGTTGTGGGTATTCATGGGCGATATCGATTGTTTTGATTAGAATTGGGTCTCCGGTAACCTAACTCACACGGCGAAACACAACGCTGTGGTTTTTTATTATAACTTTCGTGAGACATTCTAAATTAATTATTATTATTTGACGAGATACTCGACTAGTTTCAAGCCATGCTACTACTACAGTCGCACGTCGCGTGTCGCGGAATGCTGCTCATGAATATAGGTCTCTAGCATGGTTTGAAACTAGTCGAGTATCTCGTCAAATGATTACGTGAGTAAGCCGAAAACATAATAATTAACGCTGTGGTTGTTTTACGCCGGTTTTCTGCGAAGCCGTGGTATCACTCCGGTCGAGCCGACCCATTCGTGCCGAAGCATGGCTCTCCCACACTTGATAATGATTTTTACGATGTTTCAGTGTTAATGCGCGACCCGATCCTGCAAGAAAAGCGTCAGGAGCACGTCATGTTCCAGAAGTATGCTCTCGAGCTGTTGGAGCGGGTCTCAGGGAAGAGCAAGCATATGGGGGCAGAGTTCGAGACATCGCTAGCTAATATACATCGAGTAAGTTATTATGTACTAGCGACTCGCCCCGACTTCGCACGGGTTCAATGTTTATACTACATTTGTATATATATCTGTAATTATGGCTGTTAGTGATGTAATCAAATCAAATCAAAATCATTTATTCCAACTAAATAGGGCATCGAGAACCGCTAATTAAAAGTATTATAGAGATATTATTTTTTAAATTTTAAGACAGAACCGTAAGGGCCAAAGGAACCGGTTCCTTGTTTTACAGAACCGGTTCTATCAGTGTCTTCCAGAACCGGGAATTCTCGGTTCTTTCGGAACCGGGAAAAAATGGTTCCGATGCCCTACAACTAAACCATAAATAGGTACTTTTGAAACGTCAAAATAGAATAGTAGTCTGTCAGTCTGTTTTTCAGTGGGTGCTCGTTCCAAATTGTAGAATCGAATGGAGAAGAACGAGCAAGAAACTCCATAGAACGAGTAAGAAACTCCATAAGTGTAAATAAATAAATAAATTAATATATAATATATTAGCGGACCCTACATATCCTACCCTACATATCAAATTTCAACAAAATCGTTAGTGCCGTTTCCGAAGATAACATGCTTTTTCAAACAAACGGCGCCATCTGCAGGGCTGATTTGTGAATCTAACCCATCCAGGGCGTCACTCTAGCAGCTTATAGAAAAAAACACTTAAATCGGTCAAGCCGTTTAGGAGGAGTTCAATGATATACATGACACACAAACAAACAACTTTTCCAAAAAAACTATTTTTCTATACTCATTATTTTGTTTTTATTTTCGATTACCACTTTGGTTGACTTAGCTAAGTTATATCATCATCATCATCATCATCATCATCATCATCATCATCATCATCAGCCTGTTGTCGTCCACTGCTGGACACAGGCTAAGTTATATGTTAGTATAGATTAGCAAAAATGTAAGAAGGCCTCTTCTCACACGTTGAGGTTTGACCATGAATCACCACGCTTGCTCAAGGATTAGCGAATTCAAACTTGTAATTAGAGTTATAAGTGCAGGTTTTCTCACGATGTTTTCCTTTACCGCTGTCTAAATATGATAATTAGATTGTTGTTGTACGGTGGCAGGCGAGTTTTAGCAAGAGTAATGAACAGCAATTAATTTTTATATATAAGAGGATTAGCAAGAATTAATTAATTAAAACTTTATGGAACAAAACATTACATAGGCGGACTTAATGCCGTAGGCATTCTCACCAGTCAACCTTAGGGTGTTTTTTTTATGTAATAGGTCGGCAAACGAGAAGACGGATTACCTGATGGTAAGCAATCAGCGCCGCCCATGGACACCCGTAACGGAGGAGTTACGAGTGCGTTGCCGACCTTTTAGGGATTAGGGATTTGGAGATTTAGGGATTGGGGAAGGGTTCGGGAAGGGGAAGGATTGGGCCTCCGGTAACCTCACTCACACGGCGAAACACAACGCTGTGATTGTTTCACGCCGGTTTTCTGTGAGGCTGTGGTATCACTCCGGTCGAGCCGACCCATTCGTGCCGAAGCATGGCTCTCCCACACTAGCATGAAGAGTGTATAGATTGTTTGTTGTATGGTGGCAGGCGAACGTGGTGGCGCAGACCCGCATCAACTACAACGAGCGGCAGCTGCTGCAGCTGGTGGCGGCGCACCTGGCGGAGCGCGGGCTGCCCGCCAGCGCCGCCACGCTGCAGCGCGAGGCGCGTCTGCCGCCCCCCGCCGCGCCCGCGCCCCCGCCGCCGCCGCCGCCCCCCGTCTACACGCCCTCCACGCCCACCAGGGTAATTATCATAACTTTTTTTATATAAATACGTCGGCAAACGACCAGACGGATTACCTGATGGTCAGCAATCAGTGCCGCTCATGGACAACTGAAGAGTTACGAGCGCTTTGCCAACCTTTTAGGGATTAGGGATTTGGAGATTGATGGATTGGGGAAGAATCGGGGGAGGAGGAGGATTGGGCCTCCGGTAACCGCACGCACACGGCCAAACACAACGCTGTGGTTGTTTCACGCCAGTTTTAATACGACTATAATAATAACAATATCACATTAAAATTAAAACTGTTCAACGGGCTTCTACGATTTCGCTTCGGCCCCTCGTACGCCTTCCAAAGGTCCAAGATCCTATCATCCCGTAAAAGAAAAGAACATACATAACCTCACTCACATAGCGAAACACAATGCTGTGGTTGTTTCACGCCGATTTTCTCTAAGGCCGTGGTATCACTCCGGTCGAGAGTTTAAGAACATTCGGGCGCTCTGCAACTCTTAAAATTAAGTATGTGTTGTATGTTTGTAACCCACCCATGATTTTTATGGCAAGATAGATTACCTGATGGTAAGCAATGAACGCCGCCCATAGAATGATGTTGCACCAAAAGAGTTACGAGTGCGTTGCCGGCCTTTAAGGGAAAAGGGTTTGATGCAGGAGGAAACTTAAAACTTTCATTACCACTACGATTTTTTTTTATTAAAATTAAACTTTGCCCCACAGTAAGATTTTCTCCTGTCTCGTGGGTGCGGTTACAAACATACAATTTCACATACACATCATACCCAAACTCGAAACAACAGAGTTGTTCCGTGCGGGAATCGAACCCGCGACACGTTGCACGGCAGCCAGTTGCCGAACAACCGCACCAACCCTGCAGTCAAAGTAAAAAAAGTCACACGTGCAGATTTTTACAATGATATCTCGGATGCCGCCTACATTTCTCGTACATAATAAGCCGCTATCCCACAGACGTTTATATAAACAATATAAACAACGCTGACGTCATCGCTTGTCAAACGCCTAGTAGGATAGCGGCCTTACTTTGAACTAGACAGACGAGTCCACGGCTCTAGAATTAAATTTACGAGGGCTCTCTGGACAAGTCGGTGGCACTAAATGTGTTAATGTGTCATCATCATCATCATCATCAGCAGCCTGTTGTCGTCCACTGCTGGACATAGGCCTCCCCAATTGCACGCCCCTGAGCTCGATGTTCAGCTCTTCTCATCCAACCACTGCCAGCCATCCTGCGGATGTCGTCAGTCCACCTAGCTGGAGGGCGCCCTACACTACGTTTGCCTAGACGTGGTCTCCACTCTAGAACACTTCTACCCCAGCGGTCATCGGTTCTTCGACGGATGTGACCACAACTGCCACTTCAGTTTGCTAATCCTAATGTGTTAATGTTTGTCTTATATTAATTATTTCTTCCTGTCTCCCCTCCAGCCGCGTCTCTCCGTGTCCCGTGCCAACAGTAGCGGTTCCCTACATCGCGAGAGTTTAGATCTCAACTCCTCACACACGATGCACGTGGATGAAGCCAGCCCACTGCCACCAGTCATCAAGCTAAGGTAGGCATTATACTATATTTCTTTAAGAGCACATCAATTTATACTAAAACGGGAAAAGAACTTATATTTCGATATTTCGTTAAGGTAAGGCATTTCGTTTATCGCATCATCAGCCTTTCAGTGCTCACTGCTGAGCAAAGGCCTCTTCTCACACGGAGAAGGTTTGAACTTATAATTAGAAATTATTAGTCCAGGTTTCCTCACGATGTTTTCCTTCACCGTATGTCAGTGGTGTCTAAATAATCATAGAAAGTACATTTAACTCGTAAAAAGTCACATTGGTACTTGCCAGGTTTCGAATCCGCACCCTCATGCATAAGAAACGGGTGCCTTAACCTCCGGACCACCATGATACATTTCGTTTATGATATCAAAAAAGGTTTTTAATTTCACATGTATGTATGTTTGTTCGCGATTATCTTGAAAACGACTGAAAAGACTTTGCTAAGACATTTACTAAAGTATTTCTTACAAGTTGATGAATGGTTTACTATTTTTAACTAGGTCTGATTTTTCAATGGTTAGATAAAAGTTACCTAGGGAATAATTATGATACTGTCGCGTCAGAATGTTTGTATAAGACAGTGACAGCAATAATTTTGTTCCTCAGATAACATTTATTGAAAAATCAGTCCTAAATCACTGGATTTAGAGCGTTATTTACAATAAACCATAATATCCTTTACAATGTTATTATATTAGGTTTATGATTGGTGATTTGCCCGATGTCAAAGTCTAAGTTAAATACATATTTCAGTTAAGTAGTTTCCTAGGTCAAAAATAAATTAATTCGACGTTTCAATACAATAGAGTATTGAAAATAACTAAACTTTCATTCATCGATCGTTAGATCACACAATAAATTTTAGTAATTTTTTAGCTAATTATTAAGAAAAAAAGTTAGCTATTTGATGTTAAAATACTATGACGTCATAACTCAGTATTTCATTTGAAAAGTGTGTCGTTTTTGACATTTGTATAAAAGTATTGAATTTGACTAGTTGGAAACTACCACTTTAGAAAGTCAAAAAGAATTTAAATATATAATGTGTCAGTCTGTCTGTCAGTCCTCTTAGTGAAGTTATATGCTCCTTCCAAAGTATAGATAAGAACGAGCAAGAAACTCCATGGTCTCTCTTTTTAAATCAGTTTTACATAAAGATTATTTAGTGCAATATCTAGTTAGTTTGATTATCTAAGAACGGGTGTTACAATAAAATATATAAAGTATAAGATTGCACGGTTGATACGGTGGTTGGGCAACTGGCTGCCGTGCAACGTGTCGCGGGTTCGATTCCCGCACGGAACAACTCTTTGTGTGATCCACAAATTGTTATTCCGGGTCTGGGTGTGTTGTGTATGTGAAATTGCATGTTTGTAACAGCACCCACGACACAGGAGAAAATCCTAATGTGGGGCAACGTCTTATATAAAAAAAAAAGAAATTATAGCTTGACTGCCGACAGAAAACTGCTGTAGGCAAATCTCCCGCTATCGTGGGTCACCGGTGACACCCGTAGTTAAACGTGTATTTTAAACTTTTTTTAACTACATCCAAACAAATTTTTGTAAATGCGAGAAGTGTGGGAGAGCCATGCTTCGGCACGAATGGGTCGGCTCGACCGGAGTGATACCACAGCCTCACAGAAAACCGGCGTGAAACAACCACAGCGTTGTGTTTCGCCGTGTTAGTGAGGTTACCGGAGGGCCAATCCTTCCCCTTCCCGGACCCTTCCCCAATCCCTAAATCTCCAAATCCCTAATACCTAAAAGTCGGTAACTCCTCCGTTGCGGGTGTCCATGGGCGGCGCTGATTGCTTACCATCAGGTAATCCGTCTGCTCGATTGCCGACATTAAAAAAAATGCGAAAGTAACTCTCTTCTGTCTTTCTGTCTGTTTTTCTTCACGCCTAAACTACTGAACCGATTTGTGTGAAATTTGGTACAAACATAATTTGGAACTCGAGAAAGGACATAGGATAGTTTTAATACGAAAAATCTGCCGGAACTCACTATTCCACGCGAAAGGTCGCGGGCAAAAGCTATTAGTATTTTTTATTATTAATCGGTATTTTTTATTATGTTTTCAGCTTACTCACGTAATAATTTGACGAGATACTTGACTAGTTTCAAGCCATGCTAGAGGCCCATATTCATGAGCAGCATTCCGCGACACGCGACTCGGCGACCATCGCGCCGCTACTGGCTACTCGAGTCTGCGCGCCTAACGCGCCCTCTGCCGTGATTCACGCGCACTTTCTTCTAGCATGGTGGTGTCGGCAGCGACGGCGCGCGCGACACTGTTGCCACGCTAGACTCGCTCGCCTGCAGCTGCTTTGGTGTTGGGTTCGAATCCCGGGTCGACGCAAAAACAGTGTTACATACCGCGCTAAACTAGTTGAGTATCTCGTCAAATTAGTACGCGAGTTAAAGTTATAATACGAATACTAATCGGTTTGTTGTTATTTTTTTGTTTATATAATTAATGTTTAAAATATGTTAAAACAATTATATGTTCTGTTTGTTATACAAGCGACCCTCCCTGGCTGCGTACGGATGTCAATTTAGTTGTCAAAAGGTATTTTTTATATATAATAATATTACATTAATACTATATATGTCTTGGCGAATTACTTTATTATATTGTCGTATAGAAACTGTCGTGTTCACCTTATTTTTAAATCTGTGTGGGAGAGCCATGCTACGAATTTATCGGCTTGGCCGGAGTGATACCACGGCCTCACTAAAACCAGCGTGAAACAACATACGTATATGCCAAATATGTGGCAAGAAGTGGCAAAGATTATCCCCTATTTACAAACTTCATCATCATCATCAGCCTATAAGTGCCCACTGCTGAGCAAAGGCCTCTTCTCACACGGAGAAGGTTAGAGCATCAATCACTACGCTTGCTCAATGCGGGTTAGCGATTTCAAACTTATAATTAGAAATTATAAGTCCAGGTTTCCTCACGATGTTTACCTTCACCGTATGTCAGTGGTGTCTAAATAATCATAGAAAGTACATATAACTCGGAAAAAGTCACATTGGTACTTGCCAGGTTTCGAACCCACACCCTCATGCAGGAGAAGCGGGCTCCTTAACATACACACTTACATACCTCTTTATAATATTAGTATAGATTACCCTATCAATTTAAGTTAAGAACCTGATTTACACACACTTGTAATAAAATTATTGTAATTTTGATGTTATTCTTTAACAAAATATATAATATATCGTAAAGTGAAATGTTTTCATAAATTTTTCGTACTTATTTTTCGCTGATTTCTCTACTTGATTAACCAACTTCGCAACCCGGTCAAAATCGTTCCAGCCATTCCAAAGATTAGCCCAAAAACAAACAGACAATACGGTAGTTTCCAACTAGTCAAATTCCAATACTGTTATTCAAATTTAAAGACCTATACTTTTCTATGTTATAAGTTAGTAACTCAGCATAAACTAGCTTATTTATTTCTTAAAAAAAATATTTTTGACCTTGAAACCTACCCCATTGTAAAATGTGTTATTTTTATGTATGTACCGGATTATATTCATACTATGCCTGTAGTTAAGATTGGCAAATTCACTGTTACAAACAGACACTACAATTTTATATGCATAGATGAAACTCGACTGCATGGTTAGCGCGGTGGCTGCCGCGCAACGTGTCGCGGGTTCGATTCCCGCACGGTACAACGGTACGGTCTTTGTGTGATTCACAAATAGTTTTTCCGTTTCTGGGTTTCGATATGTATGTGAAATTTTATGTTTGTAAATGCACCAACTACACAGGAGAAAAGCCTAGTACGCGGCTGCGTTTTTTTTATAGGATAATTAGTATTTCATAATAATAATAATTATTATTTGTTACAGAAAAGTACAAAATCCGCCTTTAAATACAGTCTCGACGCCGACGTCGGAACATAAGAGGTCTCTGCAGAAGCAGCTGAGCGTGCCCCCCGGGGAGCCGGCCCCCAGCCAGCACCGAGTCACCCTCCACACAATCATCACCGAGTATCTATACAACCAACACTCGCTCTGCAAGAACCCAGTCGCTACGTGTCCACAGTTCAATTTATTCGAGTGAGTATTATACTTTAAACTTTTTTTTTGTGATGATTTGATTACCTGATGGTAAGCAAACAACGGCTCCCATGGACACCTGCAACGGAGTCTTCTCCGTGTGAGAAGAGGCCTTTGCTCAGCAGTGGGCACTTATAGGCCGATGATGATGATTTTGATGATGATAATGGTGATGATCCTTCTATTTTCATATAAAACGAAATTTATCATCATCTATTTTCATGTAAAACCTATCTTTGGGTGTCGTAATGGTGTCCCGCTAGCTTCGCTTAAGCCGGGTATTCACAGTAAGAGTTGGCTCGGTCCGAGTGCACTCGGATGTCTGCTCAGATGCTACTCGTATCATGTAAACATGTAATCCGAGTGAACTCGGACGCCAATGTCTAATCCGAGTAGACTCGGACTCTGCTCTATTTTTCGACCTCACTCGGATTATTTGAATGTACTCTGTGTTTCATTTTTCACCCCCGACGGGAAAAAAGGGGTGTTATAAGTTTCACGTGTCTGTCTGTCTGTCTGTCTGTCTGCGACATCCTGGAGCCTGAACGGATAAAGCGATTTCAATTTAGTTTTTTTTTTTATTAAAGATGACTTATGTGCGAGTGTTCTTAGACATGTTCGACGATAATCGGTTGAGCCGTTTAGAAATTCTGGGGGGGTAAGTGGGGAAGGGTAACAAAAGGTCTGCAAATATAATCGAGTGGGGTCTCAAATGAAATCGGACTGAAAGAGAATGTTGATGACTTATGCCCGGTTCCTATATTTAACGAATCGTCGTTGTATACGCATTACGACCAAATGACATTACGAATAGTTATCTTGACCGTCTACTGACGGTTAAAATATTTATAGGAACACCACAGACACCATAGATCCCCATACAATTCGCTTACCGACATCCGTTAGTTGCAAACCGTCAGTAAGTTGCACGACGAGACGTTTGTTATAGGAACGGTTTTAGCTTACGAGTCGTATATAAAATTACTATTCGTAACTAAAACGGATCGTTTCTCAATTATAGGAACCGGGCATTAATCGAGAGAAAATTATAAAATACCTATAAAAAGTAGAAAATAAATTAGACCCCCGACAAAATAGAAAAATGTAGTAGATAATAAATAAAATCGGTCCCACAACGCCACGTTTTTTTTAATTATTTCTTTTTAAAGGAATATTAAATTTGTTGTCGGAGTTTTAAATTTATTATGTAAACGATATGGCGACAATAAACCACTATCCGTGTACACTCGAACGAAGCTGACTCGTTCGATCCAAGCCAACGGTTACTGGGAAAGCCGGCTTTATCAAGTTTCGTGCTTAGGCCGCACAAGTGCCCCGAGCCCCGGCGCGGCGGCGGGCTGGGCGGCGCGGGCGCGGAGCACTCGGTGCTGGGGCGCGTGGCGCGCCGCGAGCTGGGGCTGGGCGGGGCGCGCCGCGCGCACGCCCGCCTCGTGCACGCGCACTTCGCGCCCGTGCGCACGCTCCGTCTGCAGGACGACGACGCCTACTTCACGCACACGCTCTTCCACGTACGTATACCTAGCCATAGTTTCTTAAACGACCTGACGGATTACCTGATGGTAAGCAATCACGCAACACCAAAGGAGTTACGAGTGCGTTGCCCACCTTTTTAGGGATTGGGGAGAGAAAGAATTGGGCCTCCGGTAACGTAAGTCATACGGCGAAACAAAACGCCCACGCTTTGTTTCACGCCGTTTCTCTTTAAGGCCGTGGCATCACTCTGCTAGATCTGGGTGTGATGTGTGTGTAAACACGTAGTAGAAAATCCTCTGATGAAGCAACTTTTTTAAATGAAAATTGGGTAGTTTCCTAGGTCAAAAATAAATTATTTGGACGTTTCAATACAATAAAATATTGAAAAATAATACTATACTTTTATTCATAGATCGATCGATACACTAATTTTTAGATTTTTTTTTTGCTAATTATTAAGAAATTAATAAGTTTTTATAATAACTATCGTGAGACATACTAAATTAACTAAAATTCGCGGGTTACTCACGTGTAAGTATTGAGAAAAGCTCTACTAGTTTCGCGTGCGCGGACGCGGCGACGTCGCGCAGCCTACTGACTGCTGCCTTTTTTTTGCGTGATTGCCTACCTACTCAGCAGGCTGCGCGACGTCGCCGCGTCCGCGCACGCTGCTCATGAGGAAGAACCCCTCTGTGGTTCGAAACTAGTAGAGCTTTTCTCAACATTTACACGTGAGTAACCCGCGAATTTTAGTTGATTAAGAAATAAATAAGCTATTTGACGTAAAAAAAAATTATGACGTCATAGCTCAGTTTTTCATACAAATTTCATAGAAAAGTATCGTTTTTGACGTTTGGATAAAAGTATTGAATTTTACTAGTTGGAAACTACCGTATTGGTTAAGCCGTTTAGAAGTTATGGAGGTGTAAGTTGGGAATGGTAACCAAAGGTCTGCAAATATACTCGAGTGGGGTTTCTAATGAAAGCGCACTGAAAAGGAATGTTGCAACTTAATCGAGAGCGTAACAGTGACACAATACCTATAAAAAGTATTAAATTAAAAATTCCTTTAAAAAGTAAAAAAATAAGTAATTATTATGTTTTCCCTTGCAGCCTACACAACAACAATTGTTGGCGGCGACATCGTCCGGCGACATTCGGGTGTTCAACCTCTTCAGTGGCGTGGAAGAGAACTCCTATCAAGTTCACGAGTCTTACATATACCATATGCAGGTACGTATATTTTTACCTGATGGTAAGCAAATGACGTCATGGGCACCTTCAACAACGGAGGAGTTACGAAGTACGTTGCCCACCTTTTGGAGATTAGTGGATTTAGAGATTGGGTGAAACACAACTCTTTGGTGGTTTCACGCTGGTTTTCTCTGAGGTTGTGGTTAATCTTCGGTCGAGCCGACCCATTCGTGCCGAAGCATGGCTCTTCTACGTTTATTTTGCCATGCGGATGGCGAAACAGTGTCAATCATCCCATACGGTAGTTTCCAACTAGTCAAATTCAATACTTTTATCCAAACGTCAGAAACGATGCTTTTCTATGAAATTTGTATGTAATACTTAGTTATGACGTCATAACATTTTGACTGCACGGTTGGTGCGGCGGCTGGGCAACTGGCTGCCGTGCAACGTGTCGCGGGTTCGATTCCCGCACGGAACAACAATTTGTGTGATCCACAAATTGTTGTTTCGGATCTAGGTGTCTTGTGTATGTGACATTGTATGTTTGTAAACGCACCCACAACACAGGAGAAAATCCTAAAGTGGGGCAACGTTTTTTTAAAAAAAAAAACATTTTTGCGTCAAATAGCTTAATAATTAGCTAAAAATATGCAAAACTTAGTGTATCGATCGATTGATGAATAAAAGTATAGTTATTTTTAAATATTTTATTGTATTTATTGACGTTGAATTAATTTATTTTTGACCTAGGAAACCACCCAATAATACCATTAGTCAGTTGTTTATTTTTTAACCGGGGTTGGTTCAGGGCGGGTTTTAGTCTGTAACCCCCTTATTACAAAACAAGGTTTATCTTTAGTCCAGGTTTAAACCACTGAGTCGGGTTTTGAATTTTGAATCTTATTGTCATCTACCTTCAATTCGAAATACAAAAACTGGCTCTATGGTTTAGTCCTAGACTAAAGTAAAACCTTTTTTTGTAATAAGGCCGTAAGAGTCTCGACAAAACAAAGACTAGTACAAAATACTAAAATAGTACAAACATAATGTCAGGAAGCAGTATTTGTGTTGCCATATTACGACACCAACGATTTTTTAAAGTTTTTTTTTATTAATATTTGGTTCGGATGCCGTATACACAAATGATTTCGGTCATGGCGACCCATCCTTGCCACAATTCGCTTTTGATTGATACGCCATGCCATCGCTACGTGTTAGGACTGTAGTAATGAATGTCCGATAAATATCCGAGCACAGGCGCAGAGTAGCCAGCCTTGCGGTTTTCTACAGGATGCATTTTGGAGAGTGTGCCCAGGAATTGCACGATTTGATTCCGCCATCCCAATTTCACCTTCGGACATCCCGGCGTACGGCGAATATCCACCCCTACGTTGTTGAGACACCTGCGGCCCGGACTAAACGTTTTGCCTCGTCATTTATACCGCGTACATCGAGGGATTGGAACAGTTTCCCGGCTGCAGTCTTTCCGTCCGAATACAATTTAGGTGTCTTAAAGGCTAGAGTGAATAGGCTCTTAATAAACTAGTGCGCCTTACCATCAACGATTGCATCACTGCTTGACATCGGGTGGGATCGCAGTCAAGCGCTGGTTTATTGCAAGTAAAAAATATATATATATATATGAAATATTGTCCGATGTTTCACAGGCGAGCAGAGACGGACTATTACTACTAGCCTCAGCGACAACACCGTGGCGACCTCTGTCGGCATTATGGAATATGAAAGAATTCGAATTATTGTAAGTACTTTAAACCATTGCTTGCTGTCTCCGCATTCGCAATCTTAAAAATAAATTATAAATACGAAAGTAATGTTTGTATGTTTGTTACTCAATCACGCCAAAACGGCTGGGCGGATTTGGATGAAATTTGGCACATGCATAGGATACACGCTAGAATGGGACATAGGCTACTTTTTATCAACTTACCACGCTGGCGAAGCCGCAGGCGGAAGCTAGTTTCATATAAGAAGAATGCTTGGGGATTTTTTTTATGGTTACGTGTCCGATTCTAGCATGGAACGACTCTCTGTGATCCACAAATTGTTGTTCCGTGTCTGAGTATGATGCTTGATACACAAGCAAGGACAAACAATACGGTAGTTTCCAACTAGTCAAATTCAATACTTTTATCCAAATGTCAAAAACGATACCTTTCTATGAAATCTGTATGAAAAACTGAGTTATGACGTCATAAAATTTTTGCGTCAAATAGCTTACGTATTTCGTAATAATTAGCTAAAAAAATCTAAAACTTGGATTATCGATCGATCGATGAATAAAAGTATAGTTATTTTTATATATTTTATTGTATTGAAACATCGAATTAATTTATTTTTGACCTAGGAAACTACCCAATTAAGGACAAGTTAAAAATAAATTGTTCAGTATCGCCCATTCACCTTTGTACCCAGTACTTTGGATTTTCTAATTTTGTACTATGCATGTCAACTCTTTTGGTGTGTTTATTTATAATTATTCAATAAAACATTCGAAAACAATAACATTACCATAAATAGACTTTTCGATCCAAATTATTTTCTTTTACTTTTATCTCAGCTTCATCTAAAACTCGACTGGCAGAGTTATTTTATATAATGGTGAACCTACATCGCATACACCTAACATCCCTGATAAAAAAAAAACATTGAATTGTATTGCTTACTTGAAATTTGATACTCAAATTTAAATTTGCACGGTTGGCGCGGTGCCTGGGCTGCCGTGCAACGTGTCGCGGGTTCGATTCCCGCACGGTACAACTCTTTGTGTAATCCACAATTGTTGTTTCGGGTCTGGGTGTCATGTGTATGTGAATTCGTATGTTTGTAAACGCACCCACGACAAAGGAAAAAATCCTTGTGTGGGGCAACGTGTTTAAAAAAAAAAACAAGAAAATTAATTGATCACCCTCTCAGAAGTCTATACTCGGAATTTTAATTAGATTCCAGATTTGACAATTTCAGTGTTACAACGTTATGACAAATGTTAAATAGTGACGTTGCGAAATTATTCGATATGTAGGTATGTAGAATATTTCTGAATCGATTCCTCTCGTTTATAAATTTACTCTCGTAAACTTAGTTTATCAGGAAATTAAATATTTCCGATAATAATTAATTACGATCTGATACTTTTCTTTTATAATTGTGTGTGAAATTAATAAAAAAATGTAATCATGAAGGAACATGATAATTTCATATTTTATTTTTATAAATTGTCGTCGTCATCGCTATCGCTATCGCTGTTACTTTCTGTAACATTTATTATGAATTGTGTCTTTGATATTTATTGTCAATTAACATAAGCTTACTCATTTTTTTCCTCTTCTTTGACAACATGGGATACGCATTTAGACCATCGGGTAGCTGTATTTTTTGAATGCCTTCCTGAAACTGATTCACTGATTGTTTATTGATTTTTGTGTACATCATTATTTCACAAAATGACAGTAGCTTCTGTCAAATCTGGAATCGAATTAAAATTCTGACTATAGTATTTGTGGTGTATTACCTCTTTAATACTTAAGTTACTGGCCGGTAAGCCAATGAGCTTATAATGAATAATGTGTCAACATTGTGTCAATAATAAAATTATCGAGATGTGAACAACAATGTAATGTATTTTATTTCTTTACGTATATTTAGTAGTATTAAAAGTTGTTTCTTTACCCAACAGATTTCAACTAGACAACGAAGAGTACGTTGAATTCTCGAAGATGTCGGACGAGCGTATAATCGGCACCAAGGGCGAGACGGCGACGATATTCGACACGCGCACCGGCCGGGAACTGATGACCCTAACGCCGGCCATTAGCAATCAGTACGCCAAGAACAGAGCTACCTTCAACCCCACTGATGAATTAGTACTTTCTGGTATGTTACTCGAAATATAAACTCTATTTTATTTAAGTGTGGGAGAGCCATGCTTCGGCACGAATGGGCCGGTTCGACCGGAGTGACATCACGGCCTCACAGAAAACCGGCGTGAAACAACCACAGCGTTGTGTTTCGCCGTGTGAGTGAGGTTACCGGCCCAATCCTACTCGTCCCAATCCGACTCGAGCAACGCACTCGTTACTCATTCCTCCGTCGTTGCGGGTGTCCATGGGCGGCGCTGATTGCCTACCATCAGGTAATCCGCTTACTCGTTTGGCGACCTATCACATAAAAAAATACTGAATTTATTAAGAACTAGCTCTAACTACTCTCGGTGTTTTCACCCGCTGCTTGGCTCCATTTGATCGTCTCCAGGGATTTGGAGAGGGTTTGGGGAGGGGAAGGATTGGGTTTCCGGTAACCTCACTCACACGGCGAAACACAACGCTGTGGTTGTTTCACGCCGGTTTTCTGTGAGGCCGTGGTGTCACTCCGATTGAGCCGACCTATTCGTGCCGAAACATGGCTCTCGAACACTTTATACTATTCAATGTTTAAAAGAAAATATTCCGCACATACGAAGGCTCTAGCAACGAATGTATTTATTTTCAGACGGTGTGCTTTGGGACGTTAATACGGGCAAAGAGATACACAAGTTCGACAAATTAAATCAAACTCACAGCGGCGTGTTCCATCCGAACGGGTTAGAGGTAGGTGGCGTACATTTATCTCTCATTATAATCATCATCATCATCAGCCTGATGTCGTACGCTTCAGGCCTCCCCAATTGGCAAGTGTCCTAGGTCTAAAATAAATTTATTCGACGTTTCGTTACAATAAAATATTGGGAAACTATACTTTTATTCATCGATCGATCGATGTAAGTACCAACTGAATTTTATATAGATATTTTGTAGCTAATTATTAAGAAATAAGTAAGCTATTTGACGCAAAAATACTATGACGTCATAACTCAGTTTTCTATACAAACTTCATAGAATAGTATAGTTATTGACATTTGGATAAAAGTATTGAATTTGACTAGTTTGAAACTACCGTATTGCACGACCCTGAGCTCGGTGTTTAGTAATGATTATTGGATAATGGCACGCATCCCGAGTCCGTGGATTCATCATCATCATCATCATCATATAAGCCTATAAATGCCCACTGCTGAGCAAAGACCTCTTCTCAAACGGAGAAGGTTTGACCATTAATCGCCACGCTTGCTCAAGTCGGATTGGCGATGTCAAACTTATAATAAGAAATTATAAGTCCAGATTTCCTCACGATGTTTTCCATCGCCGTATGTCAGAGGTGTTTAAGTAATCATAGACAGTACATACGAGGGGTGGCTGATATATAATCTACTTTGTTCAATAAAGTTACAAAAATGATACTGGCCACTATGAAGCTTTATTACTTATGTATTCCTTATTTGAAAATAATAGCATTCATTTGTTTTAATTGTTTTCATTACGAATAGTCCACTAACATAGTAAACATGTCGGATGAAAATAATAAAATGCTTAAAATTGAGCAGCGTTCCGTGATTAAAGTCCTTACTAAAGAAGGAAATACTCCTTCGCAAATAAAACAACGGATGTTCAATGTGTTTGGCGATTCATGTCCTTCCGATTTTGTTATAAAGTTTTGGTCTAAACAATTTAAACATGGCCGTGTGAGTCTAGAAGACGATCCCCGTAGCGGACGGCCGGTTTCTGCAGTCACAGAAGACACGGTGGCTCGAGTGAAAAAAATAATACTCGCAGATCGGAGAGTCAAGCAGTGGGAAATCGCTAGGGATGTCAGGATCAGTAAGGAACGTGTTCACGTTATTATTCACGAACATTTAGGGATGACAAAGGTGAGCGCCCGATGGGTACCGAGAATGCTGACGCCCTTTGATAAACAACGACGCGTCGAATGTTGTGAGGCATTTTTGGACCTTGTAAAAGACATAGAAGATATTATCTCTAAAATAGTAATCTGCGACGAAACCTGGATTCGCCAATGGGACCCCGAAAGCAAACAGGAGTCTTTACAGTGGAAATTTAAAGGGGAGAAGCCACCGCTCAAGTTTAAGGTTCGGCCATCAGCAGGCAAGCTTATGGCTACAATTTTTTGGGATGTCGAGGGGATTCTATTGATAGATTACCTACCAAAAAATACTACGATGAACGCAGCTTACTACGCCAGCTTACTTACTTGCTTACTTGACCAACTGCGAGAAGCCATAAAAGAAAAACGAAGAGGCAAACTCGGCAAAGGGGTTGTAATTTTGCAAGACAATGCTCCGGTCCACACAGCTTTACATGCAAGGTCAGTCTTAAGCAAGAATGGCTTTACGGAACTAAACCATCCACCCTATAGTCCAGATTTGGCCCCCTGTGACTATTTCCTATTTAGAAATTTGAAGAAAAGCCTAAGAGGGAGGCGATTTTCGACCGATGAAGAAATGAAGGCCGCTGCAATTTTGACGACTAATCCAAGAAATATTTTTTTGACGGCTTAATGTCGCTTATTAACAAATGTAACAAGTGCATTGCGGTAGCAGGGGACTATATTGAAAAATAAAAAAAAATGAGCCTCCTATGTCTTTTCTTTCTATGTTAGGTAGATAACTTTCCAGCCACCCCTGGTATGATTCGGAAAAAGTCACATCCAGGTTTCGAAACCGCTCCTATAGCAACCACGTCAATATAGGGCAACCACGTCAATATATCAGTATATAGTGTCAACGTCGAGCCGGCCTTTGTAAATAAAGCAGATTGTGTATACGGCAGAAAAATAATTGTCTTGAATTTATTGCAGGTTATATCAAACACAGAAGTATGGGATCTCAGAACTTTCCACCTACTGAGGACAGTCCCCACATTAGACAAATCCGAGGTAAGTCAAATAATTGACTTTTATTGTATGAGTGTTTTTCTATTGATTGAGTGAAACGTTGACTGCACGGTTGGCGCAGTGGCTGGGCAGCTGGCTGCCGCGCAACGTGTCGCAGGTTTGATTAGACAGGAAGCTAGTGTACATATATGACGGCGCGCTGATTATGTTTTTTTTTTAATTACTATGTAGACAATTAATTCGACGTTTTAATACAATATAAAATAATTTTTAACAAAAAAAAACCGACTTCAAAAAGTAAACTAAAAAGCAAAAATTTAATTTACTTTGTACAAAGTTTTGTAATACATATTTTCATTTAGTTTATTTAACTAAATGAATAGTGTAAAATAATATTTAATAACTATATTATAATCTTAAAGTCGGTGCCAAGTAAAACAATAATAGTGTAAAGATATTACCTACATACCTCTTGCTAGTTTGATGATTAGTAGGTACCGATCAATATATTTTTCTATCACTGTTATTGTTTGGTATGTAGCATTTACTTGGCACCGACTTCACAATGCTGTGTTCCGGCTCCATCATCAGGTCGAGTTGGAACATCGGCAAGTTGTAGCGTTGTCAAAGGCTTAAAACCACATACAAAAGCACCACTCGCCCCTATAATTTTTGAAAGTTCCCCTTGATTTCACTGGTCTTCCATCATCAGATCCTGATTTGCTTATAATGGGACCATTCTGAGACTATCTCCTTTCCAACAAAAAAATAATTATCAAAATCGGTTCATAAATAACGGAGATATCGGCGAAAAAACATAAAAAAAGCACATATACGGTCGAATTGAGAACCATCCTTTTTGGAAGTCGGTTAAAAAAACTAACTTAGTATACTTTTTTATTCATCAATCGATCGAAACACTGAATTTTAGATAATTTTTAAGAAATCAGTTTTTCATACAAATTTCATAGAAAAGTATCGTTTTTGACATTTTTGTATAATAATATTGAATTTGACTGGGTAGTTGGAAACTACCGTATTGTTATTGCCGTTGGAAACTACAGTTGATTGATGACCATAACTCATTTTTTTATTTATTGGTAACATTAAAATTGATATATATTTATGAGCGGGTAACCCCGAATAGAGTAGTAAGTGTCACTACGAGGAACGGCAGTGGGTATGTGAGTAATTGGCTCGAAATCTCATTCTATCTTATTGGTTGTAAATAAAATAGGTTATATAGTATAGGTATATGGTGAGAAAACCAAATAATACAAGGAGCCTAGGGGGGAGGTCTTGGTTGACACGACCATGATGGAAAGCGACAACCAAGACCGCCACAAGGCTCCTTCACACATTACACACAATTAAACTAATATTATAAATGCGAAAGTAACTCTGTCTGTCTATCTGTCTGTTATTTCTTCACGCCTAAACTACTGAACCGATTTCCGTGTAATTTGGATCAGATATTGCTAGGAACTCGAGAAAGGACATAGGATATTTTTATACCAAAAATCTGCAGGAAGTCACTATTCCACGTGAACGAAGTCGCGGGCAAAATATTACATGTTTGTTTGTTTGTCACATTTGCAGGTATTATTTAATCCAACGTGCACAGCGCTGTATGCGGTCTGCTCCGACCAGGACGCGGAAGAAAGGAGTCAGTTCGATACCAGTTTCAAGACATTAGACCCTTACGACTATTCAAGTATAGGTGAGTTTTGATGCACGAATTTGAACCTTATTGTCAATAAATTTAAAACTGTTTAGAAATTATTGTGTATCCACTAATTGAGTAGTTCCTTAAGTGAAAAATAAATTAATTCGACGTTTCAATACGATAAAATATTGCTAATTATACTTTTATGAATCAACCGATCGATACAGAAAATTTTAGATATTTTTAAGCTAATTTTTAAGAAATAAGTAAGCTATTTGACTCTAAAATACTATTACGTCATAACACAGTGTTTCATACAAATTTCATAGAAAAGTATAGTTTTTGACATTTAGATAAAAGTATTGAATTTGACTAGTTGGAAACTACCGTATTACTGTTCCTGGTCATGGTGTGATGTGTATATATCATAAATACCATACATTACACACGGGAAAATATTTAACTTTTATGAGTAAGGTCGGCAAACGAGTTTACCTTTCACCATATAGAAAGCAATCGCCACCCATGGACACTCGCAAAATTAAAGCAGTTACGAGTGCATCGTAGTCCTTTTGGTTATAATGCTTTCGGGTATTTAAAAGATTGGGAAGGGGTGGGTGAGGAAGTGGGGAAGGGAAAGAGGAGCGGGAGGGAAAGGAGGAAAAGATAACACAACGTTGTTGTTATTTTACACCAGTTTTTGTGATTCCATGGTATCACTTTGGTCGAGCCGACCCATTCGTGCCGAAGCTTAGGTCTCTCACACTTATCTTTTATACATATACACAGTCGGATTATATTTTATACATATATATATCTTCGGATTACTTTTTGGGGAAGCCCTGGCAACTTGATTGTACAAAAATTTCGGTCAATAAACACATTTTATTATATTCTACAAATTATATTCATCAGCCTTAGTTAGGCTGCTCGAAATGTTTTAATTGTACTCGTAAATTTTTATGCGTCCCGTTCACGATCTGAAACTGATCGAACGCAATCGAAAAGTTACGTTACAATTGTTTTGTTTAATTTCCAGCAACGATTGACGTGAAACGAAATATATACGCACTGGGAATATCGCGGTACGGAACGCAGATATCTATAGTCGAGAATATGGGCGAGTTTGAGCAGATGCAGGAGTCATACGTGAAGATATACGACGTCGGTCGCAAGAGAGACCACGACGATGACGCTGTAAGTTATATTTTATATCAGCTCTACGGTATAAACATAATGTCTCCTTAAAATTCGTAAGTTATATGGTGACTAGAGATTAGCTTTTTTTTATGAAAAGTCGGCAAACGAGCAGACGCGTTGCCTGATGGTAAGCAATTGGTGACACCCGCAACACCAAAGGCACAGTATAAATATCATACAGTATTGTAACTCGGCCGCTTGAAAGAAATAAATACCTACAGCCGCGCGGTACGTAAACATGCGTTAGGGCTGCTCGTCTCCAGTATTTTAATTACCTTTGTCTACTTTCAGTTTCCATTTAGTTTTGTGATTGTAAATATCCCTTTTTTATATAAACAAATAAAATGCTTTAAAAGTAAACAAACAACATTTCTTTGGCCACTAATGCCGAACTGAATAGCTGACTACGAATGTTCTAAAATCACAACCCTCAAACATCAAAATATTACATGAGTCTAGCTGTTTTATTGTTGTTATTAAATATTTTCTAGTATTATTCATAAACGCAGATAATAAACAAATATTATTAATAATAAAATACCACACTCTCTACTTTGAATTATACAAACTAACAAAACATACATGAACCGTTTTAACACAAGCGTAAGTAGGTAGGTACCTAACGTATCGTGATTCATTCAGAACCAGAACCGCCTATAACTACCTATTTCACTCGTCTCAATAACTTTATTCATATTATTTATAAATTCAAACATCTGTTTTCGTGAGATAACTGGAAATAATAATCCATAAAGACACACATTATGTACCTACCTAGGCTACTAGTAAGTAAAATTATTTTATAGTCTTACCTTTCAGAGTTTACAGGTAATTTAAAAAAAACTTATGTCTGGATGCGTTATTGACGAATTCATGCAACCAAACATAATAACAGCACAATATTTCCTATTCGTCATATTAAATAATGTACTCGAGCTGATTTCTAAATAAAAGACAACACACCGTCCGTTCGTCACTGCGGTACAGCCGCGTCTGTCTGCGTCCCGAGCGCGTCCCGACATCGGGCGCGTAGGTATAGTTCGCGTTTCGGCCGTTTCTATGAAGTTGAAATACTTGTAGATATTATTACCTTGCCAAAGGAGTCAAGAGTACGTTGCCTGCCTTTTGGGGATAAGGGTTGAGGATATTTAAACATTGGGAAAGGATAGGGGAGGGGGTTTGGGTCTCCGGTAACCCCACTCACACGCGAAACACAACGCTGTTATTTCACACCGGATTTCTGTGAGGCCGTGGTATCACTATTTGCAATAAATTTATGTATGTATGGAAAGAGTTGTCTCTGTTTACCCTTGATGTCAATGTTTTCGCAGGAGGAGGACGATGAAGAGGAACTGGCGGGAGGATCGGAGAACGATGATGGGTCAGACTCAGGTTCCGATAACGATGACGATTGTAAGTATTAAGAATCAATGCAAGCGTTTTACAGACTCTTCGACCTTCTTATAACTTTGTGACACATAGTTCATACAACTCCGTTGCGCGGTGGCTAGGCAACTGGCTGCCACGCAACGTGTCGCGGGTATGATTCCCGCACGAATCAACTTTTGTAATCCACAACATGCTGTTCCGGGTCTGGGTGTGTTGTGTATGTGAAATTGTATGTTTGTAAACGCACCCACGACACAGGAGAAAATTCTAGTGTGGGGCAACGTTTGCATATTTTATTAAATTTTATCTGGTACATACAGGGTGTAAAAAGACACTTAACGAAGCCGAAAGCCACGTATTTTACCCATTATTTGGATCATTTTTTTCTTTAAGACCATAGCTGGGACTCCACTGGTTCTCGAGATATTGAAGATCAAAGATGCATTTTTTAATTTTATTTTTTTGCACAATCGAATTCTAAGTGTTATTACAAAAATTTTTTCCAAACAAACATTACCTGAATTTTCGATTTTTCTAAATAAATTACGCATTTGAAGTTACGAACAGTAATGTACGTAATAAATAAATGCAGACCCGCACAAAAAACATCGTGCATCTCCAGTAGGATTTTTATTTTACAGAATTGTTTTGTTGTTGCGAAGTAAAACGTCGACCTGCGTACTTATCACAGCGTTTTAATGCTAAGCTGTGAACCTACGCACACAATGACACGAAGCCCGTTTGCTTTACATTGCGCGCAATAAAATTATTATTGTTTTTGATACCAAAAAATAAAAGTCGTTTCCCAGTGATAATTTTAGCGTAAAGCTACTTAGTTAGAACTGCAGTATGCGTAGTTAACGGCTTCGTTAAGTGTCTATTTACACCCTGTATATTATGCGGATGTTCAGGTTTTGGTGATATTGAAAATTTCAAAAGACGACCTATAGTATACCCTTAGTTATCGACCATCCGATGCAGTCACTTGACATAATACTCCCTTTAAGACTGTGACATTTGACATTTAAAGAAACTAACATTATTACAAACGACAGATTACCTGATGGTAAGCAATCGGCGCCGCCCAGAACAAATGGACTATTAGGAGATATGGGTTTCGGAGATTTAGCTATTGAGGCGGGATGCAGGGAGAGGAAGAAGGATTGGGCAACCGGTAACCTCACTCACCGACGAAATACAACGATGTGGTTGTTTCACGCCGGTTTTCTGTGAGGCCGTGGTATCACTGCGGTCGAGCCGATCCATTCGTGCCGCAGCATGGTGACAAAACTATACGTGACTTGAATGTCCGTATGTATGTATGAATGTTTCTGACGGACTCGATGATACAGTGGCATCGTCTCTGTTGCGCAACGCAGTGATGGGACTGGACGGGAACAGTTCGGGGTCGTCGTCCCACGAGGACGGGGACGCGCCGCCCCGGCGCAGAGCTCGCCGGCGACGGGTGAGTCAACCGGACGAGGAATCGGTAATTCGCAATAGCTTGCTTATCATCATCATCATCATAATTGGACTTATTAACGCGAAAAGAAACCAACCTACAATGTGGTCGAAAATGAGCTGATTATGCCAAATTATGATATATATTATATCTATGACTGATTTTTATTTAAATCCCGCGAAAATGCTCCAAGCTGTTTGGAACATTATAAAAAAAATTATACTAAATTGAAATAGGTCAACAACTTAAAACTTAAAATGAATCCAATCCACTTTAATCGATTTTCAGATCAACAAAATCACAAACTAAAATATCAATGAGCAAATACCATTTTAAATTTAAACGTCAATTACTTAAAAGTGTCACTTTGGTTTGTTCCTTTTTGCGTAAATACGTCCATATATCATCATCATCATCATCATCATCATCATGATCATGAGCGCTTTAAGGAGCTACAGCTTCCATTTGTTTTTTTGATGAGATTTTTTTTAAGGATAAGTCGGCAAACGAGCTTACGTTTACCTGATGGTAAGCAGTCGGCGCCGCCCATGGACACCAGCAACACGATAAGAGTTACGAGTGCGTTGCCGGCTTTTTGGGGATAAGTGTTTCGAATATTTAAGGATTGGGAATGGATAAATAAAATAAAAAAATAAAAATTGTTTATTAGAAAAAACAAAAATTCTACAAACATAGTATTTAAGTTTGAAGCCTCCTTTTAAGCATAGGATGCCTGTATTAGGAGACTCCGCTCTTTGTAAAGCGAATTATAGTATCTAGTACATTAAACTATAGTAATCTTAATTAATTAAAAACAAAGAAAAGAGTGAGTGAGTGAGTGTGTGTGAGTGGGGATGGGGGAGAGAAAGGGATACGGCCTCGGGTAGCCTCACTCATACGGCGAAACAACGCTATGGTTGTTTCGTTACGAACCATTACCATTCGTGCCGAAGCTTGGTTCTCCCACGCTTTAAGTCATACCATCTCACGGCGGGTCATTTGGGTTGTTAGTTCAATGCCTAATCAATAAAGTTGGTTGCCCCGCGACAGTGGTAATGTATATAATTATGTTTGTATGTCGCAGGCGGCCGAGAACAACAGCAGCGACAGTGACGGCGATGGCGACTTGGAGCTCGGAGACATCATTGAGTTCGAGCTGGATTGAATGCAATAAATATGTTGACAAGTTACATAAGACTTTTATTTATTACTTCAGGGGTTGCGGGGTAAGCGCAATGAGAGCGGGGGTTTTTAGTCAGTTAGAGTCTGACACACCTTCCCGCCTGACCCTGGGCGGGAGAAGTCATATGATAATTTTTCCCTCACAAAAAAACCACCGCCTCGCACGGGTGCAAGCCCGATACTTAATAGCTCTACTATTTAATGGATTAACTCTAACACCATCACTAAGGTACCATAAGGAAATAGATAAATCTATAATAATAGGTCTTTACCCCTGAAATTGCCGTTCTGCAGTACTGGTCATTTCAAATCAAAATAGTTTTTGTTAGGCTAAGGCTAATTAATTTTGTTTTAAAAACATGGAATTCTTTTTCCAAAAGTAGTCATTTGTTTATTGATAAGTGTTACATTTTCATCGCATTTCAAATCAAAAAATTCATTTAATTTTTTCGTGCAAAACGGCTATTTCATAGGTAAAGACCTATTAAATGCGAAATCTAAATTTGTCTGCACGGTTGGCGCGGTGGTTATGCAACTGGCTACCGCGCAACGTGTCGCGCGTTCGTTTCCCTCACGGAACAACTCTTTGTGTAATGCACATATTGTTGTTCCGGTTCCGGGTGTGATGTGTATGTGAAATTGTATGTTGTAATTGTAAACACCCACGACGAATGAGAAACTCCTTGAGTAAGGCAACGTTTTTTTTTAATCCCAAAGTAAAAAAGTTGAATCATTTAATAACAGTTTGAAACATAAATTATACAGCCATATACACAAAGAGAATATAACCATAGAGTGAGTATCTGTACGTTTTTCTTTGAAATCAGTCGCCAGACAACCGTGTGTTTAGGCGATGAATTGACAGCAATAATGACAGCAGACTTTTAGGGATTTCAAAAAAGTAATTAAAAAAAAATATCCAAATCGATAATTATTTCATTATTTGTGATGATGTTTTGTTTACGATTGTGTAGTAAAAAACTTTATAAAAATATGTGAATGACTATTTAAAAAAAAACAGTAAAGCACTAGTTTATATACATTACTAGCTACTCTCGCGCGGTTTCACTCGCTGCTTGGCTCAATTTGATCGTAGCGTGATGTTTTATAGCCTATAGCACTCAAGAACATTGTAGGTAGCTATCGCGGCGTGCGTTCGTGCAGCGGAATGTTGTTGAATTTCAAGATTTTAATTATGCAGATATTTAGTGTATGACGTCGTATAATTCATCAAAAACTGATTCCGCTGGGCGAACGTTGCCCTGGCGGAACTTTTTTTAATCCATAGACTTGTAGAAGAGATGTATCCAAAAAATAGTGTGTAATTGTGTATGTATGAATAAAACTAGTGCCTGCATAAACTTCGGAGAAATTCAAGTTTCCGCTACGCGAACGTTTGGCCATTAGCTAGTTTTCATTTAAAGCGCTTACATATAGAGCTGTAGATGTTTACATACGTTGTTTTGAATTTGTTTATATTTGTTTAAAAACAGATTTAGAAAAAATCGTAGGGTTTAAAAGATAAAAATATAAACGTAAAATACGCTTATTAGGTCTTAGTTCTTAAAGTATGCACTTTGGGGTCTAGATTTTCACGTTTATACAAACCTTGTAAGTGTCTGCAACATGTTGCCAAGTATCAATGATGTTCCGTTAGTAATTAAATAGTTATAGGACAAATTTACCATGAATAGATCACTGTTTACAAAGCAGTCAAATATCACGACGTTCTAAATGAATTGCATGCTAAAATGTATGCCAGTAATTAGTGTATTCATTCAACTATTCGCATGCAAAATTTCATGTCATTAAATTTAGTAATTAAAGAAAAACAATTATAATACTGCGAAGCATCGAAAACCTACATAACCCGACCAAGTTCGGATGGCTTCAAAAAAGCGGCTGTGCAATATATTTAGGTAACATCCCAAAATTTACAGTATAATACCGGTATTGAATTGGTACAGGTGATAACACACTTGTTGTTTCGAAATAATTTATAGGTCATTTATTTTTGGACACCTACTTTTTTAAATGTGACTATAACAGAAAGTAGGTACTTTATTTAAGTATGCGCTTGAGACTTGAGATATCTAATTATATTTAAGACAAATAAAATTCATACAGCTTATTTCTATTGAAGATTTCACGGATCAGGATTCTAACTATAGACCCTTTAGGGAGATTAAATATTTACCACATGTAAGTATGTAGGTACTACTGTTTAGGTAAATATTTATCATATTGTAGCTTATTACACTATTTAACCAATAGACTAGGCATGCACGAGCGTTCCCCTTTGCAACTTTAGTGGATCAAACAATCTAATTACCTAATAACTTAAAAAAAACTACTTCTTGAATCGATTTTTTTTCTTATGTATGTGAGTGTGTTCCCCCGCACCCCACCAAAATATGCAGAATTATTTCGTTCGAAGTTCGGTACGCTTAATCCTTTAGTTAAATAGTCTAAGTATTGTAGTTACGAATTGATCAAAAATATTCTTGTGTGAAAAAATAGAAAACGCGCTGCGCGCAACGAGCGATACTGTCATCCTTGAAGAAAAGAGAGGGCAATATGTTTTCGCACGTATTCGTTTGTTGTTGAACTTGATGTGATTTGTGTATGTGATGTGATTTTTATTTTTATGTTTTGAAGCTCGAAATATTATACGAAATATTATACTTACCCTAAGTTTCGTCATCCATTCGAAGCCGCGGGCAAAAGCTAGTTCATAATCTATTTTAGCTAAAACACATTTAAGTCTATTGCTGTCATTGCAAGCGTTTGTTAACGTTATTATAATTACATAATTAAGTATTATATGTAATTAAAAATATTTTTGTACGCGGATTTAAATAGAGAAGTACTTGTTAATTGAAGATTAGTTTTTATCGTAGATAGTGGCGTTACAAACAAAAAGTTGACAGTCGAAAGGTATTATAGTTCGTTCCATAATTAGAGACAACGATTTGACATTTCGAGTGTTGCAAGGTTTTTCCATTTCATAAATAGTGAAGTCCCGCGACCGGTATTGACCGAAAGACCGAAATTAAATTCTGGACTTCGTGCATTTTAAAAGCTTTACTATTTTTAGCTACTTTCCCTGGTACCTTCCTGTGCCCATACTAACTCAGTCGGGTTAAAATCACAATGGTAAGGAGGCAACCGTAAAATAGTGACCTACCTTTTATCAGCCATCAGACGTATCGTTCATAATTACTCTTCTATTTCCGGGAAATCTCCAACAGCTCGGCTTTCAGCATAGGTTCCTCAAATATCGTCTAAGGTCGTAAGGTCTTGGATTTGGCATTTTTTATTTTAAATTATTATTAATTCCACTAAACTATAAAAACATCACCGCAACGTTGTTTTATTTTTCTCAGCGTATTTTATAAAAAAACGGTATCGGTATTTTATTTAAAAGTCGTACTCGGGCCTATCACTATGTTAAAAAATCTGGCCACATTATTTTGTAGTTTGACATTTGCTGTTGTCAAATTGTTGTCTCTAATTATGGAACGAACTATAGGTCTTTGACTTTACCTATGAAATTTTGTATTTTTTATTTGTATTAACCTTATACTTAGCGGAGAATTTTTCTATTAATATATTAAACTTTTACTACTTCCCTATGTTAATAGTATTATAAGGATACCAGGAAAAATAAAATAAAAAATCTTTGAATTTCAGTTTTTAGGATATATTATGTGTCTTTCAGTGCACTGCCAAGCTCACAAGAAAATAATGACAAAGAAAAATGTGTCTTTACATGCACACTGCCATGTAGTCACTAAACTAAAAATATAATCAATAATATAAAAATAACATTAATCTTGGAAAATATCAACAAGTTTTGAGATCTATTCGTAACCAGGTTCGAAACCATTACGATATACGACATAGTTAAAGTTAAACTTTCTATTATTATTTATCACAATATTCAGTCCTAAATCTCTGTGATCAAAGTTTACTTACATTAGGTATATTATGTCCCTCTACTATGTAATAATACGAAAAACTTACTTACTAAACTACTTAATATGAAAATCTACAAAGCAATTTCGCCCTTCAACTATACATAGTCGTGCGTTACACTTTGAACAAAAAAATTTGGTTTGATGTTTGGTACATTGTCTACATCTGCCTTTTGTCGTAAAAGTAGGAAGATGTCCCGTTAGGTCGTAACGAGTAGCATCATCAGGCCTTTTCGCAACAGGTTTTTATATTTTTCTCACAGTTTTAGGAAGGGCTTCAGGTTGCAGACTTGAACTCCTCTCAAAAAAACGCAGTTGTCTAAATAAAGCGACTCGAAACTTTTTGAGTGGCAATAATTTATGATGACCACTTTTCGTGACGATACAGCAACCAGGCATTATTGACACAGATGTCCAAAATCTGTGAAAACAATACTAAATACCAACGATGGCCTTTCAAATCAGTACGGTATAAAG